AGATCACTGAGGCTATTCTTCAACGACGATTAAGTCCATCCAGGGCCAATTTGGGCGGATTTCTTCCGCGTCCATTTTTTGCAGACCAAAGGGGTACCATCACAGATTTTGGGCGATTTTTTCGAAATCCCATTTTCTTTCGATTTTGAAAGCTACAGATCACGGATTTGGCTCGAGGCTATTCTCCACCGATAATAAAGTCTATTGATCCTATTATGCGCCTATGATTAAGTCAATTAAGCACCGAATTGGGCCAATATATTTTGGGATGGCATTTGCGTAATTAATTGAGTTTTTTTTTTTTGAAAGGCCATTCTCCTTGCATTTTGAAAGATAAAGATGGTGGATTCGGCCTGAGGCTACTCTTGAACGACGATTAAGTCCATCCAGGGCTAATTTGGACGGATTTCTTCCGGGTCCATTTATGGCAGACTCCAAAGGGGTACCATCACAGATTTCGGGCGATTTTTCCGAAATGCCATTTTCTTTCGATTTTGGAGGCTACATATCACGGATTCGGCTCCAGGCTATTTTCCACCGATAATAAAGTCTATGATCCTATTCTGCGCCGATGATTAAGTCAATTAAGCACCGAATTGGGCCAATATATTTTGGGATGGCATTTTCGTAATTATTTGAGAAATTTTTTTTGAATGGCCATTTTCCTTGGATTTTGAAGGATAAAGATAGTGGATTCAACATGAGGCTATTCTTCAACGACGATTAAGATGATCCAGGGCCAATTTGTGCGGATTTCTTTCGGGTCCATTTTTTGCAAACTCCAAAGGGGTACAATCACAGATTTCGGGCGATTTTTCCGAAATGCCATTTTCTTTCGATTTCGGAGGCTACAGATCACGGATTAGGCTCGAGGCTATTCAACACCGATAATAAAGTCTATTCATCCTATTCTGCGCCAATTATTAAGTCAATTAAGCACCAAATTGGGCCAATATATTTTGGGATGACATTTTCGTAATTATTTGAGCAATTTTTTTTGAAAGTCCCTTTTCCTTGGATTTTGAATTATAAAGATGGTGGATTCGGCCTGAGGCTATTCTTCAACGACGATTAAGTCCATCTAGGGCTAGTTTGGGCAGATTTCTTCCGTGTCCATTTTTGGCAGACTCCAAAGGGGGGTACCATCACAGATTTCGGGCGATTTATCCGAAATGCCATTTTCTTTCGATTTTGGAGGCTACAGATCACGGATTCGGCTCGAGGGTATTTTCCACCGATAGTAAAGTCTATTGTTCCTATTCTGCGGCGATGATTAAATCAATTAAGCACCGAATTGGGCCAATATATTTTGGGATGGCATTTTCGTAATTATTTGAGCAATTTTTTATTTTTTTGAAAGGCCATTTTCCTTGGATTTAGAAGGATAAAGATGGTGGATTCGGCCTGAGGCTATTCTTCAACGACGATTAAGTCCATCCAAGGCTAATTTGGACGGATTTCTTCCGGGTCCATTTTTGACAGACTCCAAAGGGGTACCATCACAGATTTCGGGCGATTTTTCCGAAATGCCATTTTCTTTCGATTTTGGAGGCCACAGATCACGGATGCGGCTCCGGGCAATTACCCACCGATAATAAAGTCTATTGATCCTATTCTGCGCCGATGATTAAGTCAATTAAGCACCGAATTGGGCCAATATATTTTGGGATGGCATTTTCGTAATTATTTGAGCAATTTTTTTTGAAAGGCCATTTTCCTTGCATTTTGAAGGATAAAGATGGTGTATTCAACATGAGGCTATTCTTCAACGACGATTAAGATGATCCAGGGCCAATTTGTGCGGATTTCTTCCGGGTCCATTTTTTGCAGATTCCAAAGGGGTACCATCACATATTTCGGGCGATTTTTTCGAAATGCCATTTTCTTTCGATTTCGGAGGCTACAGATCACGGATTAGGCTCGAGGCTATTATCCACCAATAATAAAGTCTATTCATCCTATTCTGCGGCAATTATTAAGTCAATTAAGCACCAAATCGGGCCAATATATTTTGGGATGACATTTTTCGTAATTATTTGAGCAATTTTTTTTTTCAAAGTCCATTTTCCTTGGATTTTGAATGATAAAGATGGTGGATTCGGCCTGAGCCTATTCTTCAACGACGATTAAGTCCATCTAGGGCTAGTTTGGGAAGATTTCTTCCGGGTCCATTTTTGGCAGACTCCAAAGGGGTACCATCACAGATTTCGGGCGATTTATCCGAAATGCCATTTTCTTTCGATTTTGGAGGCTACAGATCACAGATTCGGCTCGAGGGTATTTTCCACCGATAATAAAGTCTATTGTTCCTATTCTGCGCCGATGATTAAATCAATTAAGCACCGAATTGGGACAATATATTTTGGGATGTGATTTTCGTAATTATTTGAGCAATTTTTTTTGAAAGGACATTTTCCTCGGATTTTGAAGGATAAAGATGGTGGAATTTGCCCGAGGCTATTCTTCAACGACGATTAAGTCCATCCAGGGCTAATTTGGGCGGATTTCTTCCTGGTCCATGTTTGGCAGACTCCAAAGGGGTACCATCACAGATTTCAGGCGATTTTTCCGAAATGCCATTTTCTTTCAATTTTTGAAGCTACAGATCACGTATTCGGCTCCAGGCTATTGTCCACCGATAATAAAGTCTATTAATCCTATTCTGCGCCGATGATTAAGTCAATTAAGCACCAAATGGGGCCAATATATTTTGAGATGGCATTTTCGTAATTATTTGTGCAATTTTTTTTGAAATACCATTTTCCTTGGATTTTGAAGGATAAAGTTGGTGGATTCGGTCTGAGGCTATTCTTCAACGACGATTAAGTCCATCCAGGGCCAATTTGGGAGGATTTCTTCCGGTTCCATTTTTGGCAGACTCCAAAGGGGTACCATCACAGATTTCAGGCGATTTTTCCGAAATGTAATTTTCTTTCGATTTTGGAGGCGACGTATCACGGATTTGGCTCTAGGCTATTGTCCACCGATAATAAAGTCTATTGATCCTATTCTGCGCCGATGATTAAGTCAATTAAGCACCGAATTGGGCCAATATATTCTTGGATGGCATTTTCGTAATTATTTGAGGAATTTTTTTAGAGGCTATTTTCATTGGATTTTGAAGGATAAAGATGGTGGATTCGGCCTGAGGCTATTCTTCAATGACGATTAAGTCCATCCAGGGCCAATTTGGGCGGATTTCTTCTGGGTCCATTTTTTGCAGACTCCAAAAGGGTACCATGACAGATTTCGGGCGATTTTTCCGAAATGCCGTTTTCTTTCAATTTTGGAGGCTACAGATCACGGATTCGGCACGAAGCTATTGTCCACCGATAATAAAGTCCATTGATCCTATTCTGCGCCGATGATTAAGTCAATTAATCACCGTATTGGGCCAATATATTTTGGGATGGCATTTTCGTAATTATTTGAGCAATTTATTTTGAAAGGACATTTTCCTTCGATTTTGAAGGATAAAGATGGTGGATTCGGCTTGAGGCTATTCTTCAACGACGATTAAGTCCATCCAGGGCCAATTCGGGGGGATTTCTTCCGGGTCCATTTTTGGCCGACTGCAAAGGGGTACCATCACTTATTTAAGGTGATTTTTCCGAAATGCCATTTTCTTGCGATTTTGGAGGCTACAGATCACGGATTCGGCTCGAGGCTATTCTCCACCGATAATAAAGTCTATTGATCCTATTTTGCGCGGATGATTAATTCAATTAAGCACCGAATTGGGCCAATATATTTTCTGATGGCATTTTCGTAATTATTTGAGCAATTTTTTTTTGAAAGGCCATTTTCCTTGGATTTAGAAGGATAAAGATGGTGGATTCGGCCTAAGGCTATTCTTCAACGACGATTAAGTCCATCCAGGGCTAATTTGGACGGATTTCTTCCGGGTCCATTTTTGGCACACTCCAAAGGGGTACCATCACAGATTTCGGGCGATTTTTCCGTAATGCCATTTTCTTTCGATTTTGGAGGCTACAGATCACGGATTCGGCTCCAGGCTATTGTCCACCGATAATAAAGTCTATTGATCCTATTCTGCGCCGATGATTAAGTCAATTAAGCACCGAATTGGGCCAATATATTTTGGGATGGCATTTTCGTAATTATTTGAGCAAATTTTTTTGAAAGACCATTTTCCTTGGATTTTGAAAGATAAAGATGGTGGAATTTGCCTAAGGCTATTCTTCAACGACGATTAAGTCCATTCAGCGCCAATTTGGGAGGATTTCTTCCGGTTCCATTTTTGGCAGACTCCAAAGGGGTACCATCACAGATTTCGGGTGATTTATCCGAAATGCCATTTTCTTTCGATTTTGGAGGCTACAGATCACGGATTCGGCTCGAGGGTATTTTCCACCGATAATAAAGTCTATTGTTCCTATTCTGCGCCGATGATTAAATCAATTAAGCACCGAATTGGGACAATATATTTTCGGATGGCATTTTCGTAATTATTTGAGCAATTTTTTTGAAAGGACATTTTCCTTGGATTTTGAAGGATAAAGATGGTGGAATTTGCCCGAGGCTATTCTTCAACGACGATTAAGTCCATCCAAGGCAAATTTGGGCGGATTTCTTCCGCGTCCATTTTTGGCAGACCCCAAAGGGGTACCATCACAGATTTCAGGCGATTTTTCCGAAATGCCATTTTCTTTCGATTTTTGAAGCTACAGATCACGGATTCGGCTCCAGGCTATTGTCCAACGATAATAAAGTCTATTGATCCTATTCTGCGCCGATGATTAAGTCAATTAAGCACCAAATTGGGCCAATATATTTTGAGATGGCATTTTCGTAATTATTTGTGCAATTTTTTTTGAAATACCATTTTCCTTTGATTTTGAAGGATAAAGATGGTGGATTCGGTCTGAGGCTATTCTTCAACGACGATTAAGTCCATCAATGGTCAATTTGGGTGGATTTCTTCGGGGTCCATTTTTGGCAGACACCAAAGGAGTACCATCACAGATTTCGGGCGATTTTTCAGAAATGCCATTTTCTTTCGATTGTGGAGGCAACATATCACGGATTCGGCCCGAGGATATTTTCCACCGATAATAAAGTCTATTGATCCTATTCTGCGCCGATGATTAAGTCAATTACGCACCGAATAGGTCCAATATATTTTGGGATGGCATTAACGTAATTATATGAGCAATTTTTTTTGAAATGCCATTTTCCTTGTATTTTGAAGGATAAAGATGGTGGATTCGACCTAAGGCTATTCTTCAACGACGAGTAAGTCAATCCAGGGCCAATTTGGGCGGATTTCTTCTGGGTCCATTTTTGGCAGACTCCAAAGAGGTACTATCACATATCTCGGGCGATTTTTCCGAAATGCCATTTTCTTTCGATTTCAGAGGCTACAGATCACGGATTAGGCTTGAGGCTATTCTCCACCGATACTCAAGTCTATTCATCCTATTCTGCGCCAATGATTAAGTCAATTAAGCACCAAATTGGGCCAATATATTTTGGGATGACATTTTCGTAATTATTTGAGCAATTTTTTTTTTAAAGTCCATTTTCCTTGGATATTGAATGATAAAGATGGTGGATTCGGCCTGAGGTTATTCTTCAACGAAGATTAAGTCGATCCAGGGCCAATTTGGGCGGATTTCTTCTGGGTCCATTTTTGGCAGACTCCAATGGGGTACCATCACAGATTTCGTGCGATTTTTCCGAAATGCCATTTTCCTTCGATTTTGGAGGATACATATCACGGATTCGGCTCGAGGCTATTCTCCACTGATAATAAAGTCTATTGATCCTATTTAGCGCCGATGATTAAGTCAATTAAGCACCGAATTGGGCCAATATATTTTGGGATGACATTTTCGTAATTATTTGAGAAATTTTTTTTGAAAGTCCATTTTTCTTGGATTTTGAAGGATAAAGATGGTGGAATTTGCCTAAGGCTATTCTTCAACGATGATTAAGTCCATCCAGGGCCAATTTGGGAGGATTTCTTCCGGGTCCATTTTTGGCCGACTCCAAAGGGGTACCATCACAGATTTCGGGCGATTTTTCAGAAATGCCATTTTCTTTCGATTTTGGACGCTACATATCACGGATTTGGCTCGAGGCAATTGTCCACCGATAATAAAGTCTATTGATCCTATTCTGCGTCGATGATTAAGTCAATTAAGCACCGAATTGGGCCAATATATTTTGGGATGGCATTTTCGTAATTATTTGAGCAATTTTTATTGAAAGGCCATTTTCGTTGGATTTTGAAGGATAAAGATGGTGTATTCAACCTGAGGCTATTCTTCAACGACGATTAAGTCCATCCAGGGCCAATTTGTGCGGATTTCTTCCGGGTCCATTTTTTGCAGACTCCAAAGGGGTACCATCACAGATTTCGGGCGATTTTTCCGAAATGCCATTTTCTTTCGATTTTGGAGGCTACAGATCACGGATTTGGCTCGAGGCTATTCTCCACCGATAATAAAGTCTATTGATCCTATTCAACGCCTATGATTAAGTCAATTAAGCACCGAATTGGGCCAATATATTTTTGGATGGCATTTTCGTAATTATTTGAGCAATTTTTTTTTTTTTTTTAAAGTCTATTTTCCTTGGATTTAGAAGGATAAAGATGGTGGATTCGGCCTGAGGCTATTCTTCAACGACGATTAAGTCCATCCAGGGCCAATTTGGGTGGATTTCTTCCGTGTACATTTTTGGCAGACTCTAAAGTAGGGATAGCAATGGGTCGGGTTGGGCGCGGATAATGCGTATCCGTTACCCTACCCAAAGTAGTTCGGGTTTTACCCATACCCACATAAAAAATGTGTAGAAAATCAAAACCATGCCCATACCCGTTCGGGTTTCGGGTATCCATGGTTATCCATGGATACTAATTTCTCTTTATAACTCCAACTAATATGTTAACATTTACACGTATTCTCACATTACATAAGAGGAAAAGTACGACCATAATTCACTAGAATGAAGAAAATTAATCAAAACGACACAATTTTATGAAAATATTATATTTATATGCTAAATATAAAATATGTTAGAGAAAAATAATGATTATTTATATACAAAATACATATGCATGTGTATAATCGGGCGGGTTCGGATTGGATAGTGAGAACCCATGCCCACCCATTACTCGCAATATTCGGGTTCGGGTTTTACCCGTACCCATAAAAATTCCTTCGGGTTCGGATTTTACCCTACCCGATTAGATCGGATTCGCGTGGATATCCATTGTTACAGATATTTTTGCCATCCCTACTCTAAAGGGGTACCATCACAGATTTATGGCGATTTTCCCGAAATGCCATTTTCTTTCGATTTTGGAGGCTAGAGATCACGGATTCGGCTCGAGGCTAATCTCCACCGATAATAAAGTCTATTGATCCTATTCTGCGCGGATGATTAAGTCAATTAAGCACCGAATTGGGCCAATTTATTTTGGGATGACATTTTCGTAATTATTTGAGAATTTTTTTTTGAAAGGCCATTTACCTTGGATTTTTATGGATAAAAATAAACGATTCGGCCTGAGGCTATTCTTCAACGACGATTAAGTCCATCCAGGGCCAATTTGGGCGGATTTCTTCCGGGTCCATTTTTGGCAGACTCTAAAGGGGTACCATCACAGATTTCGGACGATTTTTCAGAAATGCCATTTTCTTTCGATTTTGGAGGCTACGGATCACGGATTCGGCTCGATGCTATTGTCCACTGATAATAATGTCTATTGATCCTATTCTGCGCCGATGATTAAGTCAATTAAGCACTGAATTGGGCCAATATATTTTGGGATGGCATTTTCGTAACTATTTGAGCAATTTTTATTGAAAGGCCATTTTCCTTGGGATTTGAAGGATAAAGATGGTGGATTCGGCCTGAGGCTATTCTTAAACGACGATTAAGTCCATCCAGTGCCAATTTGGGAGGATTTCTTATGGGTCCATTTTTGGCAGACTCCAAAGGGGTACCATCAGTGATTTCGGGCGATTTTTCCGAAAGTTTATTTTCTTTCGATTTTGGAGGCTACAGATCACGGATTTGGCTCGAGGTTATTCTCCACCGATAATAAAGTCTATTGATCCTATTCTGCGCCGATGATTAAGTCAATTAAGCACCGAATTGGGCCAATATATGTTGGCATAGCATTTTCGTAATTATTTGAGCAATTTTTTTTGAAATGCCATTTTCCTGGAATTTTGAAGGATAAAGATGGTGGATTCGGCCTGAGGCTATTCTTCAACGACGATTAAGTCCATCCAGGGCCAATTTGGGCGAATTTCTTCGGGGTCCATTTTTGCAGACTCCAAAGGGGTACCATCACAGATTTCGAGCCATTTTTCCGAAATGCCATTTTCTTTCGATTTTGGAGGCTACAGATCATGGATTTGGCTCGAGGCTATTCTCCACCGATAATAAAGTCTATTGATCCTATTCTGCGCCGATGATTAAGTCAATTAAGCACCGAATTCGGCCAATATAGTTTGGGATGGCATTTTCGTAATTATCTGAGCAATTTTTTTTGAAAGGCCATTTTCCTTGGATTTTGAAGGATAAAGATGGTGGATTCGGCCTGAGGCTATTCTTCAACGACGATTAAGTCCATCCAGGGCCAATTTCGGCAGATTTCTTCCGTGTCCATTTTTTAAAGACTCCAAAGGGGTACCATCATAGATTTCGGGCGATTTTACCGAAATGCCATTTTCTTTCGATTTTGGGGGCTACAGATCACGTATTCGGCTCGAGGCTATTCTCCACCAATAATAAAGTCTATTGATCCTATTCTGCGCCGATGATTAAGTCAATTAAGCACCGAATTGGGCCAATATATTTTGGGATGGCATTTTCGTAATTATTTGAGCAATTTTTTTTGAAATGCAATTTTCCTATGATTTTGAAGGATAAAGATGGTGGATTCGTCCTGATGCTATTCTTCAACGACGATTAAGTCCATCCAGGGCCAATTTGGGCGGATTTCTTCTGGCTCCATTTTTGGCAAACTCCAAAGGGGTACCATGACAGATTTCGGGCGATTTTTCCGAAATGTCATTTTCTTTCAATTTTGGAAGCTACAGATCACGAATTCGGCTCGAGGCTATTTTCCATCGATAATAAAGTCTATTGATCCTATTCTGCGCCGATGATTAAGTTAATTAAGCACCGAATTGGGCCAATATATTTTGGGATGGAATTGGTAATTATTTGAACAATTTTTTTTTTGAAATGCCATTTTCCTTGGATTTTGAAGGATAAAGATGGTGGATTCGGCCTGAGGCTATTCTTCAACGACGATTAAGTCCATCCAGGGCCAATTTGGGTGGATTTCTTCCGGGTCCATTTTTGGCAGACTCCAAAGGGGTACCAACACAGATTTCGGGCGATTTTTCCAAAATGCCATTTTCTTTCGATTTTGGAGGCTACAGATAACGAATTCGGCTCGAGGCTATTCTCCACCGATAATAAAGTCTATTGATCGTATTCTGCGCCGATGATTAAGTCTATTAAGCACCTAATTGTGCCAATATATTTTGGGATGACATTTTCGTAAGTATTTGAGCAATTTTTTTAAAGGCGATTTTCCTTGGATTTTGAAGGATAAAGATGGTGGATTCGGCCTGAGGCTATTCTTCAACGACGATTAAGTCCATCCAGGGCCAATTTAGGCGGATTTCTTCCCGGTCCATTTTCGGCAGACTCCAAAGGGGTACCATCACAGGTTTCGGGCGATTTTTACGAAATGCCATTTTCTTTCGATTTTGGAGGCTACAGATCACGGATTCGGCTCGAGGCTATTGTCCACCGATAATAAAGTCTATTGATCCTATTCTGCGCCGATGATTAAGTCAATAAATCACCGAATTGGGCCAATATATTTTGGGATGGCATTTTCGTAATTATTTGAGCAAATTTTTTTGAAATGCCATTTTCCTTGGATTTTGAAGGATAAAGATGGTGGATTCGGCCTGAGGCTATTCTTCAACGACGATTAAGTCCATCCAGGGCCAATTTGGGCGGATTTCTTCCGGGACCATTTTTGGCAGACTCCAAAGGGGTACCATCACAGATTTATTATCACTTATCCAATTAAAACACAAACCGTGAACATGGACCACAAACCGTGAACATCAGTGACAGTTTTCAGGTGTTGTCGGTAATTTTCGTCTCTAAAGACAGTCTTTTTTGTAGTGGCGTCCGTGAACTGATCGCTTTCGGGCAAATATGAAGACAGCAGCGGGGAGAGAGAAAGGAGAGCTAATTTTTGGAGAGAAAAAACACTTTCTTTCTCTAGGGTTTCAACCTAAACACCAAAGGGGCGTTCTATTGAGAGAGAGAGAGAGAGAGAGAGAGTGCTAGAGTGATCTTGGAGCATCATTGGAACTTGGGTGGAAGATTCAAGCCTAGAAGAAGAAGAAGATCTTGAGCTCAAATTTGTAATCTCTCTCTCTCTCTCTCTAGAAACTCACTCTTTACTCTTGGGTGTTGTAGATCCCTAACTACTACTTTGTAATAACTTGTTTGGATTGAATGATTAAGTGTGGGTTTGCATCAATTTGAGTATTAGTGGTATTATTCACCATGATTTTGCATGTTTGTGCTTAGCAACTTTGGGGTTGTGCATAATTGTGCTTAGCACCCTTAAGTTTGTGCATTTAGGTGCTAGTAATCTAATTTTCCAACTTAGCCTAGTTTAGAGAGGAAAATCCCCCTTCTTAAGGGAGACTCAATTGAGTTGGTTTTCCTTCCGCTTTCCAAGCCACCTAAACTAGGTTGGGTTAGGGCAATCCTCAATATTGAATTGAACTAGTCGATTAATCGTGGTTAAACCGTCTGACCTTAGAGTTGAGTGAGAAAGTAAGTCGATTACCGATTGTCTAAACCGACAGGGTCGAGTGACACGACCTTTCATCCTCACCTTGGTGTAGCAATCGAGACTATGGTCTCCAACCACATGCGCTTTCCTCTGTGGTTCGCGATTATCGTGCCCATATAGGTTGGTTGTGATTAAGCCGCTCAAACTCCGGTTTGAGGGAGAGACCTGGGAAACCACTAGTGACTGAGTGAGAGGATCGATCCCGTGACAAATCGACCTCGAGTGAATCCACCCTGTGACAAATGGATCACTAGTTGCTCCTCCTAGTGGTTCCCTTAGACTTGGCGAGTGGATCGATCCCGTGACAGATTGATCACTAGTTGCTCACCACCCGCGGTTCACAACCACCTATGCCACACGACTCCATTCAATCCAACGAGTCGTGGTAGCTAGTTAGGGGAAAGCAACTCCCGGGTGAAGCTCCCTTAGTTAGAGTTTTCCTTTATTTACTGTTCTTTGGTTGTTTAGTTTGTAGTTCTATTAGACCTAAACCCCAAAACCGTTTTGCTAGATAACAACCTAAGCGATTGAAGTTGGGGTACATAGACTGGTCCGGGTTGACAATTTAAATACTTGCTCTGTACTGCACCCGACTAGAATTTAAAAACTTGGGCTCTAGTCGAGATTAATTTGTGGTGTAGTTTCGTGCGAGTCACTTATTACAATTGGCTGATGTTTGTTTAAGAGAAGTCTTTGAGTTCCTGGATTTTAGGTGGTTTGGATTGGAGAGTTCTGCCGCATTTGAGAAGTTCTTAAGTTGCTTATTGGGAAGAATATACAATGGACTCTCTCAACTCCATCAAAGGACAAACATGTTCTTTTTTATAGTGAAGATTGTGATTGTAAATGTATCATGGAAAGCAACTCCGAGTTATCATTCATGTTTAATTGAAGACAACTTGCCAATGCATGATTTAGCTTACATCTTTTGGCATTGTCCAATTGCATTGAAATTTAAGTTTATTCACTTAATTATTTGCTTAGCTACCTGCAATTCATGTTTCTTCTTTCCGTTATTTGTACCTCAACTGAATAATTAATTTTATCACGCGGAACGCTGATATTATAATTATTAATTGATATCATAATTATTAATTTGTCAACCAACAACGTTTGGGTTTTAGTTTTATTTAATTAAAGGCCACACTGAGAAGTGAGAATTGGTGAGCTACATGCTTCATTCTATGAGAAGCTCATGAAGGTCTCAACAAATGTGAACAGAAAGTCATGATTGTTATGCTCTTACGCCAATGCAAATTAAGGAGTGTTGGTTACGAGTTGTACACCTTATAAATTCAGTGTATGCTTTTATTTCCTCACATATTACAAAGAATGCATTTGGGCATTTATAGAAATGAAGTTCATGAAACAGAACTTTGTGTTTCTCCCATAGATTTACATGGGTGTTGTCATATTTACGTTTAAAATGGTCAGGAGTTCTCTGATGTATTTGTTTGTCCAAAAGGTGCAGGTTAATGTTGTACCAAGGGAAGGGAGTTTTCAAGTCATTATGTTTCTTATGAAATATGCATCCCTCGCCCCCATAATAATTTTCATTTACCTATTTTGTTTCTAGGCTTTTCCTGTATGAATTTTTTTTTTATCGTGAACGAACCTTCATGCATTCCTCCTCTTTATGTTACATCATTAGTACATTATGCGAAGTTAGATCATTTATAAAAAAACACAAATTATTATATGCGTCTTCAATACATATACTTCAAATAGTTATCAAACTCTGTCGGCCAACGAGCCAGTCCCAGTACAAGTTACAAGAATACAGGGGAAGTGAAAACTTAGATCAACCTTGACCTTGGATGCTGAAGGATTCACCGCCCATCCTTTTGCTCGTTCACGCAGGGACGGCTTCGACGAGCCTGGCAAAGTAGAACTGCGTAGTGATGAGGCCTCTCTTCCTTATTCTCCACCCGACCTTCTTCAAAGCTCTCTCCACTTCTGCCTCCGAATGCAGATACGCCCTGGTGGCCTTGGATGGCCCTGGAAACAGCTCCCCAACTCTCTTCAACAAATCGTAGTAGAATGTCTTGGGCGCAAAGCTCAATATCAATCGATTCTCGGCCAACGACGCCAGATGCGCAATCATCCCGTCGGCTTTGCTCTGCGGGTAATGAATCAGAACGTCCAGGCATACCACCGTGTCGTATTTCCCATCTAAGCTCTCCAGATCCTTCACCATGAAGTTCGGCATTACAACATCTCCTCCCCCCAACTGCTCTTTCGCCTGTAATCACAAATTTCGTAATCAATGGGCTCTTAAAGAAGGAAGGTCCGAAATTGGGGGGTTTTAGAGCAATTGCTAATTACGGACCTGCTTCTCGGCCTCGGAGACCATGGCGGCGGAGATGTCGCTGGCGGAGACGATTGCGCCTTCTCTAGCGAGTGGAATCGAGAGTGAGCCCAGTCCGCAGCCGGCGTCGCAGACGGTGACGCCTTGGAGAGAGCCCTCCTCTTTCAGCATCACCATCGTGTTCTCGACGGTCTTCGCGTGTCCCAGACGAATGTCGCGCTGCACGCGGTTGACGTCGTCGGTCTCTCCGTAGATCTTCCGCCATCGCTGGAAGCCGGAGTTGTTGAAGTACTCCCTCACCACCTCCTTGTCGCCGCCGCCGACTTCCACGGCTTGGAGCTTGCGCCGACGCTCCGGATCCGTGAAGGACAGCACGGCTGCGAGTGCGGCGACGGAGCCGCCGCCGATGACTGCAATTGTTGTCTCGTCCAGAGGAGGCAGATCCATGGGAGTGGCGGTGGAGAGGGGTGGAATTGCGGCGACGGTTACAAATCTGGAGAATCTGGTCTTGGCGGAAAGCGGAGAGAATGCGGAGGAGGCGAGATGGAGGGAAATAGGAGCGAATAAGGAGGAAGCGTGCGCCATTGTTTTGCAGTTACTGTCAGCTCCGGCCGGCGAACAGCGTTTTTTGTGGCGCCTCCACTTGTTTAGTGTCGTTCCTTCCTTCCTTCGTTTCTGCGGATAAGAAAGCTATCTCTTCTGATTTCCTTGTGTGTGTCCCATCAAAGGTCATGCCGCGTTTGGCGTAAATGTCCACCAAAAGGGATGCCTATGGCTTTATAGTGGGCCTGTCGATGCAGTAAGAGCTCTAAGTCTATTTTTATGTTACTTCAGGCCCATAACTTTTAGCGTGGTATGGACTAGGCCCAGCCCAACTAAACAGAACGACCGTCTGCCGTCGCGGGAGAAAGGAAAAGAACTCACATTCTAGAAAACTCCACGAATCGATACCAAAGGTTTCCCTTACCTGCCACGGTTTTCTTCTTTCCGTGTCTCTCTCTTTCCCCATCCGTCTGACCAAATCCCTATTCGCCGGCAGCTCTTGCCTTCCTCTTCCCCTCCGGTTGAGGTTCGTCGGATTCTTCTTTCTTTCCATCAGGGCTCTTCCTCGTTGCGCGCCCCGGTCACTCATTGGCCTAGATCGAAGTCCGAGCGCGGCAATCTCCTTCCCGAATCTCGCCTTCATAGGTTCGTTCGTACCTTCGACTCTTTTGAATCGATAGTTTCAACTTTTCACCGCATCTGATCTGATATTAGATCGTTAGTTAGCACGATTGCATAGATAAATTTAGTCTTCATAATTCCCAACTACGACTGTTGATGGTCCTTGCTTGCCTTGCGATGCGATCAAGTTTGTATTTGTCTCTGACTTTGATTTAATTTTCTGCAGATCTGCCTCAGCTGGAGTTCTTGCTATTTTGGAGGGGTTTGAAAGGGTCTGTGCATCCCTTTCCCTGCATATTAGGTAAGAATGTTTGAATCAAATTCATGTCGATCAAAATTTTGATTTTCTCTCCATTTACTGATACCTGGCCGTGTTCTTCTTTATGGGAACCATGATGATCGAGTAGCTAACAGTGCCTTTTCTCTTTTGTGAGACACACTTTTCGGCCATCATACACAAAATGCAGTTGATAAGCTCTTGTCTTTGTACTCGTAAATGGACTGCAAGAAGTTCATCCAGTTGGTGGAGGAGAAGAAGAGGAGAGTCCTGGAGAAGAGAGAAGCCCGTCTGCAGTGGGAGCAGAAGCTAGAAGCCGCTGCTGCTGCAAAGGCGAAATCTGATGCTGAGCGTAGAGAGCGGAAGCTCAAGGCAGCTTCCAAGCATAAAAAGGACAAGAAATCCAACAGTCGGAAGCACCGGAGGCGGTCCTCTGACTCGAGCAATGATGAAAACAGCGAATCGGAAGAAGAGTACGAGAGGAGAAAGAGGAGGCACAAGAAGCACAGGTCCCATGAGACGAGAGTCGACTCTTCAGAAGATTCCGAGTCATACAGTGACAGTGATGATGATGATGATGATGATGCAAGCAAGAGAAGAAGCCACATGAAGCGACACAAAAGCAATCACCATCATCATCATAGACACCATAGGAGGTCTGATTCAGAGTCTAGTGATACTGATTCATCGGTGCGTGAAAAGCGTCGTAAACATCACAGGCGGTCTCGTAGCATGGAACCTGATGAATCTGATTCTGATGGGCATGGGGATCGGCAGAGGAGCAGGTCGTGATCAGATAACGGCTTCGATGGGTCGAGGAAGAGGGCATGGAATGAACCGAGATAGCACTGCGCCTAAATAGTGGAAGATTGGGGTTCTTTTCTTTCAATTTCAAAAACCATTTGACTCAGATCTCTGTCTCGTGACTCCAATGATTCAACTGGACACATTTCTCTCGTCATTGGCTATTATTACCTTTTTGGTTAAGTCTGTGTCTATCACACAATAGTCACTCATCATCTGATTTCTCCTTTATTGCCAGCTCAAACCATTACAGAAGAGCAAACTGTAACATATAGTAGTATAGTTGAGAGCATGAGCAGTAACGGTGATGAAGCTCTGCTATAGCTATTAGGATGAACATTCGACGGGGAATCCTTGAGGGAAGCGTTTGGAATCGGTGCAGTAGTTGTAAATCATGTAGTTCTGCTGAACCCATTTGATCTTAGCTTGGCCGTCGGTGTCCAAGGATTGGGAGAGCCACGAGCTACTGTTAGCATTGGAAGAGTCGGAGCAAGAGGTGGTTGTCGTGGAAGGAGACCAAACGCAGGCCTGGGCCTCGTAGTTGGCGTAGGAGGCGACGAATGGGGCCTGGCTCCAATCGGTCTTTACCAGGCCGCCCCTTGTGGCCCAATCCTCGGCGTCCCAGAGGCTCGAGTAGACCCACATCGGCTGCTGCTTTGGGAATGCGACACCCTTGGCTTCCAAGTTCTTGAACTCTCTTATTGGCGTCCCGTCCACATAAAATCTGTTCCCCACCACAATAAGATAGATATAGCACTGGGTAATGTTGGTTGTAATTGCATAGACATTCATACTAGTGTGATTTATCATTCAATCAAGAAATTATACATGAACTTGCTAAAGTAAGGATGACTACTAACATGATGGTGTGAGGATTCCAGATGACGGAGTAGGTGTGGAAGCCCTTGGTTGGATCGAACCACAAGTAGAATTGTTGCTCCTTATTTCCTTTTCCTTCGGCAAATATGTTGGTGTGGAGGGTGTAAGGATCTCCACTTAGATTACCCAAGAACTCGAAATCAATTTCGTCGTGTGTTGACCCCAATGAGGATAGCTGTCATTTTGTCATCGTTAACACAATATCTCAAGCTAATCAATTAGTTCTTTCGTCCCTTTTAAATTTAGCACAAATCAAACCATCATTGATCCATTTCGTCGTGATATATATTGAAGCAATCATCACTTTGATACAGTCGGAATTGGTTCGAGGTCCAACTCCACCGGTTTCTCATTTGCGCTAGTTTTGGTGTAGTTATTATTGTAGAAGGTCATGTGTACGTATAAGAGACAATATTATCGTTTACGTGCTGAAGGGGGTTACCGTACGTTTTGAGGAAACAGCACTTACGTAGTAGGTGGTGACGGTGCCGGCGGAGTTACCGGCGACGAGCTTTATCTGCATGTCGATCTTCCCGAACAAGTACTGCTTCTTGGACCGGAAGCCGGAGCCGGAGGTTTTGTCCAGGGACAGGGTGAGGAGGCGGCCGCCGTTCAGCACTTTTGCGCGTCCGTCCCCCCACGTGATGTCGAAATCCCCGGCGGCGGCGGCGGCGGCGGCGGCGGGGATGGATTTCATCATCATAATCATGCAACTCGTCGCGATAGCTGCCATAATCGTCACTGAAGTACTGATCAAAGTAGCCATAGTTATCTTGTTGGAAGAGTAAGATAGAATGAAATGAGTTGTGAATATATTATATGAATATATGATTGTTGTGCATGGGTATTTATACTGCTGCCTTCCGCCCGCCATGGGTAATGCAAATGTATAATTTCTTTTTAAAATCATGAATAAATTAAATCGATACCTATAAATTGCTTTTAAGTATCATATTATCTATGTGGTACTAATATATAGCGGTTTGAGCCACGTCAAAAAATCATATATTCTTTTATATATTATATGCGGTTATAAGAGGTTTGAATTTAGAGTACATGACCAATAATATTATTATTATTGTGTTACTAGCTACTGCACACTAGTTTAATTAACTGGTAAATAATTTTTCCTTAAAACATTGTTTATACGTAACATATAATCTTAACACGATGATATTATGATCATCTATATGTACTATTTATTGCCAATGTATGAGCATAAAAAAAACAACCCTCTATATTTAATGATTAAACACTGATTAATAGTGGAAAAAGTTGTAATCAGTAGTTAAAATATCGAAGGTGTAGGTTAGAAAATCCGATCGAACACTCCAACAGGTAATTACATATATGGTGGTGGGAGAGGTGGGTAGGAAATTTGGAAGTAGAGTGGGAAATTAATGGTGGAGAGGGGACGTCTAGTTAATTACCAAAAAACATATAATTAATTGGACAGTTTGAGGGTGTTAAGAGGGTGCCCGACAGCTAATGACAGATGTTGATATATCTGAAAGTTATCAGATACCTGGCCATTTGCCTCTAATTACATTAAATTTCTTATATGTAACCCTCACTCAAACTTGCATTGGTTCATCTGTAATCTATATGCTTATAATTCATAACATGTATTATGTATATTAGTCTTTTTAAGCTTCTTGACTTCAATATATATGACAAAAGAATCCAAGAGGGTCGACATGTTAGTAATTATTTGGTTTGATAATTAGCCTAAATAAAAGGGTTTAGCAATAGAACTCATGGACATTATACGATATGTATTAGAGCCATGTCAGAGCCAACAGAAATCTGTATGTTGGGTTAAGAGGGATTTGAATTATGGTAATTGTGGATTTGTGGTAGGTTGGGGTGTTGAGGGCACGATTAGTGTTAAGGGGTAGTTTAGTATTTTGTTATGTTAGGTTGCTTAGGGTTTTGAGTCAGAGTTTATATAATGTACTTTATCGTTCAGTTAAGGAGTCAGTCAAGAAATAATCAAAAAATAGTTTACGTATCTCCCAACCCTAAGTTCCTCTCTTCTCTCTAAATCGGCCGTTGGCCACTTCTTGCTCTTCTTCTCTTCAAATCTTCATCAAATCTCTCCCTATTTCTGTTTTTAATCACATTCTGTTACGATAATCTCAGGTGCCAAGATCCACGCCTACAACATGGGGTGACGGAGTCTTACCAACAAGTCTATTTTTCAAAATTGTAATTTTACATGTAATTTTACCTACATTTGATCAAGAAGACTAGATTTAATGTGGCTCCGTCACAATATTTGAGTGATACCATGTGCTTTAATCAACTGTTAATATTAGGGGTCGTGGAGATTCGAACACACGATCATTTGGCCAAACCAGTTCTGATACCATGTCATAAACCAGTTGGCCCAATAACTCGAGTTGTTGAAATAAAGTTATGTTGAATTTAAACCACTCACTAACAAGATAGACTTTCCATACTCGTCATAAACATAAAAGGTTTGATTATACGGTGTATTTTTTTAATAAGACAAACTACCAAGGATCAAATTCTATACGATAGGGTAGATCCATATTACATTTACATACAAGACTAAGATGTTTTGTAAACATGCTCATTGAATAAAGTATATAGCATGCAAATTGCAATGCCAGTGAGCTTTGTTCCTTTTATTATTATTAGTTAGTGTATTTTGTTATCAATTTGATAATATTTGTAAGGGCTACAATATTAAGTATCTTTCATCATTATTTGGATGTATACATGTGATGATGTACGACATGATGCTGATGTGTATATATCACGAGCTGCCAATAAAGAATAATATGTGTCTTTGTTAGAAGGAATTATACTCTTCATATTTTGTGTATATGTAATGAAGGCCTTGCTAATTAATTAAGCAACTCATTGGTGCATGGATTTAACCACTCGTGAGGATAGCTTTGGTATGATTGAGAGGTCTTATACTCGAATTCCTTTGATCTTATATGTTTTGTTAAGCACATGGTGTTCGCAGTTGTGCAAACTTCAACCCTATATGATTGGCTTTCGTTTGAGGGATGTGTTAACAAATGATATATGATCAACAATTGAACATCTTCCAACAACTAGAGCTGTTGGGATCAACGAGTTAGTATCACTTTCCTTATCCATTAATTCATCTAAAATATTATAATTTTAAGGAAAAAAAGAGTTTAAATTATAATTTTTCCATGAACGATTTAGGGATATGAATGCCACATAGCTAGCTAGCTAATTAATTATCTTGGAATGATAGATATCCTTTGCGTTGCTAAGAAGAAGGTCCCTTTTCCTGGCTAACCATAGTTGTTTGCAGGCTATGAGCATCACTATGCTTGCATGGTTCCATCCACCCTGATTGATATAATAGCGTGTGAAGAAGCAAACCAATACGTGTAGTTGGTTACTATGCTAGACTAGTTAGCCTCCAATAATTTAATTTTGGATAAACATTAGTCAAGGACGAAAAGGACACGTACATATATACTCTGTTTGCAGTCCAGCTGGCATGATTGACCAGTTTAATTGACTTGACACCAATTCTTCAAGTGTTTGCGTGCAATTAATATTGCTAGCTAATCGTAATCATCTTTATTAAGTAATAAACTGCATTGTAATTTGCGAAGAAAAACCACGAACATTCTCGGGCTGAGCATAATGACCACTGGGCCTTCTCGTCTTGGCCCGATGAGAGAGGTTGGGTCATATATAATATTCAGGAGAGTGAAGCCCGCCCCGCCCAGTTCGTGATCCGATCCAACTCGATTCGATTAGATCGTGAGAGAAGAGAAGCACCTTGTTCCTGGATGGAGCCAAATACGTGTATGCATGGGAATATTTTGGTGAGCAGAGCCAGAGCTTAAGCTTATCCAGCCTTGTAGTTTGAAAACCTTTTGGTGGGATGGGCGCGGCGCTGAGCTGATTCCCGCCTGGATCGATGTGGTCCGCTACTCTTCTCTTTTTCTGGTTCTCTGATGCATATATATATGTATGGAGATTTTGTCTTTTTTTATTATTATTTTGGGTTCAGACGACACTGCAGTTTTGGGGATGAAGATAGAGGAAAAGAGAAACGAGGGTATGTGGCTCGGCAATGTGTCCCATGCTTAATCGCTCTCTCTCTCTCTTCGACCTTTCATACATACCTACGCCTCTATTCATTTCATTGAGAGAGTTGTGTATTACTATACATTATACAAAGCAAGTAAGCTTACTAACTGACAACGTATCCGGGTCGGAAAGGAAAGCGGTCCCCTGCCGGCCTGACCCGAACATGTCAGATATATATATATATATATATATGGAGGGGAAAAGAAAGAGGCCCGTTTTGTTTGGAAGTGGGCACCACGGTCTCGCTAGCTACCACTACGGGCTAGCTAATTAATTAGTTGGGGAATGGATATTGGAGCGTGAAACTGACCAGATAATTACTTACTTAATCCAAGATTATATGAAGCCCAGCTTCGCTTGTTTGTAGTTAAGATTGATTTAAATGGGTATAGGCCCAGCTCTGTTAGAGAGCTAGTTAAGTTTGGCGCTTAAGCCCTAAGCCCCTAAATCCTAATCTCATCAGCCCTACCTATTAACTACGTGCATAAATAATTGGTACGTAACACAGGGGCGGAGCTAGGATTCAAGCTGGGGGGAGGGGACCGAAATTTTTTTGTTCGTATTATCGAAAAAGCTAAACAAACTAAAAAACAATTTATCAAAGTTAAGAAAAATAATTATTTTGATCATTATAATTTTCCTAGCTACATGCTTGAGACAATTATATTTATTTAAAATATTATTTAAGATAAAAAAATATATCATGTCATTCTGATTATAAACGAGTTAATTATCCACAAAATTAATAATGTATTTCAATGATAATATGTTTCATTATCTTTAATAGCGGAAAATCAATGTGCACTATCCGCTACAAGAAAAAATTTACTCATAATATATTGAAAAGAGTCCTTAAACTTGCAAATACAAAGTTTTCACTGTTTTTAGAGCTGAAAATGAATCCTTACCTTAAGCTAGCAGCAAAAGTAAACTAAAATATGAAAACTAGATGATTATATGCGATTATCATGCCAAGTACAACTAAAACCAAAAAATGAACAAAATATTCTTTATGAAGCATCGAACCTAGACCACCCCTAAACACCTTCTAATGCAAGTATGCCAATCCGTTAATCTACAACAACAATTGTGACATAATTTTCAACCTATGTCATATATCATATACTTTATTTATACGTAATTTTCCCAAATCGTGAACAACTTATACGTCAGTTCCAAAATTCTCGGGGGGGCCGAGGCCCCCCAAGCCATAGTGTAGCTCCGCCCCTGACGTAACAGGCTTAGCTTGTCCGTTGATTATGAAGTGGGAACGGGTCATACATATGTTATGAACTATAAGTGTGAATAAGTAACTCTAACATACTCTATGCTTGAGATCCAGTACTTGAGCTTGGTGCTTAACCTTGATTTGGTGGAGGTGTTGAGTTACATGCTTACCTTTTCCATGAACGACGAGTCATCACATGACATATGAGCTTGATTTACCATAATTGGAGATAACAACCTGTTTTTTCCTCCATAGTAATTAAGAAAGAGTATACATTCATTCATACTAAACCATTGACACCAAATTTATAGTCCACAATCTCATTTTTCTTGTTTCATGATGGGTTTGTTCGTCAACCGCGCGCGCTAGAAGCAAGTTATTGCAAGTATAATTATTATTAATTAATTGCCGACCCTAGTACCACCACCAGTACTGATCAATACCACTGAGTTTTCTCCTTCCAGAAACTACCTAATTTATAATCAACACAAGGGATGACCTAGTAGTAAGTAAACTATGGGCCTCCTATTGAACTTTCAATCATTGAACAGTTTGATCATATAATTAATTATTAGTTCCCTCTAACAAGCACCCTATTCTATTAGACCCATCCCCAACTAGGGATGTTCAAACAGTGTGGTTACCATGATAACCGTTTTAACCAGTACTGTTTGGATAATTTGGTTTGGTTAATTTGGATAATTGGTTTGGTTTGGTTAAAGTTTTTAGCTTGTTTGGTTTAAGTGGTTTGGTTTGGTTTCAGACACTCCTAACCAGTCAAACAAAATTAACCAAATAAATAATTAGTCATATATCTAATATATACACATACTTAATACTTTGAATAACCACTCAAGAGTTCAACATTCATCCTTTTAGACTCATAAAAATATAAAGCTTGATATTGTTCCTATAATGTATATTTGTATATGTAGAGTGTTGACCACAACATATGAACGCCTAATTTAGGTAAATCTCATACATTATGTTGGATGAAAACTTGAAAGCAAGGTCTTTTTCAGCCTATGAAAATTGCTAAAAGACTTAGTCAATTCAAACAAACACAACAATTCATTAACCCATATCATTGTGATAAATTTTTGTTAGGTGAATACTTCTATACTAACCATAAGATAATTGTCTTAGTTGCATGTATTTATGTTAAGGGTCAACTATAACTATGTGTTGATTGTTATGTTTTATCCATTATATAAATTGTGAATTGATAAATTAAGCGAAAATTTTCTCACTTAATGATAATATGATTTTATATTGGTTAATCTGGTTAACCAATTAACCAAACCTATTAAACTTTAGTTTGGTTAATTTGGTTGTTGTATTAGTTTGGACGGTTTGGTTATGATATTGTATTTCATGGTTAATAAAATTTAGCCTTATTTGGTTTGGTAATAACCATGGTAACCATTTGAACACCCCTATCCCCAACCGTCTGGCTATAGATAGATAGATAAGGTGGAGGGAAAGCAAAAACTGTTTTAATGTGATTGGATTTGATGGGATTGCGAACCCACGAATCATCATACTTGTAAACCATCTATATATAGATAATATGGCTGGCCTTTCGGTTAGCGGTTACCGGTTAACTGGCCGGTTAAACCGATAACCGCCAGTTACCGGTTAACCGGCTAACCGAAAATCAAGGCGTCGGGCGGTTGTCGGTAGCAGGTTCTACTGTGCCTGTTAACCGGCTAACCGATGGTTGTAACCAGCGGTTAACCGCCTAACCGGCCAGCTAACCGGCAAGTGAGAAACAACGCAGCTTCATCTCAAGACCCTCTTCCCGACTTCCCCTGTTCGATCGACCCTCTTCCCCTTTCCTAACCCTAATCGACTTCCCCTGTCCTAACCCTCTTCCCAACTTCCTCCATTTTCTTCTTCTCTGTCGAGTGCTGCCGCCGACTGCCAGAGGAACCTTCTCCCTCTCCGTCCCTGAAGGTCGCCGCCCCATTCTCCCTTCTCCCTTCAGGCCTTCACTCCTTTGCTCGCGAGTCGTGACCCAGTAACCTCCAGTCCGCCATCCAACCCGTCGGCGCCGCCACTCCTCTGCTCGCCGCCACTCCTCTGCTCGCCGCCAGCCAACCCGTCACATCGTCAGAATCCAGCAAATGCTCAAGCAATGGCACAGGAAGGCCCGAGCCAACGCCTCTTCATCCTCCGCCTCCTCGTCCTCGGGCTCATCGCCGTCGCTCTCACCGTCGAGAGCCGCCGCGGCGGCGCCATCCGACGTTCCGGTCGGCCACGTCGCCGTCTGCGTCGGGGCGAGCTGCCGGAGATTCGGCGTCCGTTCGACTCACCTGAACCATCCGATCTTCAGGCGCGTCCTCGCCTAGGCCGAGGAGGAGTTCGGGTTCGCCAACGTCGGGCCGCTGCGGATCCCCCGCGAGGAGCTGGAGTTCGAGGAGATTTTGAAATTGGTGTCGAGATCCGATTCGATCAGGAGGTTTCTGCATCTGGAGGAGATTCAGCGGTGCGCTCACTCCTGTGTTGTTCGGAGGAACAACAACAACAACAACAACGGGGAGTTCGTCGGAGATTTGAGGCCTTTGCTCCGTGGTTGAGATCGTCAGAGGGATTTTGGTGGTCAGATTAGCTAGGGTGCTGACTCGTTGGCTCACTGAGTCGAGAAAGGTGAACTCAGTGGCCGAGTTTAGTTTTTTTTGTGTAAACGGTGTCTCTAGCTGTGTTTAGGTATCCAGTGATTTTCGGTAACCGAGTAACTAACCGGTAACCGACCGGTCGGTTGCCGGCTAACCGAAGGATTAGATCGGGAGGTTGTCGGTAGGCTTCCTCCCTGGCGCGGTTAACCGGTAACCGACATTTCGGTTATCAGTTATAACCGAACTAACCGAAATGCCAGCCCTAATAGATAAGCAGCCATTATACCATATGACAATTGAGCACATAGAAATACAATTAATGGAATTAATAGACAAAAAGTGGTGGATCTCTCTAGCTAGTTTTGACTTTGGTGGAGGAGCAAGATCTTCTTAACCCAAGAAATTATGGGCAGAGAAAGTTGTGTTCTGCTGGGCCACAGATGATTATGATGATTTGGCATATATATGTGTGTGTGGAGTGAAATTTCTAGTCAGTACTGCTGCCGCTGCTGCTTGGTGGTATGGTAGTAGTGGGTTGCCGGCTAGCTTTAGGCTAGTTGGTGAATGGTGTAACATTACATATTATGTTATCCAAATTTTCAAGGGCCGTAAGATCTCCAGCAAGGCGAGTGAGTATATACTACATATTATCTGCGGTCCTAAGAGATAGATAAGGTCCTCTCTGGATTTCCCATTCTTCTTTGTCACTTTATCCCTCTCTCTCTCTCTCTCTCTCTCTCTCTCTCTCTCTCTCTACGGTGTACTCTTCTTCACAATCACCACCACCCAAATTATTACAACCATTTTTACCAAAAAAATGTATTATATATTACAAACTTAATCACTGTTCACTACCCATTACACTGACCAAGAGATAGTTCAACCGTAAAGTTTGTTGGTTTCGATATCGAAATCTCAGGTTCGATTCTTAGGGGCGTAGAAAGAAACCCTTTAATAGCACTTCGCTCTCACCTCGGTGGTGATCGTGGAGAGTGCTCCAAAAAGATTGACTGTAAAAGTTTCAATTCATTTAAAAAATGTTGTAAGTTAATGTTATACTTGTTGTGGTACAAGAAAGGCCAAGCATGCATGTGTTCAAGTTTTTTTATAACATAACTCTTGATGTAAGTGATTGATTCAAACACAAATATGCAATCGATTTATGTCTGACTTCAAATAAGATTAATGGTGTTATAATATATATCTACTATTTGACTTATCATCATGATAAGTTGATAACTCAGAATTGAATATAAACATGAATTGGGTTTTCACCTAAAATTGGATTCGAATTATCCAAACTACTAATTTAATTATTTACGGCATCTCGAACACGACTTGACCTCAGAAAAACAAAAAGGAGCACTAGTAGTCAAGTACGTGGTACATATGGGAACCGTGGCTTTGCAATAATTTCGTTTGAGGTAGAGGATGTGTATCAATCGTTATTCATTTGAATTATATGTTTTGGAACCATATGAGATATTTACAAGGGAAGGGAGGGAAAGGGGACACAAACATTTTTTAGGTTCAAGTTACCGATGTTCTCTTCCACTTCCAAAAGATATTTGTGGGAAATATCTCAATTCAGAGTTCAGAAAAAAGAAAGTGGTGCCACTGCCACAACTATAATTTCTTCTTCTCGAGTATTTTTCTTTTTCGAAATTAAAGAGGTAAATAGATTGGAGAAGAAAGAAAAGAGATGAGCTTAGGTTGGGTCCTTGACCCTCATCCGATCCTTAGGTGATTAGCAATAAACACAACACGATCATCATCATCATCATCATCGAACATCAATACTCTTTGCAAGAATGCATTTAGCTACCCATATGTTATAATGGTGGTGTGCACATCAATTCCTTATATAATCATTCATGCCGGACACATCAGTAGGTTGAAACTACGATATTGTATTTTTAATCAAAATTTAGTAATTAATTCTCTTACCGTTAGTATTTTCACAAACAATAAACGAGAGAAATTATGCTTTTATTCATATTTTACTATTGGTAGAGATCTAACCTTGGAACACACCAAATCAAAGTTGAAGGATGAGGTAATAAACAATAAACACCGTACTATATACCATATGGTTCAAGCTATAGTGTTCCCTTTATTACTCATTGGACTCCAAATCGATTTGTGCATGTCTAACACTCAATTTACAAGTTACATCAAGCACCAATACTATGAGGATGACCGTTGATAAAAAAAATTATGAGGGTTACCAACATTTGAACATACAACCTTTCGATTTATTTGAGCTCCAAATGCATATGGAAAGCAGGTTATTCTCAATAACTCGAACTATTGTAGGCTAACAACCGGTTTTCCACTAAAATTCTAGTTGTTTTGAGGTATCCAACTTCAAGAATGAAGATGAAAGCTCAGGGTTGGATCTTAGAGGTGCATGGTTATGGTAGATTGTGGTGGGAGGGATTTGGCAATATAAGTTTTGGATGAGTAGGGTATGTCTAATCACAAGCCAATGAATGTAATTAGGGGAACGTAGAGGCGCAATCTGCCACACAAAGTCAGACTGCCCAATAAGACACCAAAAACCGCTCCTCCCCAATCATTCTTCGTCTTTTGGTTCACTTGCCTTGATACACGTGATCGATCCTCGTCTTCTTAACCCCTTCGAGTAAAAGACACAACCCTCTCTTGTAGGGCCCTGGAAATCCAGACCACCCAATGGGATCCCGCCAACTCAGCAGATAAGGAACTTTTCCCTCAAAGTATTTCCTTCTTATGGAATGTGAGAGAAAGAGATAAGAGAGAGAGAGGGTGAGAAGGGTTTTCATCCTGAGATTTTCTTTTTCCCTTGGTGAGATTTTGGATAAAATCCACCAAACAAGAACAAGAACAACTCATATGCCCATTCCATCCCTGCCCATCCATCAACCACCAACTTTTTATTTCACTCCTTATTGTAATGTCATTTGCAAATGTCATTTGCAAATGTTAGATGAAGTTTGAAGTTCAAGTTTATGAACTCTGCAATGGGCTAGGTTGGATGAACTCAGAAGGGGACCAAAGTTTATGGTATGGTTTGTGTACAATTGAAAATCAATCTTTCTATCCTAGTTTCATAATTTGATAATCGTTATTTATCATTAAAAGAAGATTCTTACAAGCATGCAACCATCTACACCTTAAATCGTACATTACCATTTAAGACATTGTGCGTTTTAATTTTTAAAGCTTTGTCATTCTTAATGGCCTATGTCCTTATGTACAATAGGTATTCAACCCAGTGACGGACCAAGAAATTACATCAAGAGTATTCAATTATGTAATAAAATCATCAAGGATTGTCAAATAGTCTTGAGCTCAAATACTACTATCATTAAAATAAAAAGTTACAAAGAATTTTTGTCTCAAAATTGGAACAAGGTTTGTCAATTGACAAGGATAGGCCTAACCTAGGTCCGCCCCTGATTCAACCCATTACGGGATGAATTAAGTCAGACGTGATTGTCTAGTGCTACTGAAGATATACTCATTCCAATAAATCAAGAAATTTGAATCTAGCGATATGAATGACCATCATATACGGCCGGAAGAGATTCATTTATCCTGTCATATAATTATCAATCTTAACTCTTTAGTCGTCCTAATAATAATTTTATTTATGAGAGATTTTCTCGATTACAAGAGCTAAATTAGAAAGAGCTTCCGAAGGACATACTTTGGCTTGGCAAAGAGGATACATAAGTCCATCTTTACTTGGATTCCACAACCCCCGTGACTATGAAGAATTGCAGAGAAAATGAACATATGTATGGACTACAAGCACAACAAATTGATTTTATTTTGAACTGGAAGTAGAAGGTGTAATCTCTTACACATAGAAAAAAATATAATTTTGTCACCGATTTTCTAGCTAACAAAAGACACTCCTATCCTTTTGACACACATCAATTTGAGGTGAGCCACCCAAAACTAAGATATTAACTTGCTTATGGTGTAATCCGACAACATTTATGCTAATACAATTTGTGCCTTTGATGACTGTCTTACTGCCAAAAAAAAAATTACAAAATAACATTCACCTTGCTACCCAATCTACAGCCAAGCAATATCCCTCCGTTGAATTGGCCCAAATGAGAGATGATAATTAGAGGCCAAAACACAACGAAGGCCCCACCTCTGCAAACAACGCTTGTCTTTTCCTCTGTTCCCATTTTCCCACCATCTCCCTTTCTCTCACTCGCAGGCCTTCACAGCTTTCCCGACTCCGCTGGCTGGCAAAGGCAAAGCCCACTCAGCTCAAGCTCATCCTTGGCCTTGGGGAGAAGAGGGCGAGAGAGAAGGCTATGTTTCTGTCCCCTGCCTCTTATATCTTCACTCTCCCCACTGTCCCAACTTTTTAACGGCCTTCTTCTCTTCTTCTCTGCCCGTGACCTCTTCTTCTTCTTCTTCTTCTCTGTCTTTGGGTAGACTTCCTCTGCCAAAAAAATCTCCCCTCCTTTCCTCATTCAGCTTCACTTCATCGCCTGGGGTTTTCCCAAGGGTTTTTGGGTTTTCCATTCCCAGACGTATCATGTTTTGCAAGCTTTCCAATTTTTGTTCCTGTTAGGTAGAAATGAAGCTTTTTTCTTCAGGGGTTTTGAGTGGTTTTTGCCGTTTTCCTCCCTACCTTTTCTCCACTTCCTCCGGCTGTATCCTATTTGGTTCTACTCTTCCTCTAGTTTCTTCCACCCAATAAAATATTCCTCCCCACTGAAAGATTTTGGCTTTTCTCCCCTTTCCCCCCTACAGGGTTTAGGGTTTTGGTAATTGTTCTTTTGCTTCTTTCACTCACTGAAAGTCTGCTCCTTTTTCCCCCTCCTGACTGAGTAAAACCTTCTCCTGTTCTTCTTTCCTTACAACAAGAATGTCTTCCCCCTGTTTGAGTGGCGGAGGCGGCAGAGCCTATGGAGGATTCGACCTGGAAATCGTGAAATCGACTTCCTCCAGAACTTCCCAGACAACCTCTTCTTCCCCATCTTCAACCCTCTCCGAATCTAGCAATTCCCCCTTAGCAATCTCCACTAGAAAGCCTCGTACACCTCGCAAGCGCCCCAATCAGACTTACAACGAGGCCGCTGCCTTGCTCTCCACTGCCTACCCCAAAATCTTCCCCGCCGCAGCCGTCCCCACATCCAAGCCTTTCTCCCCACTCCCCCTCGATTCCTCCGAATTGCTGTTTTTCCCAATTCGGGAGAAATCGAAGGACCCCAAATCGGCGGCCACGACGGAGGTGAGCTCGCGGGACAATTCGTGCCAGAGCAGCAGCGTCGCCGATTGGAAGGAATTGTGCGGCGGCGGCGGAGGAGGGTACGATGAGGAAGAATTCGATGCGGAATCGATTCTCGACGAGGAAATCGAGGAAGGAGGGATCGATTCCATCATGGGGAATCTGAGTGTGGTCAGCAGCAGCAGCGTAGGGGAATCGGTCAATCAGAGCCAAATTCCGGGCTTCGTTTACGGGTACCCGCCCGGTTTTTCCAGCCGGAATTTCCACCAGTGGGTCGGCAATGGCGCCCCTGCCAGCAGAAACAGGGGAGGAATCAGGGCGTTTAGGAGGGTGGACGATTGGTGGAGCTACCCGGTGGTCGATGTCCTCCAAATCTCTCCCAGGCTCAACTCCACCAACCGCCGGTCGAGCTCCAGCTTCGATGTCCTGCCCGGCGGCGCGGAAAGCAACGGCAAGGCGACGGTGAAACAGAGTCTTCCTGGTTCCGGGGAGAAGAAGAAGAGCAGCAATAGTAGTAGCAAGAAGAAGAAGAAAGTGGAGAAATTGGAAGAGAATGAATCGAAAGCTGCAATTTTGAGGGAAGAAGAGGAGAAATCCAAAGCTGGGAAATCTGGGTTGCTGCTGAATTTGAACTACGATGAGGTTTTGAAGGCGTGGTCGGGGAAAGGGTCGCCGTTCCCGGAGGATTTGGACGGAAATGATGTTTCCGTACGTTTCTCATCTCCTCCTCTCCCGCCGGCGGGGAATAAATGAATAATTTTACCCTCCTTTTTCCCCTTTTTTATTTTCGCTTTCTCTCTTTCTAATTTCAATAAACAATTAGCTTAGCTTTTTTTAAAATGACACACTATAATTAATTAATTATAAGTGTACTCTACTTACTACTCTTGTGTTGCATTTGCCTAGTTTATTTATGTTAAATCAAATTCCTTTGGGTTGTAATTCACAAATTATTTTCTTCCCCACCAAGCCAATGCCCAAATGAAAGGATGACCTACTTTCCTTTTTATTCTCTCTCTTTTTTTAAGTTTTGTTTTGTTTGAGCTTTGAAGAAATGGTACTTCAATTTTACAACAAAGAATCGAGCTTTCTCCTTTTTATCTTTTTACCCTTTTCTTGGGATTAAAGTGGTTGAAAAATGAAAGTAGTGGGTAATTAAATAATTTCAAACGAATGTCCAATTCTTTGGTTATAAACACGTGTGATAAACTTGTCGGTTTGGTTAATTTAATAACCATGAAAAATTGGTTTGGTGGGGGGACATTTTAATACATTAACTGAAATCACGATGGGAGGAGGACAAAAAGATATTGGGGAAGTAATTATTTGTGTAAATAATTAGATAATTGACAACGCAAGCATTATAAATTGATTAATTGACTAGCCATGACGTGAACATAAATAAAAATGAAGAGGAGATCGAGGAGTGAGTGATGTGAGCAATATGGGACATAACATAAATCTAGTTAATATCCGTAAAAAAAAAAAAATCTTGTTAATATCAAATTGTGCCAATTTGGTGACGACTTGTTGAATTATTGAATTCATCACCAAAGGCCCACGCATTGTACAATGTTGGTTTTGTTAGGTAACAATGATACATTAGTGGATTGATTGGGTGGCTTAATGACTCTAATTTTTGTGTTGTTGTTGTTATATGTGGAGATGCAGACTAGGGTGGCGCAAATCGACTTATTTTCACTGGATGGGGGAGTGAATGACGGAATCAGAGAAGCGAGCGTGTTGAGATACAAAGAAAAGCGTCGGAGTCGGTTGTTTTTCAAGAAGATCCGCTATCAAGTTCGCAAAGTCAATGCCGATCAACGCCCCAGAATGAAGGTAGGTTGATAAACGACTTCAATTACAAGTAAGCTGAGTATTTTTCAACTATTAAAGTATATTTGAAATATATGATATTTAAGTACATTAGGGTATGCTATTATGCACAAGCAAGCAAATTTATTTTTCAACACCATTATACGATTTGATTTACAAGTAAATTCAAAATTGAATGTTCTCATCTATTAAAATATCTTTGAAAAAGGTGATATTTTAGTACATTAAGTTACACTATTATGCACAAACAATCACATCTCTTTTCGTACCATTATTATTCGCTCGCCCTTTTTCTTCTTCTATATAATTCATTAACTACCAATTTCCCCACTTCTTAAATAATTCAACCACCATTTCATTTCCCTTTCTTTCTTTAAGAATTCTCCTGCGCCTCTCTTTTTTTTCCTCCGTGGATCCTTGTATCTGTCATTAATTAATGATTATGGACTTGTTGTATCTGATCATTGATTGTGGTTATATCATTATTTAGGGTTGTTGATAGCTTGTTAATAAATTGTACAAAATGTGATTATGGTACGAATCCTTATTAACTAATGACATTCTTGTGTTTTGTTGTGTAGGGCCGATTTGTGAGAAGGTCAAACTCCATCAGAAGCGAGAGAAGTAGTAGCCCTAGCAGTAGCAGCCAGAACGACGACGAACTATAACACCCATCACACCTTTAAATAACTTTCGTAATAATAATATTATCTCCATCGATCGCCACTTTTTATATATTTTTTGTTCTTGCAATTTTGTTCCGGAAGTATCTTATTCGATAATATCATTTCAAAACTTGAGAGAGTATATGAGATATGATAGTTGAGCTTGTCATTACACAAGAGAGCGGGAGAGAGAGAGAGGAATGATGGGGGGAGAGAGAGAGAGGGGAATATTATTGTTATGCTTAGCTAGGCCAAGAAATAAACAAATGTTGTTCATCACTTGTTCTATTAATTAATTTGTATGATTATTTTCCATACTTGGTTCGTTCCATTTGTATGGGTTTAAGCCTTTGTTAAGGGCTCAGGCTGCCGGGCTTGTTTGCTGTGCCAGGCCAGTTTTGGGGTTGGGCCCATTCCACACCAGCCTTCCCTCATGTTAATTTGTTGAAGATGAATTGAGATGATCCATTGTTCATACAAAACCCACAAATGACAGCCTCTACGACTCGGAGTTATATCTTTATGTTAACCATTAATTTTTGTACGACACATGATTAAAATTTCTGTTGCTCGCGTATTGATGTGATGCACTTTCTGTGATCAAAGCTGAGTAATTAAGTTCACTGATGCATTAGCCGATGAGGAGAGAGCATTTAGTTTATTGATTAGTGTTTAGTCAGGTAATTAGTGGACCAAGGTTGGTATTCGCGCCAAGAGTATCCTATATACCCTGTTCCAAATTCCACATTCCCGCGTGTCATCACAATTCGCTTATTAGGTTTTCTTTTCCCCAAATCAAATATGCGGGAACAGAAGAAACAGAATTGAGGGCCACGGGATCAAAGCTCCGCCCGCCAGTCATGACCGCCGGCGCCGGCAGAACGCCGACTGGACAGTAAACTACTTGCTTTCGCTGCTTATACTTCAACCAATCAAAACTCGTGCCGGTAACGTTTCCTGTTTCTCATCTAATTTTATCTGTCAATAAACCCAAAGAGACGAATCTTTCTCACTCGCTGTTCAAAACCCAACTCCCGGAATTCCATGAACTGATTGGGATTTCCGATTCTGTGAAAACACCCCCTTCAGCTTTGATTCTGAGCTTACTTTTCCCAGCGGGTCTTTGATTGTTCGTGAATGGGATTGCCTGCCGCTTCTGTGAATTAGTTCTGCCCTAAATCGCCATGGTAATTTCCCCAAACAAGCTGCACGAATCAACAGGACAATCGAACGAAGAGGATTCAACCCAACAACAGCGACCATCGATCTTAACCAATTTATCTGGGATCACAGCGCCTATGCTTGTCTACGAGAAAAGGAAGCTTTCTCAACCATCAACCATCGCCAATGCCTCTGAGATTACAGCGCCTGTTCATGTGTATAAGAGAAGGAAGCTTCGCCAACCATCAAGCAGCACCAATGTATCGGAGATTACAGCGCCTATGCATGTGTATAAGAGAAGGAAGCTTCCCCAACTATCAGACAACACCAATGTGTCTGCGCCTATCCATGTCTGCAAACGAAGGAAGCTTTGGCAGCCATCAACCAGCACCAATGTCTCGGAGATTACGGCGCCTATGCTTTGCTACAAAAGAAGGAAGCTCTTACAAGGATCACCTATGGCTAATGTATCTAAGATTACAGACCCTACCCTTGTCTACAAAAGAAGGAAGATTACCCAACCATCCTCTATGCTTGTCTACAATAGAAGGAAGGTGAAAAGAGGGAAGAACTCTTTCCGTTCTACCCTTAGTCATAGTGTCAATGATAGCTGCTCTTGCTCACCATCAATATCAAATGTGGACTTCAATTCGGCATGGCTAAGTAAAGAAGGGGAAGATGATACAGCTGAGAGTTCTTCTTCATCTGCATCTGGGAGGGATATATGCCTTTCAATTCTTGTAAGGCATGGAGTGATCAAAGAAGTTTTGCCTTGTAGGGCTTCTGGTCCCAGGATAGGAATTGGTGGCATGGGTTGTAGGCGGTGCAGGGTTTGTTCTCGTTCAGATTCCACAAACAGGATGCTGCTTTGTGATGATTGTGAGGCGGCATTTCACTTATCTTGCATCAATCCTAGGATAAGTGTAGTTCCTGTAGATGAGTGGTTTTGCCATTCATGTTTGACGAAGAAGAAACCGAAGGTGTGGAAGGAAGCTGCTGAATGTGCTTATATTATTGATGGAGTGAAGGGATCTTTGAGATCTGTGTCTGCAAGCGGACCGTCTCCTATTGACTTGATGCTGAGTGATGATGAGCCATATGCTAGCCATGCTCGTATTGGTAAAAGGTTTCAAGCTGAAGTTCCAGACTGGTCAGGTCCAGTTTTGTAGTATGTATCAAGTCTGATTTTGTCAATCACAAGGGAAAGTGTGGTCAGAATGCCTGTCCTTTGTATGCAAGGAACCATTTTGCTTCTTCTTCTTTCACCTTTTTAGCTGGATTGAAGATAAATAGAATACCAGATATGATAGTTTAACATGTAGTAACTTTGTTGGTCGATTTCTTCAATGGATATAAGTGTCTTTTGCTTTCCATGTTTCTCATGTATCTTCTTCCGATGGAATGAACATCAATTTCTCATGTACCTCTATATCTTTCTCTATTGTTTTTCATATAGGTCAGTTATTGTTTTTCCAGAATTAGACAGTGTAACTCTAGAATCTTCTGTTTAAGCGCAGTCCTTGCTGAGAGAAGTCGTAGTTTCATAGTTATGTAATGAATGTTGGCTGCAGTGATCTCAACAACTTTGTTGAGTCTTTCAAAAGGAATTCATTCATCTTGACTAATTCACTGGAGGGTTGTGGTCTGGTTTTAGCTAATAAGTAATTCCAAATAGCAGTATACTCGCCTTGAGTTGTGTAGAACTCAGAAAGGACACCCTTATATAGGATCTGAAACATAGCAAGCCTCCTAAACGAGGGGACTTGTTCTAATTGTCTCCAAGGGAAGGATCAGATGTGCGAAGTGGTGCAAGTAGTTCAAGTTTTGTGGTGCAGATGTTCATCCATGTGATGACTATCATGAGAATGCTGATTGAAGCGCTGAACTCCGAAAAAATTGCAGTTGGGACTGAATTTTGGATAGCCCGAGGATGCCTCATGAAGTATCAGCTTGAAGCCTTGAATCAAGTATGCAGATATTGGGCAGTTATTGGTGCATTCCGCATGTAATGTCAATATCTAGCTTAAGGAAATAATCATACTCCAATTGTTTGGCCATTTCTTGTTTGACCTATTAATGCATAGTCATTTGCTCAAGTGGCAGACTCTGCAGATACGCTTCTCTCTCTTTTGAACTGATATAAAGAAGTTCCTGCCATATTTTCGGCTGTCATAGGTGTGCTTGAACTGATGAACCAGCAACTTTGCATGCATTTAGATAAGGTTACAGGCAATAAGAACTGGAAGTAGTGAGTGTTGGAAGAGATGGACATCAACAACATGCATTTCTGATATTTCTGTTGCTTTAAGTCTCGGGTCTTGGGTGCCTGAAAGTAATGTATAATGGTTATCACTAGTTTGAGCAGAATTTCTCTGTTTATTGCAATAACTTCCACTCCATTATATACACAACACACAACACACAACATAGACTAACAGAGGTTTAGAAAAAGCCTTGACAATGCCTTCATATATGCTGACCTAAAAAATATCCCAAAATGCAGGATGCTTGGTAAAAAAAGGTTACAACTGGTTAGTGAGCATCTCAAACTGCTATCCTACTGATAACTTTAATAAATTTGGTAAATTTCTAAACTTCAACCTTCAATGCCTAGCTGTAGATAGAGAAAAAAGTGCTATCTGCAAAGGCTAAGCTGAGCTTTATCCAATTGTCATAATCTTCTCCTTTAGCTCGGCAGTAGGCACATAAACCACTCTTTCTTGAAGAACACGGGTCTTGGACCTCCTACGTTTGCTGACCGGCAGACTCACCAGAAACTCCCTCATGTTGTCTATGGTGTCTTTGGCTCTACAAAGTCTTTCCATCTCACTCTCAGCCAGTTCATGAAATGGAGACTCTGGAAAATTTGAGTCGGAATGCTTCTTCCCTACACTTGATTTCTCTTCTGGCAGAGTCTTCAAGCTCGGATCATCACACTTTTGGACTTCTATCTGTATGGAACAGGGAAATTGAATGTTCTTTTAATCGTTACACACCGAGAAAACAATGGTTACAGAAAGCTAACAGCTTGATTCCAGTGTTTCTTATATTGTGATGCCCTAGATCATATTTGCTAAAACGCTTCTTCCCATTTACCTCACTATTTCCCGCCTTTGATTCAAGGGAAACTTCTGTTGGATCAGGTTCCTTCAGCATGCAATTAGATAATAGCTTCTTCTTTGGGAGCACATCTTTTGAAGTCCTCGTTGTATGTAACCCAGGTTCAGTTTCGACATCTGAAACTTCAGCGCCTCCACTCCTATTTTCATTTCCTGTTGATTCACCAGAAATCTTAGGGTTGGAATCACTGCACTCTGGTGTTTTGTCCGTCCGACTCTGGCAAAAAATAGAATCACCAGTAAGCTCAAAAGAACAATAAATACTCTGAACAAATCTTTCCAGGAGACTAAAAAAAGTAACACGAAACTGACAACAGAAGTTACAGCACAGGACATATGTAGGCAAAATCAAGCACCAACTCACCTTTCTGGATCTCAATGCCACGTATCGTGCATTCTTGAACCATTTGCTGACCTGGAATTGCAACTCCAAGCCGTGAAAATCATATGGGGGAAGGAATAAATAACAGTAATGCACTATTCTACTCAGTTGAGTATCACCCATCAATGCTGATCCACACACAACTTCAATGCATTGGTTTGTCACTTAGGTTCATACCTTTCCCATTTCAAGACCTAACTCTTCTGAAAGCTTCTGTTTAACTGTTGTGCAAGGAAGTTCATTTTCCTCAAAAACTAGCCGTAGTTTCTGAAAGAAAGCGCAAAATGTTGACATTACATTTCAGCAAAGCTAAGAATCAGAGCTGGGAAACAGGTAAACAAGGGATGAAGATGTTGGCACCTCAACTGCACTGGGGGGAATTCTAGATAGTGCCCTTCGAGCTCGAGAATCTTGAGGAAGTTCCTTCTCTCCTTCCAAAGTCTCCGCCTTTTTCCTTGGTCTTTTACTTACATAGAGAGTCATAAGCGTGCTAGCTGCATCTGACTCCTTTTCCTTCTTTTTCCTCTTGTTAGGACCCCAGTCTTCATCTTCACTAAGTTGGTCAGCTACAGGAGCATCCTTCCCAAACATTTCCTAGAACAAGCAGAAGTCCAAATGAATATGTCAGTAAGTAGAAAGCTTCAAACCTTCTGGACTTTGCGGATATTCCCTATTTATATCAAGGCAAAAGCCAAAAGGCTCTACCCGAATCCTTAAGATTATAATACTCACGTCATACAATTTCCGATAATCAACTGCTCTGCGCTTTCTGCGGCCACACATGATTTCAACATCACTGGATTCATCAGAATCTAAGCTACTATATATTGACTGGTTTCTGAACTCCATTCCCACGACATGCCATCTTCTGGATCCAGAAATAGCTTCATCATCTGAAGACCAACCCAAGCTAGTGGAGCTGCTAGCATTATCCGACTCATCATTATCCGTTCCTGCACCACTCATGCTATTTTCCCTCCTTTCTGGATCATAATTTTCATCTTCAGAGTCATCTGAAGGCCATTCTTCTTCAAGAGTTAAAATATTCGCACCATCAGGAGCTGCTGCATCTTCCTCGAAAAGATCCTACTTCAGCAAAAAAAAAAAAAAAGCGTTATTGTAGTTAGAAAATACCCAAAGAAAGATATTTTCATGATTCTTCTGTCCACTCAAACAACCTGCCACTCGCAATTCATTGAGTATTCGGTTCCAAGGTGTGCATTCATTGAGTCTATGATCTCCATTCTACGTTCGCAAAGCTTGCAGAACCATCCTTGGTCTCCAGGGGGTACTGCAATGTGCAAACGCGCAACAGAGCAAAAGCATTAGGGAGAAGCTCCCTCTTTGTCATTTTGCCCAAATTCAAAACACAGTATAGGAGAGTGGATATATTACTGTTTTCGGTGTGAAGTGGAGGTTCAAGGCACATTTGATGGAAGGCACAATTGCATGTCCCGTCACAGAGTATAATGTCGTTATCTTGGACTACTTCATTTGATTTGCACTTTGCACAGAAGATCTGAGAATGATAAGTAAAAGAAAACATGAGTGCACGAAACTTATGATAATCCTGGCTGTGAACAGAAATATAGCAGCTGTGATACTGATAATGCATGCTTACATGTTCATGGGATACTGATCCATCTGGGGCCATAACTGAGTCTTCAATACATCCAACTGCACTAAGCAAATCAAGTTGGCGGATTGCATCCCGTATTCCAAGTTTGCACTTCAAAATCTGTATTTTGGCTCTTAGTAGTTCCTTCTCTGGCCTGATCTTCTCTCGACTGCAGCAGAATTTACATTTTAAGAGTTAATAAGTTCCCCAAAAACTCGCTTCTTTCAGTTGCACATTCCAAAAACAAACATACCTAACTTTGACTTCTCTTAGGTATGTTTCAGGGTGTCGGAACTCAATGCTAAAGATTTAATGCAGATAAACATTGGTGAAGCTCAAATATAAAAAGGAAGTGTCTAACGAAATATCTGCTGCTTCTTTCCTTTAATATCCCAAGTCGGTGTAACAAATATTGCAGTGTCAATGATACTTGAATCAAACCTAAGTTGGTCTGGTTAGTGTTGATTCTAGTAAAGAACTTCATCAGGCAAAAGTAGCTTCTTCACAAACTTAAGAAACTAATTAGACATACAAATCGATCAAAGCCCATTTTACATACTTATTCAGAAAAATTCATAAAAGCAGATTAATATTTTATAGTTTCTCAAAATCAACCGAAATGTGAAAAACTTTGTTACCTGTGACCTTTCCATCCTTCTCCACAGTAAGCATCTATAAGGTTCTGCTCCATCTTCATTTTAATCATTAAATACCTTGTTCTCCTTTGCAACCGTGATGGTTCATCTAGCTCTACCTTAGTCATTCGCCTTCCATCTATCCTTCTCCTTTTGAATTTTCTCTTGGTAGTCTCCTTGTTAGCATTCTTGTCATTCAACTCAAAACATATGGAAGTAGACGGTTCTGACTTCTTTCCGGACCTTTTATGAAGTGCTTTGCGCACACTTTTACCTCTGACCAACTTTCTAGACCTAATACCTTTCCGGATCACCTTACTTGGAGGATGAGTGACTTTCTTCTTTGATATTTGTTTCTTACCGAGAGCGACCTTGCTACCACGTCTGGACTTCAATGATGCAATTAACAAGGACCCATATTCTGCCTTGGAGAGAGTAGCTTTCTTGAATGCCTGATCTGCTACTTTCTTCGCGATGCTATGCATATCTATATCTCAGATTTTAGAGCTGAAAAAGAGTTTGATTATATATAAATAAACATAGAGTAGCATATAAAAAGATGCAAACTTTGCAGCTGAACTTCATCCTAGTAAAGTATATCTATGGCTTCTAATTAAATTAGCAAATGTATTAGTAAAAAGGAACCCAATTCTGGAAATTGCAAGCACAATCTTAGCAACAACTGAGAGAGAACACATAAGACAGAGATTATGACAATTGGGGATTGATCCCTACAGAAAACATATATATTAATGGAACGAATGATCACATTGCAACACTGCAAACTTTAGGAAGATCAGTTACACCTGCAGTTGAGGAGCTGAACAGAGAGAAACTGAGCCAAGTAAAACCGAAAATGAGCATCCACATTCCAACAGAAGAAACTAAAGCGTAGCAGAAAGGAAGAAGAAAAGCGTACCCAGTGTAACTGTAGAATTCGGAGGCAAGATCGAGAATTGAAAGAGCTTGCTGCTATGGTAAGAGGAAAGGAAGGGAAGAGCGAGGAAAAGGGTTATTGATCTGATGATATTGAGGGGAAGAACTTCAGAATTTAAAACTCTGGGGAGTGTGAGTTGCAGAAAGTAGCAGAATTTCCTGCTGACTTGGGGTTTCGCACAACACAAGATGACTGATTGAACGAAGGGCGACGTTTCTGCTTCCTTCCTTTCTGCTTCTTTCTTTTTCTTTCCTTACCGATATAATTCTCTCTTGCTAGTTGCTATTTGCTAGTTGCTATTGTTAAATTAATAGCGTGGCTCCTGCCATTTGGCAAGAGGTAGGTGAGGTATGAAATTTGATAATGTAATGAGTTATATAGTTTATTGTTGTATAGTTTTTTTTTTTAAACCCGTGATAAAAATAGTGAATTTTAGTAGGAAAGAGACATGAATGATGCAACGAATCAAAAATCAGCCTTATGAACCAAAATCAAGCACCTATTACCTTGTGAAACAATATTGTTTCTGGTAATATGATAAGGTGGAGTAAGTTTTATAGAAACCGAATTCCAGAAAATCGAATAAAAATCGCCTATCCCGGGAAATGAGCATCTCACAATCGTTGCTAGCTTTTACTCGACCCGTTGGCTGATTAATTTGCTTTATAAAACTTTCATCTTGTCATCATTGTGCTTTCTGGTTTTTTGCCAAACCATGATAAAATATAAAGAAATCAAGAATGAACAACACGATCTGGGACAGGAACCACCGTTCCTGTATCCCTAAAAAATGGTGGTAAACACGGACTCACCTGCCAAACTGGTTTGGATTGAGATTTTTATCGGTTATCAGGGAAACATGTGATTATAAATTAGACTTGATAAAAAACGGGCAAAAACTTGAAATTCAGCCTGTTTGACCGACCCATGCCAAACTCTAATTATTCTTTACTTTTAAACTTTCTATTTGAAATAAAAAATAATGAAAGAAAAGAGATGACTGCAATTCGCCATTTGCACATCACTGATTCGGGAATAAAATTATAGAATTTCGAAAGAAAACTGAAAATCTTTAGGATCGTTTTAATGTTAAAAATAACCAAATAGATCTTTCTGTTTAGTTTTTTACTAACAAATACCAAACGATTCCCTATAAGATACATTATAATTTAATCATTATGATATCAAATAATTACATAATATATATTTGAAATGATAAAAATTGGACTAATTGGGTTGGTCGAGGTTGAACCATTGAATAACTTTAAAATACATGATATTTTAGCCACTAAGATATAAAATAATAGCATAATATATATTATGCTAGAGAAAATAGTTTGTTTTAGAATGGAAAACCCATGATGTTCATTTGTTTTACTTAATGGGCAAATCTCGTGTAGGTCAGGCCCATTCAACTCTTTTATTTTATGATTAGCGGTTAGCCCATTAGAATCCATGCATTAGTTTATTGTTATTTTTTTTCTTTTTAGCAATAAAAAGAAGTATTGTTTTTGCCTTTTCGTATATATTTTACCACCACGGAGAAATAAAAGGGCTTAAAAAAATCGATACTCCTCGACCTGTTTAAATCCGCATGTGTACGGTAAGTTGGCCCGTTCCACAGAGGAAAAAGAAAAAAATTGACACTCTCTATTCTACCCATTTCTACAAACGCTCATGGAGCAGGGAATTTGAAATGAGGGATGGGTTTTTTCTCTCTGTGATTATATGTTTTTAATTTAAAAAGATACAACAGATCTACTTAGTGTGATTGGTTATGATCTTTGCTTTTCTTTGAAATGAGGCTTCAAGTTTTCTCATTTGGCTTTTATTTATTGTGTAGATTAGTGAGTGTAGTCTTTCCAGTTTCCAGTTCCACACTCTCCTCTCCAATAGTCTAATTGCAAACCTCTAAGAATGACCCACCGTTTATCTGCTATAACTGCGGAAAACCGGGTCATATGGCAAAAAAGTGTCGAAACAAGCAAAACCCTGCCGCTGCGGCCAGGGTTAACTTGAAAGAAGAGGATTTGATAGCCATGATCACGGATATGACCGCTGAAGTTAACCTCACCGGTGACTCAGAAGGATAGTGGTTGGATACAGGTGCATCGAAGCATGTATGTAACAATCGTGCTATTGGGTGAAATGGGATATTGTAAAGACTCCAATTATTAGAGGCGGTTTGGGAGTCTTGGATCTTAGGTGTATGAATCGAGCTTTGTTGGGGAAATGGGCTTGGAGATTTGGGGTTGAGAGGGATGCATGGTGGAGGAGGTTGATTGTTGCAAAGTTTGGACAAGGTAGGTCCGAATGGAGACCATGTTGGAATTTGGGAGTGTATGGTTGTTCTGTGTGGCGGGCAATTGTTAACGAAAGCTCTTACTTTTGGAAGGTTGCCTATGTCGATCCTGGGGGTGGTTTTGGGGTGTCTTTTTGGCATGATTTTTGGGTTCCTGGGAAACTTTTGGTGAGTGATTTCCCAAGGGTTGGGTTCGTAGCCCAATCCTTGGATGCCTTTGTGTCTGACATGTTTTCTATGGTTGATAGGTCTTGGGAGATTCCTCTCACTATATCTCTGAGGGGTGGAGCTGAAGCTGAACGTGTTCTTTTGATGCAAACGTTGAATGCTCTTCCTCAACTTTGGATTACCACAGGGCCTGCACGTTTGGTTTGGCCTTTAGAGGCATCTATGGTCTTCTCGGTTCATTCTTTCGCTACAAACCTTATTGAGAGTAACTTTGGAGGTGACACTGCTTTCCCTTTCAAGTTGGTGTGGAATCCTTGTGTGCCCTCAAAAATATGCTGCTTCCTTTGGATGGTCTCTCATGAGAAGATTGCTACTGTGGATAACTTGAGAAAAAGAGGGATGATTCTTCCGAATTGGTGCTCTCTTTGCAAACAACATGAGGAATCGATTTCACATCTCTTTTTCTCATGTCCATTTGCAACTGCCATATGGGATAATTTCAAAAAAGCTTTTGATCTTCATGGTCCTTACCTTTCTTTCATTCGCCAATTCCTCATTGCTTGGCGAGGCTTGTGGTGTGACCCACGATTCAGAGACTGCATCAAGTTATTGCCCCATGCAGTGTGTTGGTACATCTGGTTGGAGAGAAATAATAGGATTTTCAGGGATGTGGAGTCCTCCCCAAAAGAGATTGGACAGAAGATTGTTTTATAGTTGGACGATGGTTACGAGCTTTTAGTCGCATCTCAGATAGACGCTTCCACCAGTGGATGGTGATCGGGACGAAGCACCTCATTTGACCCTCACGTTCTTTCTTCTTCGTTATTCTCGAGTTGGTTGTTTTTCTATTGCTTATTATTATTATTATTATTATTATTATTTTCTCTTCATTGCTTGCTTGCTCTACTACTGGTTGAGCTGCTAACTTTTTATTTTTTACCTTTGTACTTTCATGAATTGGTTAGTTTCTTATAATATTCTCATCATTCATAAAAAAACCAATCGTGATATGTTTAAAACATACACAGAAGCACCTGCTGGCAAGAAAGTATTGTTGGGGACTACTCACACCACTATGGTTGCTGGTTCTGGTGAAGTGGAGCTGACCTTCACCTCTGGGAAGAAGATGGTGCTCAAGGATGTGTTGCACACTCCAGAGATAAGGAAGAATCTTGTTTCGAGATATCTTCTTAATAAGGCTGGATTTAATCAAACTATTGGGGCAGACTTGGATACCCTTACTAAGAATGGGAGTTTTGTGGGAAAGAGATATGCATGTAATGGGATGTTCAAGTTGAAAGTCGAAATTAATAAGATGAATTCTTCAGTTTACATGGTGTGTGATTTGAATGTTTGGCATGCTCGTCTTTGTCATGTGAACACATGAATAGTGAAGAATTTAAGCAAGCTAGGACATATCCCTAAACTTTCAATTAATAAATTTGATAAATGTGATTTCTATAGCCAAGCTAAAATAACGAAAACGCCACATAAATCTGTGAGTAGAGAATCAGAACCCTTAGATCTGATTCATTCTGATATTTGTGAACTAGATGGGACGTTAACTAGGTATGGCAAGAGATACTTTATCATTTTCATAGATGATTGCTCTGATTATTGCTTTGTTTATTTGATGAAAAACAAAAGTGAAGCCCTTGACATGTTCAAGGTATTTGTGGTTGAATTTGAAAATCAGTGCAATCGAAAGATAAAAAGACTTAGGAGTGATAGAAGATCAGAGTATGACTCTAATCCCTTCAAGGAATTCTATAGCTCACATGGTATCATTCATGAAACCACGACACCATATTCACCAGAAATGAATGGTAAAGCTGAGCGGAAAAATAAGACGTTTACAGAATTAGTTGTGGCTATTATGCTCAATTTTGGAGCTGATTCTTCTTGGTGGGGTGATATTTTGTTGACGGTTTGCTATGTGCTAAACCGTCTTCCAAAAACAAATAGAAACGAATCACCCTATGAGATCTTGAAGAATAAGCCACCTAATCTGTCCTATTTAAGAACGTGGGGCTGTTTGGCCTACGTAAGAATTCCGGATCCTAAGAGGATTAAGTTGGCTAGTCGAGCATATGAATGTGTCTTCGTTGGCTATGCGGCCAATAGTAAGGCATATAGATTCTATGATTTGAATGCTCGTACTATAATAGAATCCATTGATGCTGATTTCTTTGAGACACGATTTCCATTTAAAACGAGAAATAGTGTAGGTAATGTACTACCTGCTATTAGAGATAACGGAACTAGTGGGGGTGTTGGTTCTGAGGATGAACTCAGAAGAAGTAAAAGAGCTAGAATCTATAAAGATTTTGGTGATGACTTTACTACAGTATACACCCTCGAAGATCCAAAAAGTTTGGAGGAAGCATTAACTTCCATAGATGCAGATTTTTGGAATGAGGCCATTATAGATGAAATGGAATCGTTAGAAGCTAATAAGACTTGGCATCTAACAGACTTACCTCCTGGATGCAAAGTCTTAGGTAATAAATGGGTTCTAAAAACGAAACGGAAACCTGATGGTGCAATCGAAAGGTTCCGAGCTCGCCTAGTAGTTAAGGGCTACAAGCAGAGAGAGAATACAGATTTCTTCGATACCTATTCACCAGTATCAAGAATAACACCCATTCGTGTAATGATTGATCTTGCTGCCTTGAACAATCTCGTGGTACACCAAATGGATGTTAAGACCGCTTTTTTGAACGGTGATCTGGATGAAGAAATCTATATGGAACAACCAGAAGGGTTTGTTATCCCCGAACATGCCTCGAAAGTTTGTAAGTTAGACAAATCATTATATGGTTTGAAACAGGCTCCAAAACAGTGGCATGAGAAGTTTGACACTCTCGTTCTCTCACATGGCTTTAAGGTGAATGAAAGTGACAAGTGCATTTACTGCAAGTCAGAAAATAACACTTGCACTATCATATGTTTGTATGTAGATGACATGTTGATATTTGGTACAAATGTTCACGTGGTCAATGGAGCAAAAGCCATGTTGAAAGAGAGCTTTGAGGTGAAAGATCTGGAAGAAGCAAAGTTTATGCTTGGAATCCAGATAACCAGAACAACAAATGATTATTCTCTAGATCAATCTGGCTGCATAGAGAAGATCTTGAAGAAATATAACTATTTCGACTGTAAACCTGCATGTACTCTGTATGATGCTAGTGTAAAGCTATTTAAGAAAACTGGAGACAGTGTAAGACAATCATAATATGCTAGCATCATTGGCAGTCTCCGTTATGCTGCGGATTACACTCGACCAGACATTGCATATGTCGTGGGATTGCTTGGAAGGTTTAACAACTGTCCTAGTAGAGAGCATTGGAATGCTATAGAGAGGGTCATGAGATACCTCAAGAGAACAGCAAACCTTTGTATACACTATCAAAGGTTTCCTGCTGTACTAGAAGGGTATAGTGATGCGGATTGGAATACCCTATCAGATGACTCCAAGGCAACCAGCGGGTACGTTTTTAACATCGCTGGTGGAGCTGTGTCTTGGAAGTCAAAGAAACAAACAATCCTAGCTCAATCAACTATGGAATCAGAGATGATAGCACTAGCAACGGCTAGTGAAGAAGCAAGTTGGTTGAGAGGATTGTTGTTAGAGATTCCCCTATGGGAAAGGCCGGTCCTCCGGTATTGATCCATTGTGATAGTACCGCAACTGAGAACCGGTTCTATAACGGAAAGAAACGACAGATTCGTCGTAAGCACAATACTGTAAGAGAAATCCTAACGATAGGAGCACTGAGGGTGGATCATACAAGATCCGAACATAATCTAGCTGATCCTTTGACGAAAGGATTATCTAGAGAGAAAGTCCAGAATACCGCCAAGGGTATGGGACTTATGCCTACCGAACCACGGACTACAAGTGATGGTAACCCGACCCAATAGACTGGAGATCCCAAGAAATGGGTTCAATGGGTAATAACAAGTCATGAGTAGTATGCGAAAAGTTCATGCATAGTGAAGCATGAATCCCAAAGCAATAGAGGTTGAGTTAATAACTCTTAATGAGATCTATACCCTATGTGGGGTGGAGTACTTTACTTTGGGGGTACTCCTGATAGACTCACCTATGTGAATGTGGGAGTGGGGCCGCTCCCTATGGAACTTTGGAGGCACAAAGTTGCTAGAGCGTTCACTAAACCAGGATAACGTGCATGGCCATAAACGTACGGGCTAAGAAGAGAACACAACTCAATGAAAAGATTCGGTGTGCTACACTATCTGAGATAGGGTTCAAGACTACGAGTCACCCTAATGAAATCAGAAGTGTAACCACGAAGCTAAGGTTCAAATCTTCGCGATGCCTTAGCTTATGCCCGATCTTATGGAACTGTTGATGCTCAGAGATAGTTTCAAAACTATTCAAGTGGGGGATTGTTGGAAATGTAAATATGAATAACTTTGAAAGCTATAGAGTCTCAAGTGGAAAAACTACCACATTGGTAGTTTTACATGGTGAATATGTATAAAGATAGGAGCCTCTCTCCTAAGGGCATGCCACTTGGGGTGGCCCACTTTTGTGGGAGAGGGAGGACCTAACGGACCACCACACACACACGCGCGCCGGCCGGTCAGTTGGTTGGTTCACTTGAGACTATATGTATATTTTTGGAGAAATTCCGAACGAAATTAATTATCTAACAATTAATTATTAATCGGTTATTCTTAGGAATATTCTAAGGATAATCTACTAAAAAGGAATATTCGAAGGATAATCCCGCAGGGTTTATCTTAACCGACGATTTTAATTAAGGAAGTAATTATCTTCCTTAATTAATCCGACTTATTCACCAAGCAAGAGGGTATATTCCTAGGGGTTCGGCTCCTATAAATAGCCGCCTCCCCAGCCCCTCTAAAGACACCACAACGAGCATAAACACAATAGAGAGAGTGTTCAGAGAACTCGGGTTTTCGCACAAAACCCCGAGTATTGAGAGGAGTTGTTTTATCCTGGAGATAATCGGTTGATAGTCTGCTGTGCGCATCGAGGGCAGTGTCGCGAACGTCTTAAAGAGAGCGACCTAGTTCGCGACTCAGCTCCAGATTCGGTAACCTCGTTCTTGTTGTTGTTCCGTTCCTAACAGGTCATAGTGAATTCAACACGATCACAGACGTCGAATATTTTTGTTGTAGTGGGAGAATGGTATGTACACTAGTGTGTCTTACTTTTAATTAGTTGATGGCTCTAGTTGATGGCTCTACCCCGTAATAAAATTGAAATCATGCATGATTAGTTGATTACTACGTATGTGTCACTGAAACAACCACTCCATGTTGACGTGTACTCGATGCTAAAGGAGGAGGAATTGAAGAGAGGAAGAGACGAGCCAAAGGAAACCACACTCTCACTCGAAGATGAAATTGCACTTCACTATCTTGATAAAAAAAAATTATCTTTAACATTCAATATGATTCTAGTTTAAAGCTAGGTGGTGTCTTAGATTTTTTATTGAAAACGAGAGAAAATCAAAACCCTCCCCCTCCCAAAATTAGGGTACAAAGAAAGAACTTATTTGACCACCAAGTTGGCCACCCTCATGAGAACAACCAATAAATCTAACACCGAACTGGAAAGAGAGGGGGGAAAAAACAGGCAAGATCAAAGTACAGAGAATTTTCACAATATTGCTCCTCCACTGCAAAACACCCAAGGAAACCTTGCCCATCCACCATCTTTATACACCTTATATTTGTGCTATAATGAATGATTATCCATGTATGTTATTGAAGTGTTCCTCTTTTGATCGATGAATACAATTCCCACATTCTATTATTAATAAAGTAGTAGATAAGACATCCATTCTCCCTAGTTTAGAATGACTTGGCATAACCAAAATGTACAACCTAACTTCCAAATTCAACACAAAGGTAGTCAATTCATGGAAGCAACAGAAGCCAAAATATGAAAAACAGTAATGTTTTCGCTTGGTAGCCAGCCACTTGGTTTGCAGAGTACTATAAAATCCAAGGCAATAAAGAAAAATCCAATTTCAAATGTATTTATTTCATGACTTCATATAAAGTCATCACTGGCCAAATGGTAGCTGTCTTTTCTTTCCAGCAGCCTACAAACTCCAAAATTATCAAATAACAACCCTCATAAGCAACTCATGAGCACCGTTTCAGGACATTCTGCTCAACCATCCTCTGCAAGAACAAGAAACATGAGTCAATGTTGATGGGCTCACAGAAGCATGCATACCAATCACCCTATTACTCATTCAGCCAACGAGCACAACATACATCGCTAGCAAATACAGTCAAAATAAAGCAAACAACTTGAGTACATCAATTAAATCTACTAGTTGCCAGCACTAGCTGTTGGCAAGCATGCACCTGATACATTTGGTTGCAAACAAGCGAGTTTATATAGGCGAACAAAAGCGAATATTGGAAGAAATCATATACAGTCAATTCAATTGTGAGATCTAGAAATGGTACTAGTTAAATAAGATTACAAGAAGAGGAAACACAGAAATAACACGATAAAAACAAACCCAAAAGGATCAGATAACCGCACATAACAGAAAGAACGGGTCGGCATGATCCATGCTCAATCATGTCCCGGTTCCTCTCTTAAATCCTTTTATCAAACAAAACTTGCAAAATTCAGCAATAACTTAGAGGGCGTGGACATTTTTATCTCTTAAAATGACTCTTAACTTAGTGCACCAACAAATCCAATGGCCTCTTTTGGGATTCACATCACAGACGTAAATTCGAAACATCTCCCTACACCTTGAAGCAAGTAACCATGAACAAGCAGAAAACTATGAACACAATGATCCAATTTCCCTTCTCGATAATCAGAAAACCATACAACAGCAAATTACCATATAAAACAGCATGATCCCTATTGAGTATTGACAAACTACTGAATTCCCAATTTCAGACAAACAAACTCCAAGCAGACCAAAATCCAAGAGGAGGAAAGTAGCCCGACCAATCCAATCAAATACAACAGTGGATCACTATGATCGGCCCATTTGTCATTGATACTCAATTCACGACTATAGGGGTAAATCCAATGGCATCTTTAGGGGTTCACATCACAGAAGTACATTCGAAAAGACATCTCCCTCCATCCCAAAGCAAGTAACTATTAACAAGCAGACAACTATGAACACAATGATCCATTTCCCCATCTCGACTCTATCACCAACTAGAGCTGTGAGATGTCCCAACATTCAGTCAGAAGAACAGAACACAACTTTAAAGATTCAAGTTTCAATAATGAACGGAAAGACAGAAAACGGGGATCATTTGGGGACACACACACAGAATATCACATTCTCAATATTCAGATAACCATACAACAGCCAATAATTACCACATAAAACAGCATGATCCTCATCGAGTATTGACAAACTACTGAATTCCAAATTTCAGACAAGCGAATCCGAGCAGACGAAATTCCAAGAGGAGAAAAGTAGCCGCACCAATCCAATCAAATACAACAGTGGATCACTACGATCGGCCCATTGCATTGATATTATATTCACGATCTATAGGGGTAAATCAACAACCACCTAAAGACTACCGCACCGATTGCTTTCATGTAAATGATCCCCAGCTAAACGAAACAGATACGTTATCGCCAACGAATGCCCAGGATCTTGCTTTCACGTTAAGGAGGAAACAAAAAGAAACGAATAGCAAACGCTACCTGAATTGCAGAAAATCGAACAAGACAGATCAGTGGCCGCCGTGCTCTTTGGCGTGCTGCTGGTGCTCCAGATGGCGTCGCTCTTCAGGGAGGGCGACGAGATAAGAGAAGACCATCCCGCCGAAGCAGACATGTAAGAGCGGGTCGACGGAGCTGGTCTGGATGTACTTGGCGTGGTAATTGTCCAGTCCCTTCTGCACGGATTTCTTCACGAAGTCGAGAGAGAGCATCGGCTTCACATGGTCGGGGACCTCCTTCACCTTCAGCCCCTTGATCTCGTTGTAGAACCTCCTCATCGCCATTTTCCCTCTTCCGATTACGTTCGCGCGAACCCTAGCGCCGGACTCGATTTCGGATTGGGAGAGTTTGGGGGAAATGCGGGGATCGGAGACGGGCAGCTGAGTGTGTTTGTAGAGAAAAGAGTTTGATGGGCTTATAATATGACCTGGATTGGATGGCAGCGTGATGGGCCTTCGGTCCACCGCATGATATGAACTGGACGGACAATTAGCCGTCTGATCTTTTGGCGCAATTTTGAAACCCAACTCATTCTTATATGAAACCCAGGAAGATGTTGGCACACCGGGAATGCGTTAGGGTAATTATGGTGACTACTAAAATCTACATTCTTTATTATTATTATTATTTTATTTTAATTTTAATTTGATGATGAAGATTAAATTAAGGTAATTTTGAGAATAAAAAATACCAAACCTGATTTTTATTTATTAAAAAGTTAATTTCTATATATTATTTACCTAAACTCTACTCCAACACCATTTTATATCGCTGTCAACACCTCTTTCTAATTTCTATTGGCGGTTCCCTTCCTCCCTGGCATCCACCTTCCCAAAGCCGGCCACACTTGGCCAACCTCCCACTGCCGGCGGCTACCTTCACCCACCTCTACGGCTCTCTCTCTCTCTCTCTCTACCCCATCTCTCTCTTTGTCCTCTCTCTCTCTAGGAGACAGCTGTGGTTGGGAAAAGTGGGATGAATAAAAACTCTAAATCTGATTTTTTCGCATTGGTAGTGATTTTTTCGTAGTGGTAGTGTTTTTCCACATTGGTATTTGTTTTTTCCGCTTTGGTAGTGATTTTTTCGTAGTGGTAGTGTTTTTCACATTGGTATTGATTATCATGTAAGCGTATTGCTTTTTTGCGAAATGGTTGTGTTCTTTTTCTGTAGTGGTAGTGTTTTTCGTATTGGTATTGTTTCTCTTTTTTTGTTTTTGTGAAATGGTAGTGTTTTTCTTTCTCGAATGGTATTGGTGTTTTATGCATTGGTAGTGTTTTCTTAATGGATTGGTATTGTTTTATTGTTGCAGTTGTATTAGTTTGGCTGAACGAAAACAAGGAAAATATTGAGAAAAAGAAGGATGAGAGATCTGGCTCGAAATTGTGGAAGTAAGAGAAAGAGAGAGAGAAAATTGTAAGTAATATACTTTTTTTAATTTCCTAAAATGTAATTTGTTAAAAAAGGTAATTAATAATTTTTTTGCCATATCCAATTTACCCTTCAGGGTGATTACTATTTTACATTAATCACTGTCTGTAACCTGTCGCCATGTCGTAAGACGCTACCTTGACCACTCCGTTCTCATGGAGTTTGATTTTATTTCTTAGTTACGGAATCACTTACCAATGTAATTTATGCCAGGGAGTAGGGGTGGCAGTCGGTCGGTTTCGATTTAACCGAAAATCGAAAACTCGGTTATCGGTTAAACCGAGCCACCCCCAGTAGTTGCCGACCACCGACCGTGAGGAAAGTCACGGTTAGCCGGCCAACCGTCGATTTTGGTTTTAGGCTCGGTTAGCCGGCCAACCGAAAAAACCTATTTTCTCTTAAAAATAAACCCTAAAAATTAATGATTTTTTTTTCTACCTCTCAATCCTTATCTCCTCCTCTCTCCTTCATTCCTCAACCAACCCACCAGACCACTTCTCTTCTCTCTACTTCCTTCCTCCACCATTTCACAATTCACACCCACCAAACCACGTCTCCTTCTTTCTCCTTTCTCCATGGATGAACAAATCTGCAGGGGGCGGGGGGCCGCCGGGAAACCTAGCGCCGGCGGGGGAGGAGGACAAGGCGGGACAGGGAGAACCGGAGAAGGCAGAGGAGTGGATCTGCCGCCATCTGATTTGGATCTGCCGCCGCTGCTCCCTATCGCTGCTGTCGGCTAGCTCGCGGCCGACGGAGAGAGGCGGGGTCGTCGGAGAAGGGAGAATCGGCCGACAATCGAAGGTTAATCGGCGGCAGTCGCCTTCGATTGCTGCCTGCAGCCTTGCTGGGATCCTCCACCACAGGCTGTGGCGCCAGTTTTCTGGGCTTCGGCGGAGGAGGAGGTGGCGTCGGCGGCGGGGGATAAGGAGAAGGAGAAGGGGAAGGGGAATTTGTCTGGCCCTGGTGTTTAGTACTAGGCCGAGAGCGAGGTTGATTTGACGGCGACGGAGGGGGAGGAGGAGGAGGAGGCCGCAGATTCCTGCCTCTGCCCGAGGCAGGGGGCAGCGGCGGGTTTCTGCCTTTTGATTTCTTCTCAATCTCCGCTTTCAGCCTCCAAATTTCCTCCTCTTTCTCGTCCAGAGTCTCTTGTAAGCCTGTATGGCGAAGGGGGTGCGTCGTCGTTTAAGAGGAAAGGGGAAGGGGTCGGTTACCCGACCGACCGTGGCAAGATGGGGGCGGTTTTTGGTTAGCAGAAAACCGGTCGGTTCAGTCGTAACCGACCGGTTAACTGCTAACTGGAAACCGTTCTGCCACTCCTATAAGGGAGTGTGTTGTTCAGACTTTTTGCTAAATAAAGAAGAATATAACAAATATTATATATGTATTTCAGACTCTTCAAAGTCTCTTGTATTTTATATATATATTCGTAGGTTTGGATTAATTCAAGATAACTATAATTAATATACTTGAAAAGATGACGAGTTTCAAACGGTAGTTATTAATCAATAACATTTATTAAGCTATAACAAATATTGGTATAACTTGAAGTTGAACACCATTATATATATATATATATCACGCACACTGGCCTACAACAACATTCGATTATCGTTTGGTGCAACATGACTTTGTGGATAAACACTAGTACTAGTACTACTCGTAATAAAGGGATCCCCAAATGGGTTGGCGAAACCCGTGCTCGAAGTTCCTTGCTGAAAAGGCGCCATGATGGATTGATGTTGTTGCTGCTGATGATCTTGCTGTTGTTGCTGATGCTGCCACGTGTAAAATTGCATCTGTTGCGCCGTGGTGGCCATCTGAACGTTGGTCGGCGGCGCCACGTTGTTCGACATCGCGAACGGGTCGGGTCGCTGCAGTTGGCACTGCTGCTGCTGTTCGTACGGACTGTGCATCGACAGTAAAGATCCTTTGGTTCTGTACCCGGCATTCGTGAGCTCTATCTGTCTTCTCGTGGCGTCGTCCTCGTACAGGCTATCGAGAAGGAGTTGATCAAAGCCGCCCGCCTACACCAAACAGAGAATCGATCGATTAGGGCGAAATCAAAGTGATCAATCTGCAGATCAGAGTCAATCAAACTGATCTTACGTACCAATTTTGTCTGTGGAGGAGGAGTTCTAGTGCTGCTGTTGCTGGGCGCGGTAACGAGGGCTAACTCCCAACCCGATGCATTTGGTTTCCCGAGTTCAGCTAACACATTATTTGCACAAGTTGAAGCTTCTTCACCTGCATGCATGCATCAACTAAATAACAACTCCCAAGTTGAGTATTAATCTGCTTAATACGATACGTCATCATTAGGTCAAATCATTATTGTTGGATCACACTGATTTTGGTTGAAAACACTAGCTAGCTATAGGCTATAGGATTAGGAACACTAAACTTGGTCAAACCCAAAAAAAAAAAGATGATCATCTGTTAATATATACCTACATACTTACCCGATGGTATAATTGCTAGAGCTAACGCATTGCTTTCGTCTAGCTCGGCCACTTTTGGATTGATCTCGCTCATGAAACCCAAAAGATCATCTGTGCCATCGGTTGGTATCAATGGCGACGGCTCCGGTACTGGTGTTTGTTCTTCGGCTTTGATTTCTGGTGTTGCTTCTTCGGTTACTTCCTTTTCATCTTGAACAGCGGCCTCTTCTTCTTTTGCTTCCGTTGTTTGTTGATCAGGAGGCTCTTCATCGGGTTGTTGTTCTTCGTTTTCTTCTTCATCCTCACTGTACTCCTATGTATTGTGCATGAGAAGATAGATGAACAGTAATTAGTAAGTGATTTGGTATGTTGAAATGCTCATCGTCATGATCGACTACTGTAATTAATTACTTGGGAAGAAAGAAATACTCACCACCCTTTTGTTCACTGAACCTAATTGTGGCGCCTCCCTAATGTACTCCTCCATCGTGGCTAGAAATGATGGAGGTGGCTACACACAAACAAGTAAATTTTTGTTCAGACGAACATTTGTGTGCATGATCTGAGCTACAATTTTGAACTTCATCACTCCATTTACCTGTCTAAGTGTTGGGAACTGGAAAGTCCTAGCAAGGTCCAAGCCCTTGCAGTGTTCATAAAAATCGGCAAGATTCTCAGCCTAGCAATGTTGTCCATGTTTGTAAGTTTTTAATTAGTTCATAATAATAATAATATTAAACTTAATTGTTTGATTAAAATTATAATTAAGACAAAAGGAGTGGGAGAGGAACCTGTTGGCCTGCTCTCTTGTATATGGTTAAAGCCTTGATTGCATCATGCCTCGACATATCGAAAAACTGTTTCAAGAAATAATTACATGATTATATATAGGAAATTCATGTATATGATTGAGCAAAGATAAATTAAAATAGACGATGATTAAAAGAATGGGTGAATCAGTTAATTACCATGTCAACAAGGTTTATAATTCCATCATTGACTGCACAATATATCTTGAAACTCTCTTTTAAGATCTGAAAGCCAACAAAGGTATGGTTTAGTTTACCATTAAGTCATTTCAACCATCATTTTAACCAACAAATCAGTTCATACACTAGTTATGTATGCATACCAAAGCCAAAGCATATTGGACAAGATAATTACTGTAAGCTGCTCCTTCTGGCTGTAAAAGAAAATTCAGGTCATCAAAGTCATTTTACAAGCAAGATATAATTGTAAGTCGCTTGAGGTGAAAACTGAAAATTAAACCAAGTTCTGAAGAGGCGAAACCTTACTTGGCAACCGATGAGGCGATAGAGAAGTTGTTGCAATGCCGGTAATTGTTCAAGCAACTCGGTCCTGTTTAAAACTCGAGTTCTACTTTGCACCTAAGGTCATGTAAAGCACGATATGAATTCGAATTCTTGTTTGGTCGGTGTCAAAACTTGAGCTTGCGATTGTACTTACTGTGGATGAAATTATAGGAGACAAACCTTAGACAATGTAGGGGATAGTTTTGTCAAGTGTTCGGCTTCAATGTCGTATCTCAAAACTCGAAAGCATTCCAATCTTTCTTCTAGAAAATGTGCGTATGATCGAACCCATGCTGAACAATCCCAAGCTATAAAAAGAATAGCATGAAAACGTATAAGAAAATTGGAATAACTGTGTCGTTGGTGTTTATCGGCAAACCCTCGAATATACTATCGATTGTTCTAACAATCACACATTACCATTAATGCCGGAGTCATCTTTGAAATTAGATATTTGGAGTATGTTTCCTCTCTGGGCAAAATTTAAAAGTTCTTCACGAAATGTAGGATCTCCTTCTCTTAGTGTCCTGTGAATGACGATCAATACTTTTATCGCGACCTATAATCAACCACATATTGAGGTTATTTAGTTTGAAGGTAGATTTTATACGAAATTTATGATGAAACCTATTTTTCATAATGCATGAAAATTAATTAAGCAATGAAATGTTAGGGGAGATATCCTACTAAATGGAAACTTACAACCCAATTTCGTGTCTTTGATAATCTCTTCGCAAGTGCATGAATGCAATATGCAACATCGGCCCGAGGACGAATGATTGATGTCGCGGAAAAAATTCCTAAATACATAAAATATAAACACATATCGACATTCAAAATTATCATCATTCAAGAAAGATAAAAACAAAAATTGAGCAATCAAAAGTACACATCCATCTATAAAAGTGTATCAAAAGAAGAAGAAAAAACCCGTTGATATTATTAACCCTTGATCTATAATACATTACTCACTTCGGACGTGACGTTCTTTTGGAGGGCATTCCACATGATTGGTAGCTTTTACGATGGCAATGTCCAAATCCTTCGATTCGAAATTTGCATCACGACAACGAAATTCAAAACGAGATACAAACATGGAGAATTATATTTTGAAGAAATCAAATCATTAAGCACAAAAATCTTTTTGTTTTGATATTATTACCTTGAAATCACTATTAACCTTTGCGAGTCCAACTTTGGTGGTGTCTTTGAGTGCGCCATAGGCTTTTCTGATGCTTGTAAATGACCCCATTCATCGAGTTTCTATCTTCACATTCTTTGTTTCTTCTTGTCTTGAATGTCTCTATACAACAACTATATTGATTTCTTGAAAATTCTCCATATTTTGTTCTACTTTTCCCAAAATTATAACAGCTAATTTGTTTTCTCTCTTCCTCGAAACGTTCCTAACAACGGGGAAGTGGTAAGAAATTTTGACAATGATGTTACAACAGTTTTACGGATAAGTATCAGTAACTAATGCGAAGTCATTTTCACTCTAAATGAATTTATTCACATATTGGAATTGATCCGGTTAACTATATAACAATATTTTTTTTAATATAGAAATGAAGATGATCTCTTGGGGGATTTATTAGATGATCTCTTGGGTCCTTCTACCAAAAATTGCTATGGGCCATCGTGGACTCAACATAGCCAACAATTGGTTGGTTTGGTGCGTTGAAGGTCAAAAAGGCCACCTTTGACCCTTTCCCACAATCAAACGTGAGTGTGAGTCTCACGCTCATCAACCGCGAAATGGTGAAACACATTACACTTAAACGACAATTTTAGGTTGAAAACGATACAATAATACAATTAGTCTATCATTAACGAAAAGATTCCACCCTAAATTAAATCATGGCTTCCTTAATTACGCGGCCTCGTAGACCACCATAAGCATTTACATTTGGGAGTGTGGACGGTTGCGGATCCTTCCAAGAAACATATATTATTGCTAGCTCACCTCCCCTCTTCTTTAGTCTTTACCACATCCACACGTGGTTTTGATGGTCTCTTCTTTTCAACCATGTTTGTTTATATGAGATTAGATATATCACCAACACACATTAGTAATTTCAAATGCACCAAGGGGTACTTATATCTTATAAACATAAAAGATGATAGGATGTTGGAATTTAGTCTTGAGATTAATATCAATAAGCGATTTCGACTTCATTTTACTCGGATAAAACTGTTCTTCTTCAATTTCTAGATTTTGTTATTGTCAGTAATTTCCTCTTAGTTGATCTTTGATTTCTTTAGATCCTGCTATCCCTGTCGACTACTCTGCATAAACTAGATTTGTCGGTTCTCGTCAAAGAAATCTCTTCAACACCGCTGCTCTTGGTTCTTCTCCGAAACTCTCTACCCCCAACCTCATATCCCAATTCTTCTCTAGCTAACACCACCATTCGTGCCCACCGTTCTCCTCCAACCTTCGTAATTTTTGAGTTTGTGATTATGGGTTTCGAGTTTGCGATCTTTGTTTTTCTCTGATTGTGCGATTTTTAGTTTGTGGTTCTTTTGTTGAAGAGAATAAAGAAGAAACATTTAATTTGCTCGATAATTTAAAGAAAGAAAAGAATATACAAAGATGGGGAGGACGAAATTGTATTTGGTTTCATCTATTGAAAACCTAAATCTTCTTCCACAAAAAAATGTTTGATCCAAATTTCACATATCAAACATCTTGACCCGCTAGATCAAGGGATTTTTTTTAATAGAATCTTTCTAGTTACTTCGTTTTCTATTTCTAGGTGAGAGAATCTTTTATATAAGAGATATTGATAAAAATTTCCAATTTTGAAAAACTGTCTATCCAAACAAGCCCTACAACTTTCAAATATAAATAAATAATTTTAATTATAAACATCACTCTCCCACCTATATTTCCTCCTTTTGTGTTTCCTTTTCTCCAATGCACCCTAAAGTGAATTAAGTACCCACTCCCTATTTCTCTTTAGTATAAAATCCCCCCACTTCCCTTTCCCCCATGGCCTCAACCCCCTTCTCCCAAAAACTCAACAAACATACTCAACTAAAACAGAAGCAAGGAATTTCAGGAAGGGAGCAGAAAGAGAAGCTTCAACGTAACGCCAAGATGGAACCACTAATTGACTGCAGCATCGGAGAAGAATACCACAACTACTGGGAAACCAAAATGTTCCTCCACAACGAAGAACTCGACAGGTTCCCCTCCCTCTTCCTTTCTCCTTTTCGGTTTAATTGGAGTCGTTGGGAGAGGTTCAATTGAGAATGAATTGAGTCTGATGGTGCTACTAGCTAAGCTGGCCGGTGTGTTTTTCTCTTTTGATCTCGGGGCAGCTGGGGGATGGACGAGGCGTTCTCCGGGTACTACGACTCGAGCTCTCCGGACGGCGCAGCGTCGTCGGCGGCGTCGAAGAACATAGTCTCGGAGAGGAACCGGCGGAAGAAGCTGAACGAGAGGCTGTTTGCGCTCAGGGCGGTGGTCCCCAACATCAGTAAGGTAATTAATAGTGACCGTTAATTAATTATTGGTTATTATTTTAATCATCACCACCTTACGTACTGACGACGTCGTCTCCAAGCTGCAGCTGGCCCATTACTATCATCATTATTACCCCTTTTTATTACTAATTTAATTAATTAACTAACTCGTGATGGGTATGCCTATTTTTCTTGTAATTTTTTTTTTGTAGGTTGGGGTATTTTGTATAATCAATTGAACTCATAATAATTACATCAATCAATTAAATTAAACAGCATAATTAATTAAGGGGATTTCAAGTGGTGGTTTGAAAGTTTGTTAATGATGATGTGGGCAGATGGATAAGGCGTCAATAATAAAGGACGCCATTGATTACATCCAAGAGTTGCAGGAGCAGGAAAGAAGGATCCAAGCGGAGATAGTTGAGCTGCAGGAAATGGAATCCTCCGGCAGCAAGTACTGGAAGAAGATGAGCCCTTGCTCCGTCGCCGACGGAATCTACGACTTCGAGGTTGATGAACTTCCGGTGCTGTTGCGATCCAACAACAACAACAAGAAGAAGAAGAAGCTCAACGACCAATCCTATGAAGATTCCTCCGGCGGATCCATCATCCGATCTTCCTCCTCTTCATCCCCCATTCAGCTTCTAGAAGTATATATGCTTTTCTCTCGTACTCATCATGCATTATTATTATTATTATTATTATTATTATTATTATTTGATGTTTGCAATATGCAGCAGTTGAGGGTGGCATATATGGGGGAGAGAACAGTGCTGGTGAGCTTGACATGCAATAAAAGAATGGATACAGTGGCCAGATTATGCGAATTGTTCGAATCTTTGAACCTCAAAATTATTACAGCAAACATTACTGTTGTTTCCGGCCATCTTTTGAAGACTGTCTTCATCGAGGTTAGTCACAACTCCACTCCACTCCATTTTTTTTTTATTATCATTTTCTAAAGGTAATTAAGCTCTCTTTCAAACATGTTCAATACCTTAATCGTTTGGATTGCAACTTTGTTATTGAGTTCAATCCAGCCAACAAATTCAGGTTCTTCTATCCCAAAGTGGCTGCTCAGTACTAATCATTGATGAAGAAAAATTAATTAAGTTTTCCAATCAAGTACACAATATAAATTAAATCACCAAAAAAGGCAATAGATTATCTAGCTATGAGACAAACAAGATCATACGTACACATTTATCAATTGGTCATAAAATCCGACATTGTGATAGAAGTGGGGCACAATTTCTATTGATCTTTTTTCATTTTTTATAATCATAAATAATGTGACTTAAATAGTTGAGATTATTTTTCTATTTACAAATATTCGGTAAACTTAAATTCATATTGATGAGGTGAGTGGAGTTTCTTTTTTGTATGATTAAGATATATTAAATATGCGGTTATCATCAAACATAGATCCTAATTGAGCTGGAAGAGATCATTTTCCTTTATAATTAAATCATTTTTGTAGAGAGGATGATGATTAAGACCAATTAATTAACCATATCCTATAAATATATAATCAAAATTCTCTAGAACGGAAAGGAGGATTGACAATGATGACAATCCAGAGTCTTTGAATAATAATACAATTCGAAGGAACCCAACAAGATTAGCTACAGAGAGAGGGGAAAAAGAAAGTGAGGCTGATGTTTGTTCGATAATATGCTTTAGCTTTACTCATGAGCCTTTTCCTTTTCTCCACTTTCCCTTCTCCTAGCTTTCTAACCTTTTGGGTAGCATGGAAATTGTTATATGCAGCTTTGCTTTTGTTTCAAAATCTTATTGATTCTAGAGAATATTTCATGCGAAATGAAACGATGGAGCCACAGTGTAATCTAGTAGTGGAATTATCATTCTTCTTCGATAATATATTTATAATAGCTATTATATTGATGTCCTTCGTTCAAAATTTACATTCACTCATTCAGTTTTTCGAAGTTGCTATAATTTCTTTAGCATTCCTTACTCGTAGTCCAACATGGTTTAGTCATTGCCTATGAGCGGTATACATTAGCTTGTGTGTTTACGTTCATTAGCTTCGATAAAGGGTCCCCTAGTGGAGGAGCTATGTGAGAATTGAGGATGGACTATAATTTTTTTTTAATTAATTTGCCTATCATATGAAAAACTTACATTGATAATTGAAAGGAAGAGACCCTTACTATCAACCCTCTTCAACTAAGATCGATCGTACCTATTATTTCTTCTAGTAACCTTACTATAAATTCTGACTTCATCGTTGGATCCCTTGTATATGATTGCGAACACTATTAACAGTGAAGTGAAGCCTTAATTATTCTTAATTTATAAGTAGCATGATTGCATTTTTTTTTTTGCTTGATCAAATTTCAGACTAATTAAGTTAATTTTAAGTGGTTATGTATTATCATAAAAGGGTTACGGGGAGTAGGGGAAATATCAACATCGCTATGTCTCCTACCCTGATCATAGTTAATCAATGAAATCAACACCCCTAAACCATTGTCAAGATTTTATTAAATAATGTATTGCACTAGATAACAACTAGTCCAAGTCATTGGATGCCCAACTATGCATTAATGGCAAGATCGGTAGAAAGATTAAGGGCCACGTGGCATAATATTTTAGCACAACTATTTCAAAAGCTTATGTGACTTAACATGTATTATAAAGTAATAAACAATTAGGTGCCATTAATAACAATAATTTATTAATGTATGAATTGATGGATAAAAAATAATAGTGTCAATTTCTAGGGTTGGCCCTCCCCTTTGAATCTTGTAAAGTCTCTTGTTCTCCCAAATTCACGGCTGGAGTGTGGGCAAGTTGGCTATACATCTAATTGTGATTTACAAGATTCGATTGTGTTAAAGAAACATAAACATATTATTTGCCAATGTGCTCATATATTAATGTTATCGTGTTACCTCTCACATGTTTGTACTAGCACATCCATCGTTCATATAAAAGAAAGGCGTGTGCTTGCTTCGATTTCGTTCAGAAGCATATCCAATTTACATATGTCAGTATAAAAATAATTAGAATTGAATTAATATCTTATTTCATATAAGCTCATTTGGTTTGATTTCAATATGATCCTTTTTTTTATTGTTGTTTTAAGAGGATTCAATTCATATGTGGAAGTGAGACAAACAAAATTCTAAAATTCGAAAATACTTTCCAAAGATTGAAGAGATGTATACTACTTTTATTATATCAATCTTGATTCATTCCGGTTAAGTACGGTGCGAATTGTTGCATGCCCACCTTCAATGATGTAATACTTGTTTTTATGCAAAGATGAGATTTTATGTTATTGAACTAGAGAACTCATTTTTAAGGGATTGAATTTATGTTATATTATATTATTGCAGGCAGAAGAAGAGGAAAAAGACGAACTGAGACATAAAATAGAAGCTGCAATTGCATCTCTTAATGATCCTGAAAGTCCTATGAGCATGTAGTTCATGCAACCAAGCATCCAACATAAACCAAAGGAGGGGAAAAGAAAGGTGTGAAAAAGGAGTCCAAGAGAAACAAACATTAACATGATGAGTCGAGTGATGGTCTCTCTTTTGTTGTTGTCTTTCCCTTTTTATCTCATTTTGAGAGGAGTTGTGTGTTGTTTTCCATGCATGGTGCTCTCGTTGTTGTCATTCCATCTCTTTACTTCCCAATCCTATGATAATCTCTCTCTCTCTCTCTCTCTCTCTCTCTCTCTCTCTCTCTCTCTCTCTCTCTCTCTCTCTCTCTCTCTCCCCTGTGTTCTAGTTGTTCATATTCATAGAAAAGCAAATACAGGAAATAAATACAACAAAGAAGTAACAACAGACCGCAAGTCATACTGAAGGCTGCTGCTAAACTGATATTTCCTTACCAAAATGAAAGTGGGGGAGGGGATAGTCCCAACTGTTGTATTTCCAACCTCACAAAGAGCTGTCCTTTCCAACTTTTACAATAAAACCAGGAAAAGAAAGAAAAGAAGATCCAAAACACTAAAGCTTTCAGGACAAATTTCAAGTACCCCCCTGGAAAAAATTAACTATACCCAATATAGAAAAAGGTCCATAGCCCAAAATGGAGAACAAATAAAGGCTGCAGCCAATTTTCTTCATATATTTCTCCCACCAAACATTCTGTTAGCCACCACCATTGCCTTCTCACCATAACTCTGAACTATATTCCTCATCACTATCCTCCCCTTAGCTTAATATGAATCAAGAAATCCAACCGCTGCTTTTCATCTGGAGGGGCTGACTTAGAAATCCCTTTTCTTAAGATACACAAGAGTTCTTTTTCTTTCGATGGGAGGTGTCTCAATTTTCAAAGAAACCACTGATTCATCCAACCAAAGAATTCTTCTAAAAGAGTCAAAAACTATGTCACTCATCTGGCTGTATAGTTGGAAGAGAAGAGTTGCAGCAGATTATCAAGAGTCTCTGGATGGAATTTCCTCGCAAACAAATAGCACGGCCTTTGAATCCCGTTCCATATGCATGGCTGCTCATCCACGTCCAAGCTCTGCATATACCGAGAACCATATATATGTTAGCTGAAAGTTAGTCAAACAACCAACCAACTTCAATAATAGCAAAGGGAAAGATCAATGAAAGAGCTTCAGTAGTTTACCTTTTCCTCACTTGTTACATGTACACTGACATCAATTGACTGCATAAACATGAGAGTATGGTAATTATCAGTTATATCCATGGATAATTCATAATGCCGCTAAGGAAGAGAATGTATCCAAGCTATAAAAGGCATTCTAAGCAGTGGAAGTTCACGTGTGCTTCATCAGAAGAAAGACGATACCGTAAGATTCTTTATAAGTTCACGAGTGACATCGTGAGCCTTGTATGACTTTGGATGCCACTTTCTCTCGGACCAATCAACATTTGTTACTGACCAGTTTGCAATTCCTTGAGGATCGATCATCTGGAGACATAAATGTGATAAAAATCATCAAAGGGAGTTCCGAATCAGTGATTTTTATTACACAAATCAGAAGGAATGCAGGATGAGGTTAATGAATTTCAGAACATATATCTGTGAAGATTCATACATGGAAAAAGGTTGGCAGATAGTGCTCATCAGCAATGCAGTTCTTCCCTCCATCCATGCCATGCTGTAGTTTTCAGGAAAAGATGAGTTAACACCAGTGATCTAAAAAGTGGCTATGAATATAATGAGCAATAACTCATATAAGATACGATTTTGGACAACACATGCAGCCTATAACTTGTAATTGCAGAAAGCAAAGGGAAATCCGCTTTTCAATCAATGCAGAATAGATGTATACAACCTGACGTAAAGTCATTGTCATGAAAGAAGGTAAGACTTAAAATTAATTAACGGTCTCCAAATAGTACCTTGCAGTAGTCGCGGAATTTCGAGTAGTAAAGACTATCAGCCAAAACTATCATAGCATGCTGCCGCTTCATTGAGAACCACTGCAAAAGAATTCATTGGTTGAGTGTCATGCCAATAGATATGTTGAAACACTCACCGAGATCAGATGTAAAAATTCTCTAAATGGGAGGTGGAAGATATGAAATAAATTTTGTTTTCTTCAGTCTTCAGGGTGCCATGGACACAACATTGGTAAAAGTGTCAACCAGAATTAATTAATGTATACCTGTGCACCTTTTCTGAAATCTTTTATTTCAACTTCAGGTAACATATGCTCTGAATATCTGCCATTGCCATGAGGACCAGGATCATAAAAACTGAAAATAAGAGCAAAAGATGGATCAGAAAAACGAAAGAAACCACGTGTAACATATGCCTGAACTTCATTCCTATTTGGATGAAGGCTCAAAGGGAACCCACTTACCAGTCGAGGAAGCTGACATTTGTATACAGCAGGTAGTTGTAGACATAGTCAAACTTGTGCAATGGTATACAGCTGAAATGTTAGAAAACACGAGAGTTGAGTTAGAAACTCAAAATCAGCTATCTTCATCCTTTGTGGCCATATAATCACAGGGGAAATGCACCCTGTTATTTTACCTATCAGAGAGCAGAACAAAATGCTGATTGTCAGGATCTTGCATAGCATTGGCTAAAAGGCGTCTCTCAGCATCAACCATCGATATCTTTCCCCATATCACCTGAGAAAATAGTAGAGCACAACTAAATTAGTCATTTATCAGATCACTAACTATTTGTATAAGAACACATCTCACATTGTCTAGTACTCTGATTCTCATAACAAGTCATTAAAAGGCTGCTTCTAGCAGTACAGCTCAAAATATGTGGCCATCTGACCTAGCATTACGGTATCGATAGAGATAGACAGCGTCAGATAAGCCAACCTACCATCAGAGAAAAGGAAAACACCTATAGAGGATCCATATCAACTATAGTGACCTAACATGACTAAAATCAGGTTGTTGCCAGTGAGCTGCTTTTTTCATTTACAATTTGAATCTAAGATTGGATACTTCTGGAAGCAAGTGTGAACCTCCTAAACTTGCTCAGCAGCTTCACTATATGAAAAATTAATTATTATTGTAGTTCGTCAATTGCCTTGGTTGTGGCAATCACAAAACAGGTGAAGAAACAAACAAGTGAAGAATGCATAACCTTAAACCAGAGAGTTCGACTTGCAATGTGAAATAACAGAGGATCTAAACTTTTCAGGCGGTCAAATCATGCAAATGATTCATCTAAAGAGAACTAGATATTCTCAGTCTTCCAACAGAAAAAGATCACGAACTGTTCACAGAGAGCATCAAAACTAAAGAACGAAACTTTATTTTAGGATAAGTAACTGTAGAATACCCGTTCACTGCGTATGTCCCGATTAACGAAATACCGGCTCACATGCACTGGTTTATTGTTGGAGGCATGGACATAAACAGAGAATTTCCCTTCATGACCCTGCGAGCATAACAATGAACCCGTTTCAGACATAAAAGAACCAGAAACTAAACAACAATCCATGCACCCTATTTCGGTAATCCCATCATCATTATGTCATCTCATATCTAAGGCAGTTTGGTTCATTCCTCAGACTAACAGTCGCAAGGCTGGTTGATATCATGAGGTATGGTAAGAGAGATTTGAATCCAATAGTTCACCCATACAAGTTGTATTTGTCCTAGAAACAGGCATACAGAAAACGCCGTTGGATCTAAAAAAATTCAACTAGTGTCAATGCAACAGTTGACCAAGCCAGCTCAGATGTAAGGAAAAGTATAAAGAAAAGAGAGGAGGGAAACGCTTACATTGAAGAACTTCTCCCACAGTTTCTCAAAAGGCAGCTGACCAGGAGTCAAGAACATGAACGCGATCTTAGATGTTTTAGATTTGACAGGAGGGGCACTCAAGATCTCCCTAATTACAATTCGTGAAGCTATCTCACTATCAGTAAATTCCCTAGCTGGAGCAGGTGGCAGCCAATCGGACAAAGCCTTGCAACCTCTGGAAGAGAAGAGGTAACAAGCTGTGCCACTCTGAGGTGGATAAACGTAGGCACAAACCAGGAACAAGCTGACCATAGAAACCAAGACAATGATCCATACGGGCCTCTTCAATGGAGCACGGTGGCGAGGTCCAGGGAAGATCTGTACATCACCCATTCCAAAACGCCACCCTTGAGCTCCTCCCTTCATAATCAAATCCCACTAACGGGCATTTATATCTAAAAATGACCCCTAAAAACTTGATGCAGAGGGAACTCAGGGATCGCCCAAGAAGTGAAGCAGCCCCCTTTCAATCAGCAATATATCCTGGGAACAGAAAAGCAAAAGTAGCACCCATTTAGATCCTTCAAAACAAACCAAAACAAACCCTTTCAGGCCAAACCCAATAAATGGGGAGACTTTATTCATTGAATCCAGAAACCTAAAGCAACAGAAAACGGACAGCAAGATATTCCATTAGGTAGCAGAAGGCTTTGATTTCAGGTCAAGAATTCGGCCAACTAAAGAGAGAACCAAATTTCCCAAGTGTTCCACCAACTGTTGCGCCGCCAAAGTCAAACCGAATCCAAATACCCATTAGCACTCAAACGAAAGTCACGAAATCCCCCTTCTCGGAAATCCCAAGAAAGGCAAAAGCTTCAATCCAGAAAGTACGCTATCGAAGCTCAACGAAGCAGCAGTCTCATTCACTGCCAGTTGTTACTGAAGAAACCCAATTGAAGTGCGACTGCGACTTGGATGGCAAAGAAGAGAAAGCAACAGCAATCATAAATTTGATGAGTACCTGAGGAGAGAGGAGGGGAGGAGAAATCAATGAGTGAATCAGTGAGCTGGGTTTGTGTTCGACAGTAGATCTCCAAATTGGCCAAGATCCGAACTTGGGAAGCTGAAGAGGGACAGGCTGTTAAGATCTGGAGAGGCAGAAGAGGGCAGGCCAGGAGGGGAGGAAGAAGAAGAAGATGAAGAAGAAGGAGAGAGAAGAGGAGAGGAAGGTGGGGTCGTAGTGGGAAGTCGTTGTTTGGCTCCTCCTAGGCTTTGGAATTTGGATGTCCAAACAGAAACACAAAAAATAGCGAGGGAGGGAGAATGGGAAGGAGAAGGAAGCAAGGGAGAAGTCTTCCGCCGGCGAATTGTTTACTTGGTAAATTCTTTTTTATTTTTTTTGCCAGCGGAAATGAATTAATGGTCACTTAAGTGTTGGGCTACTAACCAATTGGTTACAGAATAATTTTTTACTTGCAAAATGGTCATTGAAGTTGAAGTGATTTATAAAATGGCCATCAAGTTGTTGAGACTTGAGTGGAACTATCAAATTGATACACACTAAAGAAGGAAAGATTGTTATATTTTTTCGTTAACTCACTCAATGATTACCTTGCATACTCATAACTACCCCAAATTGGGAAAATGATTGTTAATTTTCACATAATCTTTACAATTTTGAAACTACTAATTCAAAAGAATTGAACTTTCATATGACATTATCAAGAAATCCTCATATTTATCATCTTGATACTGCCTTAAATTCGGCGACCTATTCGTAAAAATAAACGAAGTATTTACGAAAAAACGAAATACTAATGCGTGATCGATTTTTTAGCCATAATAATAGTCTAAATGACATTTCTATTACATATCCATGAAATTTAGTGAACTCTTTCGTTAGCTTCGGTAACTTGAACCTAAAATGGATTAAAAAAACCATGGTGCAAGATGCACAATATTCAAAAATTTATTCTAACATATCAACTTGAACAACAAATTCTATAATGTGTTATTCAAAGTATTTGTGAAATAGTACCCGTAGGATTGTACAATCGATATCATCATATCAAAGCCAATATGGTTCCATTTCGTACATTTTGTTATTGAATGATACATTAAAGGACCACTTTGCTTTGTACCAAAGAATCAGATAGTGACCTTTTCGTTAGCTTCGGTAACTTGAACCGAAAATGGATTAAAAAAAACATGGTGCAAGATGTATAATATTCATAAATTTATTCTAACATATCAACTTGAACAACAAATTCTATAATGTGTTATTCAAAGTATTTGTGAAATAGTACCCGTAGGATCGTACAATCGATATCATCATTATATCAAAGCCAATACGGTTCCATTTCGTACATTTTGTTATTGAATGATACATTAAAGGACCACTTTGCATTGTACCAAAGAATCAGATGACTGGTCTGTAAGTAATCCCATAGTTAAGTGACCATTTCATACATTTGACCCTGCGTGTAATGCAATTTGCATCCACTTGATGAGCGCGTGGGGAACCCTTTCCTCTCGTCCCATTGGCCTTGGGTGAACTTCCCAACGAATCAGGAGGAAGGGAGACCCAATGCCCGCTGTTTTTTTTTCTCCCCTTATATTTATCTTTTTCTTCTTCTTAATATTTCTCCTAATCTAGATTAAATGATTAGTATGTTTTTTTTATGAATTATCTATATTAATATTTAAGAATTATGTTTAGGGAAAATAGATTCTGTGTGTGTGTGTTGGGGGGGGGGGGGGGGGGGGGGGGGTTATAAATAAATTCATTTATGCATGTTCCTATGTACTATGTTAACATGGGATTTACGATCAAACTGGTATTTAGATGATGATAAAATATAATATTTCAATTTTGTTATCAAATAATTATATTTACTTCAATCATAACAAATGACAACACTTTCTATCGGTTGTTTGAGTTCAATTTGAGATGGTAAACGATTTAACACAACGAATGCTTTTATAATACACTAATTCGTGTTTTTAATAACATTGTCTCCAATTTTGGTCTTGTGTGCAATATTTTATTTATATATATATATATATATTTTGAAAACATGCATGCAATAGCTAGGGCTGTCCATTTGATTTTGGTTTTTTGGTTTTAACCGAAACCAAACCAATTGGAAAGCTAATGGTTTCGGTTTTTTTTTGTTTTAAACCAATAAGCAAACTTAATGGTTTTGGTTTGGTTAAAATCGAAAAACCAATAGAAACCATTACGAAACCAATAAGAATAAAATTATTTATCAATAAATATATATTTTTTGTTTCTTTTGACATGCATGCCAACCAATAATTTGTAATGGCCATTTATCATTATTATGATGTTAATTCAATAAAAAGGAGAGAAATAGGAATAAATATGAGTATATGAGTACATGTTGATTTTTTGGTTATCCAAACCAAAACCATTAAAATCCTTATTGGTTTTTGGCAACCGAAAACCAATAATGGCCTTAATGATTTTGATTTTGATTTTTGAGATTTGATTTTTGGTTTTGCATACTTAATGGTTTGATTAACCTAACCAAACCAAATTAACAGCCCTAGCAATAGCCAAGTTGGGGATTAAAGGACAAATTATTAAGAATGGTTTAAAAGAGAAGTCCAAATGTTGACTTGGACAATGGTTTGCAACTTCCATGAAACCAAGGAGGCAAAAAAGGATTGAAAGGAAAGCCAAGACCCTTTCTAGGCTAAGTTTTTTACTCCTTTGTTCCTTTATCTTCTTTTTTAGTTTTTTGTGTTGTTTGTTTTTGTGCTCATCATTGCTTTGCCTTTGGATTGACCAAAGAATTTGCAGAGGGGGAGGTGACTTAGTTAATCGCATAAGCTATGCTAATTAAGGACTAATCTGTAATTTCCTAATGGTGGATGGAGAAACTTCAGAGATGCCAACTTGGCCCTTTGTGGAATTTTCAAATCCCATTGAATATTGTCTTCAATGCAATGTGGTCATATGTCTTAGGTCTACTTACAACCCAAAATCAAATAGGATGAATGATAGAAAACATGGGTTTAGATAGCGTCACAACCCTTATGGGGTTGTGATTTTCACTTCCTCCTTCGCAGCCATTAGATCCACCCTTTCTCTTGGTTTTTCAAATTAACGGTTTAGATTAAATGAAGGATATTTTTGGAAGAGAAAAACTTACCACACAGGATCCTTTCTCATTTTCTATATAATCTGATTTCCAAAAAAAAAAACTCTTCCTCTCTCCTCTCTCTCTCTTTCCTCTCCCGAGAACCCTAACTACTCTCTGTCTCTCCCTCCCGTTGTCATCGCCGCCGCTGCCGCCTCCCCCTCCCGTCGCCACCGTCGTCGTCTTTCCCTCCCGTCGCCACCGCCACCATCTCTCCCTCCCTCCGCAGCCGTCGCGTCCTCCGCCTCCCACCATCGCAGCCGTCGCGTCCTCCGCCTCCCACCATCGCAACCCTCTCTCCTCCCTCCAACTCCTGTCACCGCCATCTCTCTCCCGCCGTCCTCTTCAGCCTCCGCCGCTAGGTAACAACCTCTCCCCTTCCTTCTCCTTTCCTTAATTTTTTTCCAGATCTGGTAGTGGTAGCGTACCAGTACTCAGTGGTAGCGGTACCAGTGAGTAGTGGTACTGATTTCTGTCTAGTGGTACGCTACCAGTGGTAGTGGTATCGTACCACTATTCACTGGTAGCGGTACCAGTGGTAGTGGTAGCGTACCACTACTCACTGGTAGCGGTACGAGTGGTATTTGTAGCGTACCACTACCACTAGTACGTACCACAACTACTGGTAGCGTACCACTAGATGAAAATCAGTACCACTAGCACACTGATGGAGTGGTTTTTTTGCAGTTGGCCGGAGCGAGTCTGATTGGAGGATTTCACCGGAAAAATTCGTCGGCCAGAGAAACTTTGGTGGTCGGAGTGAAGAGGTTGCTGGAAAAGAAAGAGAGAGAGAGATATAAGCGTATTAATTGTAGGATTTGAATTAAAAAGTATTTAATCTGGGTTTTTAATTCCCAATCTGTAATTAATACAAAAATAAATAAATAATAAATTCTGTTTTGTTTTCATACCCAAATTGCCCTTGGATGTGAATCTCACATCCCTCTTAGGGGATGTGACCGTATCCCACCCCAGAAAACATAAATGATATATTTACGAGACACTCATGGTTTATTTGTGTGTGTTTAGTGCAATACATCCTGATTTATATTGGTGTGATATGTTATTTGATGATGAAATCACGATAAATGATTTAAAATGGGTATTCAATATGCGATCCAATGTTATATGATACCGATCAATACAATTAAAAATCAATTCAATCTTTTTTGCATTTCATTTCATATTATACTCATCATTTTGGAATGTCTACAACCAATACGATACATCCGTACAATATCAAGCAAAAGTCCGTACGTTATTGATAAATACTACGTGGCAATCAACTTTTCTCATAAGGTGTTTCCTACAGTGGCGGAGCCAGGAAATTGGCCAAGGAGGTGTCTTTATCATATCATAAAAAATCACCTATACAATAGAAAAGTCAACTTTAAATTAAACAAAAAGTCAACAACGCAATACTCTAAATTCACACAATTACATTAAAATAGTTTCACGTACACCGGTTACAACGTCAAACAAATAAGTTCAGTACATACAAATCAAGACTTTCATTCATCAAATATTACAAATTAGAACTCAGAAGTACCTTGGAATTGATTTTGTGAAACAAACAAGTGAACTTCAATTGGTACTTCTTCACTTTCAACTTTGTTTAAACAAAAGACAAGAAATTTCTCTGTTGTAGAGCTAAAAAAAAATGAGCGAATTTAAACAAAAGACAACAATTTATTACTATAAATAAAGACGAAAGTGCATTACATAACAAAACTCACTCGATCGAAATGATAAAAAATTCTTCCTGCAACTGAATGGTCATTGGTTCGAATTTGTATATACCCCTACTCGGAAATTTTTTCTCCAAACCTAAGGGGTGTGCAAAGCACCCCTCCTCTCCAAGTGGCTCCGCCACTCGTTTCCTACCCTGGTTCATAGACATGTAAATGTTCTAGAGTGGATGTATTATTGTAGGGATGGGACAAAGTTCAATCGTTTTCCGGGAACAAAACTTCAATCGTTGTCAATCGCAATTCGCAAACCGTTTCTTTCCTTTCCTACCATCTCCAGGCAACTTGGCAAAGTATCTCCAGCTTAATAGCTGATCATATCGGACTCAGTCCAAGTCAACGGCCGGCGAGATGGACGTTCCACTACAAACGTCGATTCCACCGCCGGCCGGGCCAAGGGGCCACGAGGGCCAGCATAGCAAAACCCAAAATGGGCTTGGGCACATTGGCTGATGTGCGTAGACAAATTATTGGGCCTGTTTTTTTCGCCCATAAATCTCCCGCCATTACGGCCCACGTCTTCCTTCTTTCCACTCTTCTCCCCAGTCCTTTAAGCTCCGGCGCCGCAGCCATCCTTAGCCGGTTGGTTTATTCCGTAACGTAACTCAAGGTCTGCCTCCCATTTTGTTCTTTTCGCCGGGAACTTCATGGCGGAAGAAAACGGGAGCTGCACAGTACTTCTTCAGCTGTCCGAAAATGATCCCTTTTTCGACAAAAAGAAGGTAATCCTCATGGAAGCTGTAAAAAAGTTATTTCTCTGTTTGTTTAGACTTTTAGAGTCTATAGACATGAACGAAGCCATCTTCGTGTCACTGTATTGCAGCAAATTTTGCACGATAGGGGATTTGGCATTAGAGAACGGCTAAACCTTCAATATTCTTCTTCTTGTCCCGACTCAGTTGCTGCTAATTTGGAGAAGCTGCTCCAAGTAGCAAGAATCATACACTTAGACGAGGTAATTACCACTGACGAAATTCAGCATCTTTGATTGATTCTGCATTTTGGGTAGTTCGTGATTTTGGAGACTTCCTCTTTAATTCAATTGGGTGGACGAATTTATAGGTTGAGCTTTACTTCAATGACTTCGATGGAAGTAGACAAGTGGAATTCTGCAGTACCAGGAACGAAGTGGAGGCTCTCAATTCAATCCTTTCCCTCATTTACCATACAACCTTTAAAGATCAAGCCTTTAGAGATGCAATCAACGATAAGATAACACGGCAGTGCGGAGTGAAGAGCTTAGAGTCCAGAACCGGTAGAAACTATGAGGGTGTTACTAAAGAAAACCAGTTGGTTGAATGGGGTGTTAGCCATGGTGTGAAGACAAGCTTGGAGATAGCATGTTAGTCCGTAATATTTTGAACCTACATTCTATTTGATTAAAGGGATGGGTGCATATGATTATCTCGTCCCTTTTTTACCCACTTCCATATAGTGATTGAAGGAGCTGGGAGAGGAGCCATAGCGAAAAAGGATCTTGGAATTGGAGACATTGCGTTGGAGATTCCTGTCTCTCTCATTATATCTGAGGAACTTGTTCGCCAATCTGACATGGTATGGTGCCTTGTATGGGAAGGTTATGCACTTATTATTAGTTGCTGGCCACCTGGCTTAGTGAATGGTTATTACTTAAGCTCCATTGCAGTTTAAAATACTCGAGAGCATGGAGGGGATTTCTGTCGAGACTATGATGTTGCTGTGGAGCTTGAAAGAAAGGCATGACTGCAACTCAAAATTCAGGGTTTACTTGGATACATTGCCAAAAGAGTTCAACACAGGTAATTTCCACCAACAGTTCTTGATATTGGTTGACCTAAATACGGTTTACTTGTCCAGGTTTGGAGAACAAGCTTGCTTATTGCTTATACTTATATGTACTCGATAGAGCACTTATGCTTGCCATCTTTAAAGGCTAGCTTCTTCTTGGTGCTAATTCCTCTACGATTGAATGTTAAATCCCTCTAGGACTGAGCTTTGGAGTCGATGCAATGATGGCTTTGGATGGCACCACTTTGTTTGAAGAGATAATGCAAGCGAAAGAGGTTATCTATTAGTTGCACTCTTGATTGAACTTGATGAAAATATGGAAAAATGACCAGCTATTGATGAACATGAAATTGTGGACAGCACTTGCGTGTTCAATACGAGGAGCTGGTCCCTGCTCTATGCAACAACAATCCTGACACATTTCCCTCCGAGCATTATACGTGGGAGAATTTCTTATGGGCTTGCGAATTGTGGTACTCCAACAGTATGAAGATCATGTTTGCTGATGGCAAGTTGAGGACTTGCTTGATACCGATTGCCGGCTTTCTCAATCACTCAGTAATATCTTTGCCCCCCTGTTTTCACCCATCCTTAGTTTATTTTGTCCGACGGCAATGAGAAGCTCTGTTCGTTGATCGATTATGCAGCTGTATCCACACATTACTCACTATGGTAAAGTAGATTGCGCAACAAATACATTGAAGTTCCCGTTGTTGAGACCTTGTTTGGCTGGAGAGCAATGCTGCCTCAGTTATGGGAATTTGTCGAGCTCGCATTTGATCACATTCTATGGCTTCTCACCACTAGGAGACAATCCTTATGATGTGATCCCAATAGGTAACTTAGCTTTACAATGCACTACTCCATAAAGACGATGTGTGACATCGTGTTTGTTCATATGGCATCACAGTCCATGTCTTCTCCTCCAGATATCGACGTGGGTGAGGCTGATTGTTCCAATGATTCCCCATGGACCACTCACATGGTGCGAGGCACCTGGTTCTCAAAGAACCATGGCATCTTCCACTACGGCTTGCCAACTCCATTGCTAGATTACTTGAGAAAGGCTCGTGATCACATGCCTAACACCACGGCAATTGTAAACTGCTGAATCTCTCGTCATGCTGGTTTTCTCCTTCTAAGCTATAATTACATGGTTTGAACTGTGTCCTCCATCTTTCGTTTTTCACCTTCAGACAAAGGAAGACATGGCAGTGGAAATTGAGGTCCTTGAAGACCTCATCTCCACCTTCAACAGCATGATGGATAATCTAGGCGACACAACCTCAGATTACAGGTAAAGCTTTGAGCTTTCAAAACCAGCGAGAATTTTCAATATGCATGGCGTTATAACTGATAACTGACTTTTTGTTTGTTCTGGAATACTTATTTAGTTGGGACGTCAAGCTGGCTGTCGAGTTCAAAGATAGACAAAGGAGGATGATATCCTCGATTCTTTCGTCGTGTGATGATGGCATCAAGCTGCTGCAAACTCATCTGCAGAAGTGCACGAGCTAGGCTGAGTGACCTTTAGTTTGAAGGAAGAATGTACTGATACTCTCCAGAGTTTTGCATGCTTTGTGAAATCGTTTTTGAACCGATGGGGTTAAGGGGTCAAGGTATTATAACAAAATCATGAAAAATCGTGTGGTTTGGCCTTTTGGGTTGGTTATGTCCCTTGTATTTGGTTCAACTATTATGACCGATCAATGCAAAATGGTATCACAAATAGAAGAGTTTTCTCTCGATATAGGTGTGGCCTAGTTTCTGGGTCGATTGAGTTTGGCCATTCTCAATGACAGTCGGCCTTGCGTTTTGGTCAAACCGGCCCAATTTCTTGCACTCAATTGCATCTTCAAAGAGCCCGGGAATCTCTGCTTTTCCCCACTTTTCAATTGCCATCGCCACTTCTCCCCGTTCAAGACCTCCGATAACCGTACTCAAGCTCCGCCGTGCAATGGGAAATCCCTCCGACTCTCCTCCCGCCGACGTCAAAGGCCCCATCACTCACGTGATCTTCGACATGGATGGCCTCTTGCTCGGTAATTTCGTCGAACACCTTCGCTTGTACGTAGATCTGGTTTCGAATTCCAATTGCAGCTCTTAAGATGCCAGTATGCATGGAATCCCAATTCCAACCCAGATTCATATTGGCTCCGTTTAACCCCGTGTTGGTGTTTGAAATTACTTGCTTCTGCAACTGAGGAGTCAGCTGTTTATGGGGGGTTTCTGCAGACACGGAGAACTTCTACACGGAAGTCCAGGAGGTCATACTGGCGAGATATGGCAAAACATTCGATTGGAATCTGAAGCCGAAAATGATGGGGAAGAAAGCAATAGAGGCAGCTCGTGTGTTCGTGGAGGAAACTGGGATAAGTGATACTCTCTCGGCTGAGGACTTCATCGTTGAAAGAGAGGCCATGTTGAAGAGTATGTTTCCAAATAGTGAGCTTATGCCAGGTACGGTTTGTTGTTTCATTTTGTTGTTACATTGCCAGGTTCATTCTACATGCCCCTTCTTTTTCTTTTTGCTAACATGAATGACTTATCAATCAGGAGCTAGTCGTTTGATCGAGCATCTCCACTCGAAAGGAATCCCAATTTGCGTCGCAACTGGGTAAATGTCCTGAATGTTTGGGGTTGATTTTTGTGGAGTGTACTGTCTTCTAAGTTCTGCAATGTTCAAAAGGGATGTATGGTCTTTCCAGGTCTCATACTCGTCATTTTGAACTAAAGACAACAAAGCACAGGGAGCTTTTCTCGTTGATGCATCACATTGTTCGAGGAGATGATCCAGAAGTTAAAGAAGGAAAGCCATCACCAGATATTTTCCTCGCTGCATCAAGGAGATTCGAGGTTCTCTTCTTAGTTAATTATTGCATTGAATTGAGGTCAAGAAACATTGTAGTATGCAAGCAAGCTAAAAACTTGTTTGATCTTGATTTCGCAGGGTGGAACTGTTGACCCCAAAAATATTCTTGTTTTTGAAGATGCTCCTTCAGGTGTTCTTGCTGCTAAGAATGCTGGAATGTATGTGCTCCTTGTGAAGCTGTTTTTACATTTAGTAAGACCTGTTGGGTTGTTGTATTTAAGCTAACATTTTCTGGAAACTCTGTTACAGGTATGCAGTAATGGTTCCTGATCCTAGGCTCGATGTCTCTTATCACGCTGATGCAGATCAAGTCATTAGCTCGTTGTTGGATTTCAATCCACAGCCTTGGGGCCTGCCTGCTTTTGAAGACGGGGAGAGCTAAATGTGGAGATCCTATTACTACATCTCTGCATGAGACGATGAACCCGTTTCCTGGATTACAATTGGTTATTCCGCTTGAACGTGACATCCTGATTGATTTCATGACCTGGCAGTCTGAATTATCTTCCTTTATATTGGATTTATGGCAAACATTGGGGGGTCTATTCATACATGACTTTGTAATTTATTTGAGCATTAGCTGACAGTAAATGAAGCTGGAGAGACGTGATATCTGAAATCTGATTGCTAGTTGAATCAACCTTGTGCATTTCATTCTTCCTTTCATCTTATTGAAAGAAATACACGGATTGACTTCATGCCAACCTCTATTGTAAAATTATCTACCCACCTCTCTCTGTTCACTGCAAGCTTTTGGCAAGTCTGATTTTATCCATTGGCTCCTCCATCTACAGGTTTCCCAAAATCTATTGTTTGTGTGTACTAGTTGCTTGCCAAACTAAGCAGACCTAACATCTTACACTTTTTTAGTATTTTTTATCTACTAAGCTATAGCTATTCTATGACTATTTCAGATAAACCACCACCTAAGCCAGTAGAAAAATGCCCATTTCTCCTGCAACATTCTCTCATGTAGCTCTTGCAGCAGCTGTCAATCTCCCTCTGCTCTGAGCTCCAGCAATGATGGGTGTTTGAAATCGCATCATGGCAAGAACTGAGTTGTCTGCAATGGATGCTCTCAGAAGGGTTTCTGTTGCTGTTACAGCAACCCAGGGAAGGTTTGACTTCTGTGCTGTAACAATTGGATGCTGCAGTGCTCTTTTTCTGTAATGGAACATCGTTCCTATTAATGTCAACATGATCACAATGGATGAAGTGGCAATCCCCATGGATGGCTGTGGCTTCACCCTTTTCCAGATCACCAGCAGACTCATTGAGATCACTGCCATCACGAGTAACCGCCTGGCAATGTGCAGTATGGCAGTGTGTTGGCTCAAGCAGGGCGTCCTTTCTCCGACAGCTTCCATGTATTTCTACTGAAATTTCACTCTCATGATGCCCCGTGCAAGTAGTTAAGCTTGGCTCGTGAGAACTTGAAGACCCATGGTGGTGCATAGAACCTTTAGTTGCATCATTCCCTCCACAACCATCCGATTTAGCACACTTAGAGTCTTCACTAGATTGTGCTGTATGAAGGCTAGGCTGGCTCTTTGATGTACAGCATTGAGTCTTCTGAGAGTGGCATGCCTTTTCAGACTCATGATGCCCTGTGCCAGTGCACGGGGTTAGCTTTTGTGCTGAACACCCATGATTGTGGTGACTGTTCGTCTGCACTTCATGACATTGCTCCAAATCTTCTGTTGCATTCTTATCTCCACAGCTTGTTGATTTCATGCACTTAGCATCTTCACAAGATTGTGTTGTATGAAGGTTAGGCTGGTTCTTTGATGTGCAGCATTGAGTCTTCTGAGAGTGGCATGCCTTTTCAGACTCATAATGCCCTGTGCCAGTGCACGGGGTTGGCTCATGTGCTCCTGAACACCCATGTTTGTGATGACTGTTTGTCTGCACTTCATGACAGTGCTCCAAATCTTCAGTTGCATTCTTACCACCACAGGTTGTTGATTTCATGCACTTAGCATCTTCGCAAGATTTTGCTGTATGAAGGTTAGCCTGGCTCTTTGGTCCACAACATTTAGTCTTTTCAGAGTGGCATGCCTTTTCAGTATTGCGATTCGAGCAGCATTTCTTTTCCTTATGATTGTCTTTGTGGCTGTGTGTTGCAGCATGGTTGTGGCTGTGACGTGCAGTATGTTTATGGCTCTCCCTTAGGAGCAACATACTGTTGAGGATAACAATGACACAAGTGCCAACATCAGCGAGAACAGCAGCCCAGATCAGTGGGTGACCGGCAAACGCCAAAGCGAGGATGGAACCCTTTGTGAAGATTGAAAAGACAACATTCTCAACCACCTTCCTATGAGCTTTCCTGGCCAGCTTGATGGCTTTTGGAACTTTCCTGATGTCGTTCGACATGAGAATCACGTGTCCAGTTTCTGTAGCAAGTGCAGAACCTGAAATCCCCATCGAAATACCGATATCAGCAGTGGCTAAGGCAGGGGCATCATTCACACCATCTCCCACCATTGCTGTGGGCCCTCGCTTGCTCTTGAAGTCTCCAATTATCCTTGCCTTGTCTTCAGGTAAAAGCTCTGCATGGACTTCATCAAGAGCATTCTCTAGCTGTTGCTGAGCATGCATGGCTGCTCCTTGACTATCTCCTGTAAGCATAGCAGTCCTTATCCCCATTGACTTGAGCTCGTTGACAGCTTCTTTCACCCCGGTCCTACAGCTGTCAGAGAGATTGAACGTGCCAATGAGGGTTCCTTCACAGTAGACATATCCGATTGTCATTCCTCCCTTCGTACCATCGTCAACTGCTGGAACTGCAGCATCATAGAGCAAAAGACTCGTTAAAGGTGTGAAGAAACATGATTGAAGATGTTTCGTCTACAGAACAAGGGTAAATGTTTCGTTTGTTTACCAGTTGTTGAACCAGCTCTGGCAGCAATCTTCTTATTTCCTACATAGATTTCTCTACCATCAATTTTTCCGTGAATGCCTTCACCGGGAATGTTCTCATATTCCTCCACATTTTCAGGCCTGGGCTCTACCGAAATCAACCTGCCATATTCAACCAGTGCAGCTGCCATTGGATGACCGGACTTGCTCTCGATGCTCGACACCCTGGGAAATTAAACATTGTTTCTTCATTGAGAGGTGCACTTTCTGAAACTATATGATTATTCTGTATATATCTCCTACTGATTGAGATTTGAGAAGCATGCCACCTGCTTGCTTACCAGTAAACCAACTTCTCCATGCTGAAATCACCACTCAAAGACCTGAAATCTGAAACAACAAAGTCCCCCCTCGTGATGGTACCTGTCTTATCGAATGCAAGAACCTTAATCTTCGCGAGGGTTTCGAGGTAATCACCGCCTTTGATGAGGAGACCAGCAGTTGCAGCCTTTGTGAGTGCACAGAATGTTGCGACTGGTGTGGAGAGGAGCAGAGAACATGGACATGCGCTCACTAGCACCACAAGTGCTAAATGAAACCAGTAGTCCTTGTTGTGAACCCTCAAAGCCAGAGGAATTACAGCGACACTTGCTGATATCAGTATGATTGCTGCTAGGAGAAAACAAAATCAACAATAGCTCAGTACGATTCTTGTTTTAGTTAACATTTTGTTACATTTCCTAGCTTAATGATTTACGCATCTAAGCTTCTTTTCGAGTGATTCAATAGGGTCATACCTGGAGTATAGTACTGAGCACATTGGTCAATGAACCTCTGCGTCTTGGACTTGCTGTTCTGAGCTTCTTCAACGAGCTTAGCCATCTTGGCCACCACACAGTCTTCAGCCAGGGCTGTCGTTTTCACACTGATGTAGCCACTGAGGTTAATGGTCCCAGCCCAGACGGTCGAATCCTTCTGCTTAGGAACCGGAAACGACTCTCCAGTCAGCGACTTCTCGTCGACCTCACACTGCCCATCCACCACCATTCCGTCGATGGGGATTGCCTGGCCAGCCTTGACAGCCACGACCGTGTTCACTTTCACCTCATCGACATCAACTTCCTCTCCTGTCTCGGCTATCGTGGCCTTCTGAGGTGCAATGCTCATCAAGGAAGTCATCACTGCTTTGGCCTGTGAAACGAGGTGAGTCCATCAATCTCAGTTTGAACCCTTCACTTAATAATACATGGTTTAATTAGAATGATCATAGCTTTACTTTATGGCTTGCTCTAGACTCGAGCCAGTCGGCAATGGTGAAAAGGAAAACAACGGTGGCTGCTTCCGTGTAGTCTTGCAGGGCCATCGTTGATACCACTGCACATATACATGAATTCGGTCATTACATGTGAGACAAATTGAACAAAAAATACGCAGGCCTACCATTTCAAATACGCATCTTGGAAAAATACTGGTAAAAGGGTACTGTAGTGAAAGTTGGGCGTATTTTTTGAACGTGAACTCATGTACTTACCCTTTACTCTACTTTATCAAGTTGGAATCTTTCGATGAAGCAGGTTATTATCTCGACTTCTCATCGACGCTAGGATATTCGAACTCGATGATGATTGCTAGATCGCGGATTGTGCTACTCATCAAAGGTATGACATCCTAACTCGTTAATGATTGCTAGATGGCGAATCGTGCAATCCAATGATGGTGACTGAAGATAAGGGTGGCTGACGATAGGACATCCTGGTTCTAATGGTCATAGTCATAGACAGACAGCACACAAAGCAAAGTGGTAGAACTTAGAAGTAAGCAAGCGCCCAACATGCTTGGAAGGCGGCCTGAATTATTAGATAAGACCAAGGGAGACAGCTAGTATTCTGTCCACTTCTGATTGGCCCATGTTCGTTCGTGTACTAGTCCTGATCTTTGATACAGGTTTGATTTGGTCAACATACGACCACGGGCGCAAGTGGAGAGGACCAATGACAAAAGTTTGTCTTAGTAAAAGCAGATTAGTTTATGAGATTCCGATATTTCATCAGCTTTTTTTTTTTTTTGTCTCTGATTTCTTTGCAGATTCTGTTTACCCATCTCGAAGTTCACACATAATTAATTAGCAGCAGATGCACTTACCGGCGATGAGGACAAGAACGTTGACGTCGTGCCTCAAGTTCTTGATCGATGCGATGACTTTGAGCAAGATGGGCCGGATCCCGACGGCGACGGCAGCGACGGCGACCCACTTCATCGGCGGGAACACAAACTTTAGCAGCGAGATCAACAGCAAGACCCCGCTCCCCATCGCGTACGGACTCGGCCATTTCTTTCTGTAACTCCCGCCGCCGGCGGCACCGTCCAATCTCACGTTCGCTTCCAATCTGGCCGAGTTCAACGCCTTAACTGCACCACCATCATAACATACATACATAACCCAAATCAGAAATTCAAGCCAAAAACTCATTCGCCAAAGTACAGGATCTCAGATTGTAGAACCGGCGAAATTTACCGGTAAAGATGTTATGTACAAGAACAAACACTTAATATTAGGCAGAAAGAATCCTATAATTCTAGTAAGTTAGCTTACGTCGTAGCCTACCACATAAACTACATTAAATTAAATTAAAAAACAAAGATGAAAGTCGACGTACGTAACGTAAATTTCCCATTTAATAATCTAGTTCTATCTAGCCTAACATTTCCTTCCTTCCATGGTGGGGGCTTTCAGCTTTGCCCATTTTATCGTGTCCCCACATCACAATATAATTTCGTGATTATGTGAGGATGATAACATACACGTCTCGTCGTCGACGACTTAAATTCGGCATAACATAACTCGAACCGTTTGAACAGTCTGTATTGCAGCAGTGCCATAAAAAGGGAGAACAACACAAACTGACACATAATGATACCAATACGCATTCCACTAGTAGGCTGGCTAGCCAGGCTGTGTTTTAGTGGTTTTGCTATGCGTGGAAAGTATACATGGTTTATGGGAATTGAATTGAATTGGGATAGAAAGAAAGAAAGAAAGAAGGCTAGTCCTCCACGCAAATACCAGCAAAAAAGCCTTAGTAATAATAAAGTAAAACTACAAAAGAACAGATTATCCCAATTCGCCTTTACTCTTCAACTCTGCAGTTTCCCTTTCGTCTCACGCATTACCCAGAAATGGAGTGGAAGCAACGCAGACAAAACAAGCAATCAATGAAAGGAAGTTAAAGAAAGAAAGAAGCTTTTCTTACCAATCTGGAGCTGGGAAACGAGCAGGCTGTCATGGACAACGATGACGGTCCTGGTGGGGACAACGACGGAGACATCCTTGATTCCTTCGAGGGATTTGAGGATGTTCTCGATCAGTGGAACCTCCGACGAGCAGCACAGCCCCAGCACGTCGAAGTAGCTCTTCTGCATCTTCTGATCGCCGCCCGCCATGGACAATAATGGAACAATTACCCTTCCCCTGTTTCAAAAGGAAAGAAGAAGAAAAGAAAAAAAAAAAGGCAAAGAAAGGGGAACCGGACCGAAGTAATATGACTAATGGGTAGTCTTTCGCTTAAAAGGGCAGAAATGGGGAAAGGGGAAACAGGGACGTGGTTCACGTTTCGTGGAGAAGAAAGAAACGTCCTTTGAGAAGAGGAAGGATGGAGAAGTAATCTAAGAGAGAGGACAGGACAGTGCGACTGATGTAGCTTTTGAAGAAGACAGAGAGAGAGAGAGAGAGAGAGAGGGGAATTTAAGGACGAAATGGGAGGTGGATTGGGTATTTGGTTATGCATATATTTATAGGCATAACATAATACAAGTCAATAAGTAAAGAATTATGCAGGGGATTATGTTAAAGTGCACCCTCTACCTCTAAGCACATGTACGTGTGGGTATCTTTTGATTTTGTTTGGGTGGAGGTGGCTGCTGGCTGCTGGCTGCTGCTACTCCTCCAAATCCAATGCAATGAGATGAAAGTGAGGAGGCAAGATAAGGGAATGAATGATGTGGGTTCATCTTCATCCCACTTTTAGTATGGTGTGTAATTAGTTTAATTCAAAAGTTATTAGGATGGGGCTTTTCTGGTTAAAGCATTATTATTATTATTATTATAGTTTAGGGTCCGTTTAAAGTTTGGTATTTATTTTTTCGAGGAAATCCATTATCTATAAATAGGGCCGGGAAAATAGACCAGACCGTTAGAAAAACCGTGGTCCAAATCGTACCGCACAGTTTGGTCCGGACCGTAGACCGTTAAGTATGGTCTGGTCCATGGTCTGTATTTACTTATGTTTTGATCTCTTGGTCTGGTCTGGTCTAGACCGCAGTTTACCGGACCAAACCGTGGACCCAACTGTCTTGTCAATACGTGTTAATAGCCCATTCAACCACTCTCCCAACTCCTACAACGACACCCAAGTCTGAACCTTAGTTTTGTGAATCTCGTCCCTCCTTCATTCACAACTACATTTAACCAGAGAGTAGAGATAATCGTGTCTCCATATGACATTATGTTAATGTTTATGACGTTATGGTGCAAGTTGGGATGCTTTTACTTTGTATCTTTGTTATGTACTAAGATTTAGAGTATCAAAATTATTCATGCATGTTAGGATTAATGATTTAAGGCAAATAACAATTATTTTTCCTGGTTATTGGTTCAAATTTTTGTGTGGTGACTAAACAAATTATTCATTTTTCGTTGAGTGTGGTCTATGTGGACCAGATCAAACCAGACCGCACAGGCGTGGTCTGGTCTGTTGTCTATACTTTAGCCTCTCGGTCTGGATTATAGACCGTATATATAGTCTGTTCTGGACCAAACCACACTGTTTCCCAACCCTATTTATAAAGTTTGGTAACTCTCTCTATCTCTCTCCCCTTTTCATAGGGATCAAAACATGGAATGGTAGAGAAAAGAAGCACTAAGAATGTGAAACTGAAACCCCCCTTCAAAATCTGTGCAAGAACTTGGATTTGTGCGTTGTTTGTATAGGTGTGTTTAGGAGAGATTTCACTAGAAAAGTTTATCTTCTCGTCATAAATTTAAGGTGTTAAGTTCATATATTTTCTATTTATTGAACTTTTACCTTCTAAGATAGTTATAGTTGCAGATTTTATCTAGGACGAGAACAAAGCGGGAAAAAAGGTGAGACTGAGGACAAACCAAATGTGAACTCAAATCAGGATAGAGAATATCAATGGAAGATATGGAGAGCACTAATTTGTTTTCTTTTTCATTTGTGAGTTTTCCATGGGCAGGGAGGAATGGGATTGTTGATTATTGTTGTTCTTTTTGTCTAGCATTTTGGTGTGGGAATATTAAGAGGTTCACTAGTAAGTATAAGATCATCACAAATCATTTTGATAATGGTGTGAAGTAGTGGAGAGTATTATGGAACTTAGCTATGTGGGTGGGGAGAGCTGGAATCCAACTATGAATCCCAATATTATCTCATTTTATACGTACTCTTAATGCATATATTATTAGAATAATCTTAAAATTTGCAATGAGTTGATCGCTATTTTAAGTAAAGTATTTCTAATTTTTATTCGAGGCGATTGGTACAACTAGCACGCACAACAATATTCTTTTAACTAGACAAAACTTACTTCTCAAGGCATTACGATCATGTTTAGGAATTTGGATTGCTTTATTTATGTTTAAGAGAAGATGATTGTAAACCCATCGATGATTTAGGTAATTTAACTGAAGCGAGGTTTGAGGTCATTCGATTGGGTATACTTGGTCATGGAATCCAACGAGGAGGATAACACCTATTCTTGGTCAAGCAAATATGATGAGAAAGTATCATTTCCACTTTTTGTTTTCTTTCACATGGGAAAAGCGAGAGACTAAAAACATGTTTAGGGGTTGTTTGGATGGGTGATTGGGTATTGAGTTATTTAAAAGTATCAATAACTCACTTTTTAGTTTTGTGGTATTTGAGTGGTATTTGTTAAATTCTGGTGCACAATTATGTTGTTTGGATGAACAGAAGGATGAGTTATTATTTGTGTGGTATTTTGATAGAAAAAAGTGGAAAAGACCTTAATGCCCCTGAAAGGTTGTTAGTCCATATATATAATAATAGATTATATATCCAAAAGAGACTACTGTTGGCGAGAAAACAATTCTACCTCCTCTGCAAGCTTTTTCAGAGAGTTCTTTGAGGGAGTCGTGAATGGCGTTGTGTTTAGCAAATGTCCCGAGACAACTATTGTCCGAACTTCCAAGACCAGCCTGCTTCTTCTTTTGCATTCGATCTAGGTGAAACTTTTATGTAAACCTGCAGAAAAAGTAACAACAAAGAGCATATAAGTCTGAGTTGTTATCTACCCAGATGAATGAATCGCTTGAGCAAAATAAATCGCTAGAGCTTTAAGTAAGCGAAACTCGACAAATAACCAAGAAACCACATCATGATAATTATATTGCAGACCATCAAATGTCATTGATTTTCAATAACAGCTCCTTCCACTTTGCTGCATTATGGAGCTTCAAAAAAGCATAACATTGCTGGATTTTTTTTCATTACACTGACAGCAACAACATTCACTAAGCTATTACTTTATCAGTGCTTATAAAAGGGATTTACACATCATAACTAATCCTTGTTGTCGTCCTACTTCAGCACTATACACCATTCATGCGCACTTTACAAAAGCAGATATTCTCCAATTTGCAAAGTCTGTCATCTGAAGTGTTTCTGAATGACAGATACAAAATAGATCTTTGCAAACTAGACAACACTGAATAAGATACTAATCCTACAATGGCATCTACAGTTAGATGAGACTGAGGATAAGGGTTAGCCTGTCCTCATCGTCCATCTCGTAGAAACTCTTCAAGTCTGTTGGGTTCGCATTCAGTATCCTAACTGCAAGCACCCTTTGAACTCGGGTCAAGCCCTCTAATTTGTCCAAGTTACCCCTCAGCTCCTTCCGCATATTATCATGCTCCTTGCTCTCGCCCATTGCTTTAGCGATCGTGTCCACAGATTGTTGGATTAGGGGCCTCAGTAACTTCATCTCAGACCCAAGTTCAGCATCCGTATCATCTAACACTGCACCCTGGACCTTCTTCTTCTTCTTTTCAAGTGGTGCACCCATTGGAGTATTTGCAGGATGCTTCTTCTTGTTCACATTTTTGTCCTCGACCCCCTCATTTATGATGTTAAACATTTCTTCTTCAACTGCAGGGTTTACCATTTCAGCAAGAGGGACAGGAGGGCCTTCATCATCCTTAGTGCCACTATCATCCCCTTCGGATATTATTTCCGGGTCGTTACCTGCAGCCTCTATATGTGTTATAACCAACCGGAAATAGGAGAAAATTGAAAAATCGAGACAACAACACATACCTGAGAATCCTGCGAATCCGTTGGCACGCCCATTAGCAAAAACTGGTGCGAGATCAAAGAATTGTGGGAAAGACGCTCCTTTGTAGGTTTTGCAGGTTGGGTTTTGCTGCAAAAAATAGTAACCTATCCATAGACATACCATGAATACAAAGGAAGTAAACAGTCTATAAGCAACACAACACCAATCCATAGACATAACATGAATACAAAGGAGACAAGAAAACAAACCTCAAGGAACACATCCCACACTTCCTTTTATGCAGAAACACACTCCTTCTCCGCATCCCATCCAAAACCACTCTGATTCTTCATCAAGACGGTCGAATGGTACCAGTGCTTGAGTTTCTTATACTTATTCTGGATAGTTGGTTTTGCTTTAAGGCCACAACCTGGCACTTTGGTTGCCATCATCCTTTGCAACTTTTGAACACACCATTTTTGCAAGTCCCATTGTTGATGAGTCCCCTTTCAGTAAGTTCAAGCAAACATTCCAGAAACGGACCATCATGCGCTGTATCCCAGAAGTTGTACTCTGATTTGACAGCTTCACCTGTGGCTCCTTGAACCTTTTTCTTCCTCCCCATTGCCTGAAATCTAGAAAACATCAATACTTCTTTGATTTCAAGCATTAATCAACCCGAATAAAAACAATAGCTACAAGTCAATTCAGGCAACTAACAAGTAGTCTTAAATGTAAACAACACACAACCTGCTCAAAATGGAAAAATCATCATTAAACTACCCTGATTCAAGCACCCACAACAAGTAGTCTTAAATGTAAACAACACACAACCTGCTCAAAATGGAAAAATCATCATTAAACTACCCTCATTCAAGCACCCACAACAAGTAAATACAATTTAATACCAACAAACACACTCAATTTCACCAACCACAATGAATACACATGAATCATATTACAACAGTCCCACGTACAACAGTAGGTACCCCCAATTCAATTACAACAACAGCTACCTGTCTCTCCAAAAAAAAAAAAAAAAAACAGCACATGCCAAAATTTATAGAACAACAAGCATGTAGAGAATTCTTGTTCAACAGCAGGATAACTAAATTTAATTACACACCATATTGAACAAACAACACGATTACATAGCAAGTGCCTAAGATCTCCATCTGTTGTCCCACATAAAAGTCGCCTTGTTATTGCGAAATTGGGTCCATGTCGCGCATGGTTGCATGCTGGTTCCCTCAATGGTCTCCAAGTCTGCTGAAGGATGTTGTTCGGGCTCAATATCTGGATAGGTTCTCTCAATCTCGTCTACCCCACATTCTTCCTTGATAAAGTTGTGTATTATACAACAAGCTATCACTATCCGGTAAACCTCTTTAGGAGTGAACCAAGTAGCTTTCCTCAAAATCGCGAATCTCATCTTCAAAATTCCAAAAATTCGCTCAATTACATTCCTAGCAGCAGCATGTTTCATATTGTAATATTCCTCGGCTGTTTCAGGCTGCCTAGTACCCCATTCTTTGAGATGGTATCTTTGACCCCTATATGGTGCCAAAAATCCAGGGCAGTTGGCATACCCAACATCACAAAGATAGTAATTACCTAAGAGGGGAAAAGTATATTGGATTATTAAAGGTTAGTTTTGCAAAACTGAGTTGTTAAGACTTTTAATAATCACAGGTATAATGTTACTACCTTGGGGAACATTCAGTCCATTCGGTCTAGTGAGGGCATCTCGTAGTACCCTACTGTCGTGAGCACTGCCCTCCCAACCAGCAAGACAATATACAAATTCCAGGTTGGGAATGCAGACACCTAGGACATTCATGGTTAGGTGGCCCTTCCGATCTCGATATCTAGGTTTGTCCTCCGTCAAAGGACGAACATCGATATGGGTTCCATCTAGGGCACCTAGGCACCTCTAATGACAAAAAACACGGCTGTTAAGGGTATATTAATACATAAATTTATTATGAAAAGTGAATCCATAAAATTAAAACGATGGATTTGACCTTGAAATGTTTCCATCGACTGCTGGTCTCATTTGTAGGAATGGGAACCGGCTTCTTCATGAATTGATTGTTCAGTCTAATGACAGCTTTCAACACACGATGAATTGACCTCGATATAGTCTCCCCTGACCGTCTCAAATTAACTTGCAAGGTCCTATTTTTCTCATTATGTGAAATGGAGCGTAGAAAGGTATAAACCATTTCATCAATGTCTACGTTCCTAGTTTTCTTCAACCCTCCTTGGACAGTAAGAACCTCGCAAAACCTTCTAAATAACCCACGATTCATCCTGATTTGATCGAAGGTATAAGTGTCACTGATTTTGGTTGTATTTCTAAGGTGCCTTTGCCTATCGTAGTGCCTAACCAAGTAGGTGTCTAAGGGTTGCCTACCGAGTCTTGGCTGCAAGTGTCGTTTAGCTAACAGCCTACCAGCCAACTCCATCCCAAGACTAACGTAAATCATTATAAGATTCATAAAGGAGCTAATTGCAGCAAGCACTTGCCGCCTACGAGTCGGGTTCAATGTCGACAAACGAGACAGCCTTTGGAAGACAGAAATGAAGAGAAGTATCAGAATGATTTCTAAATATAAAAACACAACAGCAACGAAAAACAACCTAATACTGAATTCTATCAATCTGTGGATCACCTCTTCCCAAAAACCCTAAAGTCAAAATGGACTAAACAATGCACACGAGAAGCAAAACTATGGGAATTAGTTTCCCAAAACAAATCACTATCTAGTACGCATAAAAACCTAATTATCAATCTAAGTCAAGAAACCAAAACTCTCTAATTATATACCATCTGAATGTTGGTTTGTAAACAAATGGAATAAAGAATAATGTTGGAGGAAAGCAAGTTGCTTTCCTTTCTTCTAAAAGACCAACGAAACAATAGGATGAATTAGCAGAGAAACCCAATAATTAATATCAACACGTACCCAAAGTTCATACTTTTTGCGATAGAAACTTTTGCCCATAGAAAACAATCAACGATTTCTTGCTTTTTTTATCCGAAAGCTTTATTCTTTGCAGAGAGGGGATAGAGAGTTGAGGAGGAGCAAACCAGAAATAAATTTAACACAGACATCGCAAATCTCAGTTAACAATATATCAAGTCCTAAATCGGAATCCTCAGCAACAACATGAAAGGACAAGAGGAAACACTAACCTGGGCGGCGGTTCACCCCTGGTTGAACAGAACAGCTTCGAGTGTATCAAATCGACGCCGACGGAGAAATCGGGAACTTTGCCTTCCTGGTTTGCTGGCAGAGAGGATATGGGTTTGCTAGCAGAGAGGATAACGATGGTGGGAAACGGAAGAAGAAAGCAGAAGGAGAAGAGAGAGTAAAGGAGTCTCGAGAGATGCTTCGTGTGGGGCCAGGGACACGATGGGTACACAAAAAAGCAGGAACGCGTTATTCAGAAATAATATCCCTCCCCCCTTGTTATTTCAATTACCACATTTACGGATTATTTGTAAATAACCACCCACAAATTAATCCAAGTCATAAACAATTGTCCAAACAAGTTATTTGAGCCCAATTAACTCATTCTGAGTTATTTGGGTACAAATACCTCATGAGAATATTGCATCCAAACGACCCCTTAATTTTATTTTCATCTGATGTTGACAATAGTAGTATTTGGCAACACAATAAAAATTAGATGAAAACAATAAAATAACTTTAAGTAGCTTCTTTGCTAATTTCAAAAGTTGTTTCTTGTGGGATCCTATCAGTTGTTGTAATAATTTTATTAAAAAGGTTCTATGATTGAATCTCAAATAGACTAACTTTGTACATATTTTCAGGCCCTCTCTATTTCCGCATAACTCATCCACGAAACTTTATTGTCTATATTGCTTTCACATCTTTTTCTCACTGATTTTTCTCATAACTTGTCATGTTACACTATTCCTCCCATTATTTTCCTACTTTTGTCTTAGTCTCAATATTAATACTAAATGGAGTCTAATGAAGGAACTAAACACATAAAATTGTAAACTTTCATAATTTCTTTGAATTACAAACTAAATGTGTTTTTGTTTTCCATATCCATGGTGTCGTGGTTGTACTTCTGTTGTCACAACAGTACTGCATCCGCAAGAGTAACACAACTGTACTAAAGAATGCTCATGTTGGTGAGATGCGATAAGGTGAAGCTTAAGTATTAGATGCCAGAAAGACGACCACCCTTTGACATTTTTTTTTTTCACAGAAAAGACGATTCATTTCATTTCATTTATAACGATTGTTGTACAGCCGAGGGCATTACAGAAGATGATACACTAACTAAAAAATGTGATTAATTTCACAGGAAACGATCCTTAAGAGACCTCTTTTTCCACCAAATCAGCTTTATGTTCCTTAATCTTGATACAAAAGTCACCTTAATCATATCGCTAGAAATGAGAATGTGGTGCATCAAGTAAATCCACGCCATAACTTGCCACGGCCAACTAGAGTGGAGAAGGGCATTGACAATGACTTGGAGCATGGGAAGGCACTTTGACGTTCAAATCATTAGATTAGCATAAAAATATGATAAAGATAATCGACCAATGGCAACTCTTACTGTCCTCCTTGGAGTTGGAGGGCATCGGATATACCTAACGAGCTGTGGGCAGGCGGCCGGTTCCTTAATCTTCTTGTTATCTTTCATCAACGATAATTGACACTACTTAGGTTGATTTATGTTCATAAGGTATCTTCTTATCTTTACTTGGGTTCTACGTCATTCTCTAATTACCGGCCTTGTTATTACACCCTAGCTATGGCTAGCTTCTTGTATTGCTTTGTCTAATGTAAAGGTTTAGGGTTTTGGTACATAACCCCGAGTTATCGAAACGCTACATAATCTTGCTTGTCAGAATTATAAGATATTATATTATGAATGATAATAAATCTTACTATTTTGATACGAGCTCTTACGTAACATCCATCCTGATAAGATAACATATCATCGGAGCGATAAGATTTTGTATCAAAGTAATAAGGTATGAAATTATGAAGGGTTGTGTAAATCGGAGTTCTGCAGCTACTTCCCTTTCTTAATTTAGATTTACTATTTTGGAGGGAGGGTTCGATCGGCTGAATACTTTAATTGATTATACAACACATATTAAATCACTTGTTTGATTTTTGAGGTGCGTACCTAGATAGCTGTTGTGTACCAATTCTTCATCATCAACATTTTTTTTTAATAAACATCATCAACATTATACAAACAGCAAGTTGTGATAACCTATCCACTATCCTAAGCTAAGCTATTAGTTCCTATCTTGTTATTTCAACGTTAATGTGCATTCCCCTTCTTCCCAGCCGGCTTTCACTTGATACCTCTCACTTTCTAACAACGTAATTTCACTTGTTTATGCACGCGCGTATAGGGTTTTTGTTTCTTGTTATTATTATTGGTTTAAAATTGAATTGACACATTGATTTAAACAACTTCGATAAAGTGTTTGATGGTGATGCACGACATCGATGATTGATTTGTCAGGTATAGATTTCATACTTTAATAACAAGAGATTCGTTGAAAATTAAAGTTAAACAACCTCAAATTTGGTAATTGTTTATCAATCTACACACCGAAACATGATAAGATTATAATGTTGTACTAGTTAATCATGTCCCAATAGGAATTCATGACCACCACCGTTTTCTTTTGTAGTATCTATTGTCAATTTCACCCTAGCTAGCTACCCTTTTCTTGAAGTTCATTCCTTTTCTAAGTTTACATTATAGCATCTAGCTAGTTAGCTAGTATACCAAGTTCATGTCCTTAAGACACAAAGTGGAGCCAGCATCCTAGAAAGTGAGACTAATTGTCTTTACTAGCTTCTCTTGTTGTTGACGTCTAATTAATGATCTATATGATCCCTAGATCTATGACCTGAACTACCCCATTCAGTAGTATAGTAAATTCTCTGTAGTTTATAGTTAACTTTCTTGAATTTAATCGGTCCTTGTATGTGTAATTGATATCATGACACAAAAAAGAAAACACAATTGTATTATTATGATTCCTAACCCTAAGAATACATTTGCTATCACTATCTTCCACATATTTAAAAGGGATGATTACGTGGGTGTATGTAGAGGTCAATGAGGAAGCAAAACGCATATGAAACCAACTTTCTACTCTTCAAAACTTGTTTTACTACAAAGTAAATCTTCTGTCGAGATTTTGAAGAATAACGATCATAGCAAGAGACAAACCTTCTAACCCATATGAATGCAGCCCACAAGTGTTACGAGGTTGTTTGGAAGTTGTGATTGTTAAATTGATGTAGTGTGGTGAATACATGTATAATATTAAACATGTATTGTCGAATTTGATGCATTGTAGAATACAACGTTTGGTATATAGTATTGTTTATGTCACATCTGCTAAAAGCTGAGACAAAACAATCTCAACTCAACTATCTCAACAAACACAACGAAAAGTTGAGATATAACAATCACTCATTTTGAGTGATAGTTTCTGTAACATCACAGAAACAATCCATGCATTGTTTCTGATAAAAAAAACGAAAAAATGATACATTCTAAACAATACATGTATAGTAACAATCTCAACAAAACAATCTCAACTATCAAACGACCCCATAGAGAAATAAAGCCATCCTCAACCTGAATGATGGAGATGTCTGTTGTGAAATTTTGATGGGAGACACTAAATTCAAACCTATTAGCAAGTTCAAACTATAAGTGTTATCGTAAAAATTAAATGTAAATAATACTTGTGAGAATCTATATAGCTTTGAGATGAAAAATAAATTTCAAAATATCTAAAAAGTGTACTAAAAAGCGTTCATTTTTTTAAACAAAAACAATTTGTCATTTGATCATAGTAATACTCTCTAAATAGATTCTCACCAAATTTTTTTTTTTTTTTTAATACTCTCTAGATAGATACAATCCGACCCGTAATAGGAAAATTGGGCCGAGTAACACTTAGGACTTAGAATAATTAAACCCACTAGCATGGTTTTCACGTCGGCCGGCATGCCACCGGTTGTACCTGGTTCAACCGATACCAGTAATAAAACTGGCGTGACACTACCGGTATGAGCGACATGATCGATATACGAATCTCTAAGTAAAATGACCTTATTTTAGTGAATTTAATTGATCAAAATTATTTTATTATTTATTTTATGAGTACAAAAGTTAAATGTTGATGTTATTTGTTGGATTCAAGTATAAATGTTTAGGTATTGACGTTAAATATCATGTTTAAATATGAGTATTTATAATTTTATTTGTAATATTGACCGGCACAAACCGGCACAAACCTATATGTGCTACCGGTCGAACCATTCCACTTGCTAAACCGGCATACTGGTATAAACCGGTTTGACAACCTTGCCCACTGGAACTAGAAAGCCTTCGTCCTTCTTGGTTGCAGCTTCAACGCCGCCGGTAAACCAAAAATCGCGCCTTCTAAGTTCTAACAGGTCAGAGGATTCTCGCCCTCGCTCTACAGCCCTACCTCACCGTTGAAAGAACTCAACTTTCGATCCTTCCCGCAGTGTTTCAATCCTTCCTACTGGTTACCCCACCGTAGACAGATAACTCAGAGATGGAAGAATCTCGCGATGGAGGTTGGACCCTCGTCGCTCGTAAACCCTATTTTGGTCTCCCAACTGCTTGCCCAGTTTGTCTTCCCGTTTACATCTACCTCAAATTTGCTCGCTGCCCTTTCAATTTGGAGCTCAATTCAGCTTACCCGGATTCAGGTACGCGCGTAATGGGCTTCTCTCTGATTCTCTCTCTTTTGGCTTTTGGGAGCAGTTCGATTTTGTTTGTGGGACGAGAATCGGTACAATGAGATACGAATTAGGAACCCAAGTTAGTAAAGTTTTGATTTTTGAACCGTGCTTGGAGAAATTTTGATAGCATGGCAAACATGATTCCTTCACTTGGATGTGTTTTGTAGTCTAGACTCTAGAGTTGCTACTGTCGAACATAAAGTTGGTTGCTTTTTAGCTCTATCCAAGTTCATCAATTCCTTCCAAGTTATAAGATATGGCGAACTAGAATTTGTTCAATCAGATGGATACAATCTGAATGGTGGATGATTAGCTATTTCAATGAGCTTATACTGGTTTACCTTTCCAATGCTAGATCAAATTCCCTACATTGAGGGTGGAACTTATGTGGCTTACAACAATGAAAAGGGTGGGGTTATACAACAATTGAAGCAGGATGGAGTTGTTGATTTGGATTCTGAGTTCAGCTCGTTGCCAGAATGGGTATCAATGAAGGCAATGATGAGTTCATGGCTAGCTGATGCAATCACTTACGAGCTCTGGCTAGGATCTGGTGAAAATTCCGCCAAGCAGATTTATTATTCGGATCTTCCTTGGGTGATAGGGAAGGTTCTTTTTGTTAAACAAGTTTATGATGTGAAGCAGCGATTTAATATAAGTAAACAAAATGCCGAGAAAAAGGAAGAAGAGGTAAAATATTCTACCATTCACTGATGTTTATGAGCTTATGATAAATAGTTTTTGACTTTTTTTGTTTGTGGCCAGATTCATGATCGTGCAAAAGCTGCATACCGAGCTTTGTCTGCAAAGTTGGGGGAACGAGATTTTCTTTTTGAGAGCAGGTGATAGTTTTCTTTTTCTGTTTCCAGTTTTCTAAAGTAATTTGTTATAGCTCAGCAGTCTTTATGACGACACTTCATTGACATATGGAGAGATAAGGTCCCATTATTCTTCATTATGTTCTGAGTGAAAGAATGGCTTTGCTAGTATCCACTAAAGCTTCTGCAAACTTGACAAGAATCAAACTATTCCATTTATTCAGGCCAACAAGCTTGGATGCAGACCTTGTCGGACATGTGCTTTTCATTCTTCAAGCTTTACCTGTGAGTCATTTTCGCATTCTTCGAGTTTTGCAATCGAATATCTGTCACTATGTTCCCTAGTTTTCTTCTGTGATTAATCATTAACATAACTGTGAGAAAGCTCGAAGAATCAACATCTATCTTGGAACATGCATATACATGTTAGCTAGTTAACACTTCTATAATTTGTGAGCGACTGTTAGCTACATGTGGTTCTTGATGCTTTGAGTGAACTCGTGGGATAGGTCTTAGTGTTATCTAAGCCTCTGGCTGATGCATTACCTAATTTTCTTTATTGTCGGATCTGTAATTTTCTTCTGGTAGAAATCCAATCTGTGATTTAGATGTTGTAAACCATGACGTATTCTGATTTTCTTCCCTTATTGTGTACTCTAGGAAGACTCAGTTCTCCGGACTGCTCTCTTGGAGCATGAAAATCTCATAAGGTATGCTGAAAGACACAAGAATGATATCCGGAATTCTGATCCATCAAGTGCATCTGCTTCAAATTTCCAGCCTCCACCATCAGCAGCTCAAGCAAGTTCAAGTGAGTTAATCTCTATCACCCTCACTTTCTTCATCTTTCTCCCCTTCCAGCCGATTCCATCATTGCAAAATATAGCAAATCTTGAACTCATTTTTTGGGCACAATTCTTAAGATTAATGCAATCACTATTAGGTTGGAAACCCAAGAGGAAACCTAAGAGGGAGAAGACGGAAGAGGAGAAACGTTTCCAACGGAAAGCCAAGTACTTTATCGGTGCACAGCTTGCTGCAGTTCTACTGTTTTTGTCTCTCTTAGGCAGTTCATCCAAAGTAGACATTGATGAAGATGACGAGGATTAAGTTACGAATAAAATCCGGATCCTTGTATAAACAATTTCATCACCCTGTTTCTTCTTCATTTCATCAGATTTTGATTTTAGTCATAATCATTTCTTTTCTACCTAGTTGATTCCCCTAGTCTTCAGAGATCATAGTTGCTAACAGTCTCCGGCATATGTTCTTCCATTTTGTTTTGAAAGACACTGAGTAAATAAGATGCTTAGTGATTGGGATTCAACTACTACATGCTTCACATTCCAATCAATGTTTTTGTGGTGCTTTAAGCCTTCTTTCTCAGCCTTAATTCATGCTTTGAAAGTGATAGCTCAAAGACAAGACATTACCTTTTTTATCTGTAAATAGAAAAACTATGGTGCAAATGGTTGCAGCTTCTATGGCCATTAGCGTTTTTGAATTAACTGCCCTGTAGTTGTTGTAGGCATAGTTGTTTCTTATAAGTGGCCATATTGGCAGAGCCATTTCGATAGTGGTAATGCGATGCCCTTATCTATTAACCAAGGGCCAATCTTCATACTTTTGTGTGAGATCATATTATATTGGTAAGTGGAAGACAGTTTAATCAAATTTCAATTTGGTTGAACACCTTTACTTTCCATGGTGGATCAGGTTTCAGGTAATGCCAAAGTAGAAACTTATGTGCTCAATCAGCCTCACTGATTGAAACCTATGACTGTTACCATTACCAATTATGGTCTCAACTGCTCCAACTTTAGATGTGGACTTGATTTGGTGAGTACAGAATCAGATTGAACTACTGTATCCGAACGAGATACATGGCACATTCGATTCATTACAACCATTCATTGTACTTAAAATGAATCCGATGTAACTGAAATCGAATCGATTAAAGTTTAATACAATCAAACCTATTCGATCAAAACATCAATCTGGTTTGATTTACTCACATTCCAGCAACTTGATCATAGGCAAAAAGCTTTCTTCTCACAAATTTTTGGGTTATTAAACCACCTACTCTAAGTAGGAAAGAAAACAAGGTTAAAAGATGAAGGAAAAACTACCTAACACATAGATCACAAATTACATTCCTTTCCTCTACCGAGCTAACTCTACTTCTCCCGAAGCCGGCCAGCCGCAGGCACCGGCGGCGGCGCTTCTTCCCCATTCTCCCATTGCTTGAAAAGCTGAGCATATCCCTCCGCTGCACCATTGCCAAACTCGGTTAACGAGCTGATAGTGACCGACATCCCAGCACAGAGCACTCTCATACCAATCTCAGCCATTTTCTCCACTGTCATCACTTCTTCCACCTCCTTACCAACTTCCACCATCTCCATTCCTCCATTGTTGTTATTATATCTCCTCGAACCCACAGGAGAAGAAGTCGAGTCATCTCGCAGAACCTGCTGATCGCGAATCGAACCCATCCAATCCGCGGCGGTCTCCATCCCGTCGAGCACTGCCTTCTCCTGCACGGCATCCAGGAACTTGGACCATCCAATGCAGAGTCCGAACAAGGGGAAAGAAGCCGTGCTGCTTGATCGACGCGGGGAGAAGGGTAGCTTCGAGATTTCGGCGGGGTCGAGACGAACGCAGCGGAGGAGCCAGCCGGCGAGGGACTGGATGTAGGATCGCTGAGAGGCGATCCACGTCTGGAAAGATGACCTCCAGTTCCTGAGCTCTGTTTCCATGGCGGCGGCTGATCGAGATAGGCGTTGAGGGTCAGTCATCGAGATGGAAGCCCGCCTTCTCGCTTCGAGCTTCGATGGTGCTGATGCTACTAAGAGCTTGGCCGTGTCGAGTGTTTGTTTCTGAGAGTGGTGGCACTCTGCCATCACCTTCCACATCGTTGCTAACCTGTATTTGCATTGGAAATGTTTTTAGCTAACCTGTATTTGCATTGGAAATGTTTTTAGCTAACCTGCATTTTTCTTAAGTGTCACGCAAGGAAGTGGAATGAATACAATTACCCTTGCGCTAGCTCCAAAAGCTGAGGCTGCAACTCTTCATCCCGCAGAGTCTCTATCCTCTTCGATATAACTTCCACCGAATGAATCGAAACCTTAATCTGTGTATCCAATTCTCTAATGGATGCCCTCGTTTTGTCCAACACACAAGGATCCTCTCCTTTAACGTCTTGGTTCCTAAGCTGCATACATTTCTTCTCGTACGCTATCCGAATTTTCTCTCCTGACTGCAACCAGATAATAGATGCAGTCATGAAACTGTCAGTTTCTCTGAAACAAATAACTGGTTGTTAGTTGATTTCTGAACTTTACCTTGACTTCGTCGAACAGCTTCTTCTCCCAGGCGTACAATCTGTCCAATGTCGACTGGTGGCCACCAAAGATCGCGCAGTTATCATCTGAGACGTCACTACTGCAGCTATCCTCGGGTTCATCTCTGAAGGAAGAAGAGCTGGCCACGAATCTCGATGACGATGAACGAAACGAAGCTGATCGGATTAGCGCGACTGGATTCAGCATTTTCAATGCTGCATTTTGAGAGGCAAAGGCCGAAATGAAAACAGAAGTCACAGAACAAGAACACTGCATGGAGGAGGTTAGTACTGCAAGCTATAGACTTTCACCTGCGAGATCATTTGAGGTGGATGATATTGAATACTGAGCTCTGCTAGACTCTAACAAACCAGAAACCACTTTAGCTGAATCACAGATCCTTCCAAACTGATCTTCCAGATCCTTGACAACTTCTGCCATGCTTGTTGGTCTTCTGTTAACATAGGCTGTAAAACCTTGTTTCTCGGCTTCTTTACTACCACTACCAACAGCCACAGCTTGTCGATTACGTGGCTGGACTCGTCTGGAATTCTGGTTTCGAGACACCTCAATCCTTGTAGAACTAGTTTGTGGCCGCTGCTGAGAAGAACCCTTCATCATGATCTCGTCTTTGCAGTCACCTTCAAAGCATATATCATCATCGTCGTCGTCGTCATCATCATCTTCATCAACATCTTCAACTAGTACTTCTTCCTTGGGGTACTCATTGTGCTTTACCGGAGGAGGACGAGGGGGAGCTTCTTGTTGTTGTTGTTGTCGAGGAGCTTGTTGTTGTTGTTGTCGTTGTTGTTCTCTCCTTTCATCAACTTCATGCTCAGTTTCATCTTCCAAGTCAGGAATACCTTCTTCCTCTCTAACCCGTCTCAACCCTCTAATCTCATCATCTCCACCCATGTGGTGATCAATGCTGCTACGAACCGGGTAGCCATAGTAATCCAATGAAGAGAAAGGATCCCAGAAGCCATCCCACTGAGATGTCTGCGGTGAAGGTGGAGGAATGTAGGCTCTATCATTGGAGGGAGAGTAAGAGAAGAATGAAGAAGGTTGTTGTGGTGCAAAAAAATTATCACCCTGATAATAATCCATCATTGGTGGATAAGCATCCATATGGTACGTTTGTGGTGACTGAGGTGGTCTCTCCTCGACAAACACTGGCTGGTTCCCACCTGATCTTAGGTAGCTTGGTGGATAAGCATCCACATGGTACGTTTGTGGTGACTGAGGCGGTCTCTCCTCGACCAACACTGTCTGGTTCCCACCTGATCTTAGGTAGTTGACTGTCACAGTCGGCCTAGTTCTAGACTGTGGAAGTGCTGGTGCGAATGATTTATGTGAGCTCGAGATCAACTGCGGGCTTCTGCTGCCTTTCTTCGATGGACTGGTGAACTGTGGTGGAGCTACGAAGGAGTCCAGAAACAAATCCTGAGGCTCACCGGATTCTACATAGTCATGGACGGCAGCAGATACCCTTTTCAATGACTGAACATAAGCCAAGTGGCTGGACGCGAACCTTGTTCTCTGCTCTACCGCTTGCTTGATGAACTTTTTTCGATCTTTACATAGTTGTACTGCTTCCTCATCGTCCAGCTTCGATGTTGAGCATCCCATATTCCCCCTTTCACCTCTTCTGCACAAGTGTCATTTGCTTATTCTTTTTCAGCTCTTTGAAGAACCCCAATGGCACTGGCCACTGAGAGATCCTCTTAGAACAGACCCACAATAGCGTTTCTTTGTTCTTCTTACTTCTGATCAAGCTTCAAACACTGATGAGATTCAACTGCAGAAGAGATAACAAACATGGAAACAAAACCTTCAGCAGCAGCCAAATTTTGCTGGTGTTTTCACATTCTTTCCTCTACAAGCAAGGGAAAAACTTAGAATACATGAGAAAAGTCTAGCAGGGTGGTGGTAAAGGCGGTGCCTTTCTTCGTTCCCAAGTTATGAAGAGAATGGAACTAGCCTAGTTTTGTTCCCTTTGGATGGTAGAAGTCGAACAAAGGGGAGGGAAATAGGCAATGGTGATGCCTTTCTCATGCACAAACAATGCTAAAACCCAAAAAGCAAAGAAAGTGGAGGGAACGAGTTAACTAAAGAGAGAATGATTAAAGGCCTAAAGGGTGTGTTTCCATTACATTACATACAAGCAGAATCATTTGATTTCCCAATTACGAGGCGGAGAGCAAAGCAAAGACAGCATAAAAAGCAGCAGCTGCAGCAACATTATTTGACTGTAAGTACTGTACTCACATGGAGCTAAAAAGACAGAAGAAGAAGAAGAAGAAGTCTGGCTAATAAGGCAAAATCCCCCAGCTAGCTAAAATCTCCATGTGAACAGAACCCATTTCTTTACGAACTGACCCTACTGATATAGTCTGATACCACTAACATGTGAACCAGAGATATTGAATACAGAGTGTATAAGACAGGGGAAGAAAAATAAACAATCATACTCTGTTCATCATTCACATTATTAATTGGGTTTTAGAGAATGGAATCATATTTCATTGATAATGAAATATTAATTAATACAAGTAGATAATGAATCTATTCCTTTGATTATTATTGTTAATGTCCCTAAACAACTGTTCATCGAAAAATTTACTAGCGCGCATACCGAGGTTGTCAGTAATAATATATACAACTGTGAGGGAGGAAAAAAAAAATCAATCCAGGTAGGTCAGAGGAAGAATCTACAGAAGCTGAAAACAAATGAGATTGAAGCAAGCAGCAGCATTTTCAGCTCAATGGGAATCTATCGATCGGCGGAGGAAGGGAATGGTGATAATACTGTGTGCTGGAAATGGCGGGAGAAATGAGAGGTTGGGAGTGATGGTTTTGGGGGGAAGAGGAAGCGTACCTTACGACGGGCGAGAGACGGCGGCGAGCGGCGGAGGAGGTAGCTGAGAGAGTGGAGAGGGAAGGAAGACGGAGAGCTAGAGAGAGAGAGGGAGAGATAGGAGGAAGGAAGGAAGGAAATCTGGAGCCAACGGTCAAAAGAGATTCCGGAAAAGAGAGGAAAAGGGCGGCTGTGCTCTTCTTTGTTCTCCTCCTTTTAAAAGAAAGAGGAAAAAAAAAAAAGTTGGGAGGAAGGAAAATATGTAGGGTCAATTACAGATCAATCACTAGATATTCATACATAACTAACTTATCATTGAAGTTTAGACCTTTATTATTTACCGTGACAAAGTCAGAATTTATAGCAAGAATCATAATATATAGAGGTGAAGTATGAAATTAAACTCGAGTCTTGAAGGAAGAGGAGTGATCATCTACTATTCTACCACTTTCTAATGTTTGATTAGCATATGATTATCATAGTCTATTATCCTGACATATGCACCTCTTCTTATGTAGTGATTACAAGAACATGTATATGCACATTTTTTCATCACGAAATTAGGACAATTTGACATATTGATGCAGATGGTTGAAAGACTTATGAAGACATGTTGAGTGAAGTTAATTATTCCAAACATTAATAAAAAAATTTATGTTGAATATCCAAATTCGTTCAACTGACAATTAATATAAACAAAGAAAAATTTCATTATGACCCAATTTCTAACTAAAACGACTCGAAATCATTCCACTCCCATTCTCTCCCTGCTCCGATGATAATCTTAGGCATTTTGGTCGTCATGAGTTTGCACATTTCATTCTAATACAAGCAACTTTTATGAAAACCTGATGATAGAAATGTATGAATAGATTGTGATCAATTCATCAATTAACCTAAAATTTGGTCGACTTTTGGAAATTGATGAATAAAATACACAAGAGACAGAAAAGAAAAGGGAGATTGGGGAAGAGAACAGAATTAGATCCTCTTCCTATCCCACAGAACTGAGTGCGACACTTCCTCCCTTTTTTCCTCCTCTTTCCTCCCCATGTTCCCCTCCCTATTGCTTTTTTAAATTACTGTTATCAAAGTTGTTAAATTTCTATAATGTGGTGTTTTATTCTTCCATGAAGGAAATGAAATAATTAATTAACAATCCTAATCACTTGGTGGAATTACGTTTCACTAGTGGACTTGTTCTCAAACAAGTATGGGCTCGAGCCCATAAGAACACCAAAGGGTTAAACAAGCCTTCCATTGAAAGAGCCCACATCATGACTACTGCTAGTATAGGCTTGTTAATAAGGGGTTGTGTTCCAATACAAATACAAAGGATTAGGAGCATGCATTAGCAACGATAAGGAAACCGTACTGAGATTATACCGGAAAAGTGAGTGGTAGGGTATTTTAGATCAAAATCGTGATTTAATTGTGATTGAACCGCTTTCTACCGCCTATCGTTTTGGGCCCGGTATCCGGTATTTCCGTTCCGACCGACCGATACGGTAGGGTTTCCTAAACCTTGTGCATTAGGCTTTGATAGCTTTTTGAAAAGCATCGTGCTTGATAGTTGATAGGATGATTTATCACATTCTTGTAATGTTGTTTTTGTAACGAGGAGTGATCGCTACGATTTCACATAAGTGTACAAAAATAATTTGTTGTTGTCATGTACATCATGCTCGAGATAAGCAGGTGTCAAATGGACCTAGTGACATTACAACATTAATCGTGTGCATATAAATTTTGATCTTATTAATTTTAATATAAGTTCAAACACCTAACTGAACAAAAAAATTATCCCTAGATTGCAAATTTTTTTTTTTTTGTTAGACCATAGATTGTAAATTTGAAGTGGAGGGACCTTTAAATTTGTTTTTAATCACAGAGGGATGTAATTAGTGAAAAATGAGAAATATCATGGCCAAAACTAAAATTCGCACGATCCATGGCCTAGGGTTTATAGTTTTTTTTCCGCCAAAGCAGAGGGTTTAGAAACGGTTGCCGCCGATTTCCGAATCTCCCTCCAATACTCCGACTGCCACCGTCTCACCTCCAACCTCTGTTCTCAGCTTATTGCCAATCTCTCCGAGTAAAGGTCGGCGGCAGCCGTGGTGTTTAATATGGCAAGTCGACCGGAGAATCTCGCCCCACCAGAAATATTCTACAACGACGCCGAAGCTCGTAAATACACATCCTCGTCGCGTATCATCAACATCCAGGTAGAGATCAGCTCTAGGATTTAATGGGCTTCCGTTGAATTACTCTGTACTTGTTATCTGATTCCGGCTTCATTGAAAATAGTCGAAGCTTTCAGAGAGAGCACTGGAGCTTCTAGCTTTGCCTGATGATGATGTTCCGAGATTGCTTCTTGATATCGGTATTCAGTTTTTTTTCTCTAGATTTGTTTACTTCTTAATTGGAACTTGCAGCATTCCCATGGAAGTTCTGAAAGCTTTGGCCTTTTCACTTTTGCAGGTTGTGGTTCAGGGCTTAGTGGGGAAACATTAACTGAGAACGGGCATCAATGGATTGGTCTAGACATTTCGCCATCGATGCTTGGTATGCATTGCTTCTCTTGCTGGTTTGCCTGATTTTAGAGCGATGCTGCTTTCATGTGTAAAAAAGTTTGAATCTTTTTGCCTTAAATGTAGACATTGCAGTGGAGCGAGAAGTTGAAGGAGATCTCATGCTACACGACATGGGCCAGGTATGCCCTTCGGCATTTTGTCAGCTCAAAGCTATATTTTAGCATGAACTTGTTCTTTAATGCTGAATGGTTGATGAAATTGCAGGGCTTGCCATTTAGGCCTGGAACTATTGATGGTGCCATTAGTATCTCAGCTGTTCAGGTTTGTGAGCTTTATGCTTACCTTAGCAAATGAACGATTGGTTAGTTTTAGACAGAACGATTAGCATTCATTCTTTTCTCTCTGATCTTTTTTCTGTAGTGGTTATGCAATGCAGACAAATCATCTCATGAGCCGAGGAAACGGCTGAAGTATGTTCTTCCGACCTTCTAACCAATCTTTCTTATTGCAAACATGACTAGGAAAGTTCTGCAACCTTGTAAAACCTTCTTCTTACCTTGTTGGTTTTGATTTTATGTTCAGGGCATTCTTTGGATCATTGTATAGATGCTTAGCAAGGGGAGCCAAAGCAGCATTTCAAATGTACCCTGAGAACATGCACCAGCGAGAGCTGATACTGAAAGCGGCTATGCAAGCTGGATTTGCCGGTGGAGTAGTTGTTGACTACCCACACAGGTAAGTTGCTTTGACATTATTATTAGTGAGAACCACCAGATCGTGTTTCTTAGTTACCATGGCTGCTGAACTTGAGTGACACTTTCTACTTCCGCAGTACCAAGAGTAGAAAAGAGTTCTTGGTCCTCACCTGTGGACCGCCATCAGTTAACACAGCTGTTCCGAAAGCAAAAGGGGAAGAGGGAGAGAGCTGCTCAGAAGATGAAAGTGGTGATGACGACGATGAAGAGCACCAAACAGTGAGTTTCCTTTTTGGTAGATTTGTAATTGCTTGAAAGGTAACTTGTTTTTCTTTATTTATAATTACCAATATGTGTTTGTTTCGGCTGATGGTACACAGGTGAGCATCTCGGACAGGCACAGACCGAAGAAAAGGCAGAAAACAGGGAAGAAAGGGAAAGGAAGGCAATGGATATTGAAGAAAAAGGAGCAGATGAGAGGTAAAGGACATAATGTTCCACCTGATACAAGATACACTGGTAGGAAACGGAAGGCAAAGTTTTGATCTTTCCCATCTTTCTGCTGATGCTACTGCTTCAACGTGCTATTTTCTGGTTGTGTTATGTGGAAGACCCAAGATTCTGAGTTTTGAAGTTGAGCGTCGATACCATTTTTGTTTCATCTTTAGAAACTTGGGAAGCAATGTATTCATTCTACAGGATCTTTGCAATGTTAAGTTTTGGTATTTATTCCCTTGGGATGCTTTGGAAGCTCTATTCATCTTTGGCTTACTTCAACATTGAGAATCCTCTTCTCTTTAACCACATGCACAATTGTATCCTATTCTATGTTCTCTGTAGTCTCTCTTCTGTATGGACAGAAACAGAATCCTAACTCGTAAGGAAGTATGACACAGAAGGAAGGAGAAGGTCTGTTGAGTCAAATTTGGGCCACTCTGGTTTGGTCATCGAGCTGTCGATGCTGACCAATCCAGCTAAAATCAGTATAACTTACTCTTCAACGACTCTGTTTAGAATCACTTTCTGCACTTAGTGCCCTTGTGATTGCTCTTTAACAACTTCCGTTTGTTCCTTCTGAACCACATCTATTTGTTGGCTTAGTACTGTCTTTATACATTATCTAAAGATTCATGTCTGCAAGCTTCAATATTTTTAGCTTAAAAAGGCTTTGATTATTCCCCTTCACATTTTTGTAACCAGAAAACTATATTCGCCCGCCCATCAACCTCCCAAACTTTCCCTCTAATTCCCCCATTTCTCAACCATTCACCACACGAAAAGGAAACGCCTTTGACTCTCTCTTGCTCTCTGTTTTCCTTCTTTCGTGTCTGGAGAAAACTCCCAACTCCCTTTTATGTTCCACTCCAGAGACAGAGCAACCATCAAAGCTCTCCTCTTTTACTCCGCCCTCTGGCTTTTCTCTGTGTAAGAAACAGAGCATCAGTTCACAATGAAGTACATGAGAACAAACAGCTTGAAGTTGAAGCGGCTCTTCTCATTAGTCCGCCGAACCGTCGAAGAAGAAGAAGAAAGGATAATCGGGAATGAAGATGGAGACCCAATTCGCCGAATCAAAGAGCAGTACATCGCCACTTCTCCAAGACCACCCACTTGGAAATGCTTCTCTTACGACGAAATAACACTCGCCACCAACGCCTTCCACCCAGGTTCCCTCCCACTTTCTTTTCCTTCCGTTTCTAGCTTGGCGTTCAAATTCTGACACGGATTTTATGTTTTTTTGTTTTCGGTTTTCGCGCCGGCGGCAGATAATTTGGCGGGGAAAGGAGGGTATGCGGAGGTTTACAGGGGAACCATGCCGGGGACAGGGGAAGTTGCGGTGAAACGGCTGACGAAATCGTGTACCGACGAGAGGAAAGAAAGAGACTTCCTGATGGAGATTGGAACGATCGGCCATGTCAACCATCCAAACGTTCTTCCTTTAGTTGGTTGCTGCATCGACAATGGACTTTACCTCATTTTCCAGTACTCCTCCATTGGCACCGTAGCTTCTCTTCTCCATGGTAAAAAAATTCACAAAATTCTTCACTCATTATGACGGATTGAATTGAAAAACTCATCGACTCTGTTTCTGCGTTTCTCCATTACAGGGGAGAATTGGAAAGAGTTGAATTGGCGAAGAAGGCACAAGATAGCGATTGGGACGGCGAAAGGGATCGATTATCTCCACAAGGGATGCCAAAGAAGAATCATCCACCGGGACATCAAATCGTCTAATGTTCTATTGACGGAAGATTATGAGCCCATGGTAAGTTATGTTCCTCTTTCGTTCTTCCCCTTTCCCTCCCGAAATTCGTTGCTCTGTATCTCACTGGTTTCCGAGTCGAATTGCAGATATCCGATTTCGGGCTGGCGAAATGGCTGCCAACGCAATGGTCTCACCATTCAATCGGGCCCATTGAAGGAACATTCGGGTAAAGATCACTGGTTTAGAATACAAAAGCTTAGACGACCCAATTTTCTTGACTGATGACGGGGGAAAAGTTTCAATCTTTACGGACAGGCACTTGGCGCCAGAGTATTATTTGCATGGGATAGTGGACGAGAAGACGGATGTGTTCGCGTTTGGAGTGTTCCTCTTAGAGCTCATCTCCGGCAAGAAACCTGTCGATGGGTCTCACCTCAGCCTTCACAGCTGGGTAAGTCCTAATGAGAACAAAAAGGAAAAAAAAGGCAAACAAAAGCATCCCTTTCTCCTTATAATTTTTGCGAGAAATGGAAATGTCAATTATGTGTGTGTATTGACAATAACAATGTGGCAATAAAAATTGGACAGGCGAAGCCAATCCTAAAGAGAGGGGAAGTGGAGGAGGTGGTGGATGGAAGGCTGGAAGGAGACTACGATGGAACAGAGCTGAGACAACTTGCATTTGCCGCTTCCCTCTGCATTAGAGCTTCCCCAGCCTGGCGCCCCACCATGGCCGAGGTACGCATTCCTTCTTCTTATTCGTTTTATGTCACATTTATCAGAGCAAGAAGTCAGATCCTAAGATCAATGAACAACACAACACATGAACATACCGATCGTAGTAATAATGTTCCAACCCTAACAGACGATATACAACATGGTCCAGTGCCCCCTCAAAAAGTTCCCTCACTTATCCTTCTTTCCTTCTCCACCATTAATGACAAACATTTAGTTCCCTCACCGACCGCCATTGATGATCAGCAACGAAAGGGAACTGCATCACAAAACAGAGCCAAAGATCTGTTTCTTTCTTCAAAACCTCCCAACTCATTGACAATGAAGTCCATGCCGTATGCCTGTCTGTACCATACAGTGACATTTGCCATCGTTAGCTACTTAACCCTTTGTTTTTGTGTGTGTCTTAAAATTGACTGCATGAGCGGTTTTTGCCACCATCTTGCAAGTAAAATGCTGTTTATTTTGTGCATACGCATGAAATGATGAAATGTAGGATTCATAAGTCAAATGGTTAGTGATTAATAATGATTTCTCGGGGTGGGAATTAGGTGGGTTTATGCCTGTTTGATGACTTGTTTGTTTGTGCATCTCATTTTCACCGCCCAATTTCAAAAGACTATTCCCCACATAAATGTTCAATTGACCTTCAAAAACTTAAGGTATATGGGGAATTATATTGGAGAAAGAAAAAAAAAGAATATATTAAGTTGGATGGTCTGTCGACATACCTAATCCAAAAACCCATTAAGCCACGCAAGAGATTGCACGAGTCTTCTTCCCCCAAATCCCCCCACTGTTCTACATGTGGTGTTTGATGTTGATGAAGTTGGGAGTTTTAATTAGGTTGTCATCACTCATCATCATCACCATTCCCCCTATAAACAAAATACCACAAAATCCAAGGTCCATTTGATTTTTGAGTCTGTAGTTCAACCTTTGTATTGTATGAGTTGAAATCCTTATTTCAATAGGATAAGTGGGTTCAAATTATTGTGGCGGTTCGGTTGAATCAAATAACAAGATCTGTTGATTCGTTTCGTATTGTGTCAAGGGTTGATGTTTATAGTATCTTTTCGTTTTTTGCATATTAGAAGAATATAATATTCCATCTGCCCAGAAGCGATAAATGAAAAAAAAAAAGTAAATAATTTTGCTGCAGGTGTTGAAGGCCATGGTAGATGTGGAGGAGATGGGGAATGAGAGGTGGAAGTTGCCAGAAGGTGAAGAGCAGCAAGATGAGTTTTGGGGGTTTGAAGATCTTGAATGTGACGATGATAGTGATTCCTTTTCTGCTTCTAATTCTGTTTCCCCACAGGATTCCTTCTCTATGATTTCCACTACCATCACTCCTACTACTGTAAATGCTACCAATGTTACTATTACTACTACCACTCCAACCTCAATAATTCCTTCTTAATTCCCAGCTAGAGAGACCAGACCAGCTATATTTTGTAGTAAGTGTACAGTTTTTGTATCTTCACCCCCTCCTCCTACATCTTTGTATTTTCATTATTCTCTTCTTCTTCAATCAACTATTGTATTGTAGTCGTATCACATATATATAAAGTGAGGTGCAACTTTATAGTGAATTAGAAATTCAGATCCTTGTCAACTCTTTCTTTTTTTAATATATACACTATTTTATAGAATCATACGATAATCTATGTGTAGTAAACAAATTGGTTCAAACGAAAAAATAAAAAAAGTTTACAAGTATGACATCTCAATTGAAGGAAAAGAACATATGCGAAATACATCGCAGAATGATGAATACATCGATTCGAATGGTCTGGATCGGATCTGCGAAATACATCGATTCGACAAAATGATGATTACAATCACATAGTTGAATACAAATGGTCTGGGTTTCAGATTTGTTTGAATTTCTATCCCTTTAAGGTAATATTGCTTTGTGATGACATCTAGATTGTGTTTCTATTTTAGCTCTGTTCCAATTTTGGTTGATGGATCTCATATTATGATTGATGTCTCGCCATCCTCCCATAACATATCGAATCATGTCCATGAAACCGTACCGGAGACCGTATCGGGAAAGTTAGCGGTAGGGTATTTTATGGTAAAACCGTGGTTTAACCGTAGTTCAACCGTTATACAGGTAAATATCGCATATCGGTTTAGCCTCTAATACTGGTATTTCGTGGTTGAACTGGCGGTACGGTACGGTTTAATGGACACTAATCCAATGACGAGAAAATAAAAATGAAGATAAAATTTATAACTTTAGTCCTTCTGGTACTATAATTTGGATGTTGGACCATATTCATCATTTGGGAAAAAGGTCGAGTTGTTCAAAGAACAAAATAGGGGTTGAGTTATTTTTGTCCAAATGATCAAAGATGGACCATATATTGTAAAAAAAATTAATTATATGGAGATCCTTTGGGATCTCTCTCCCCCTCTGTGTCTCTTCAGTCTTTATATACAAATTGCGGGGTGAGATAGCATGACTAACCCTAAATGAGTTGGAAAAATGACACCCCTTATTAATTATAGGCTGTTAAGGTAATTGATTTGTGTAGCATTTGATAATTTGTCTGAATTAAAAACTCATATTAATTACTTTTCTTTTTCAGTGCAATGGTAGTTGTACTAGTGCAATGATATCGATGTACAAGTGCAATGATAGTTGTGTCAGTGCAAGCTAACCGATCCCGCAAATTGCCACTAAAATTTCATTAATTAAGCATCTGAATTGATTGGTGTGCACTTGTTGGGTGAAATATATTTTTGTTGCTAAATCTTCTTGATTAGCATCAATTTCCCCTAATTATATTTCAACGTTTTGCATTATTAATCGTATGCATGCCACCTCGAAGTCTATAACTTACTACTTTACTAGTTTATCGCAAGTGTTAGGAACTTAATTAATTGAACTAATGGTCCTAATAATATCTGCATGGTCGCGTGCTTAATAATACCAAATAACTTCTAGTGTCTCTCTCAAAGAAGACAGCTCATTTTAAACATAACATAAGCACTTTGCCACTTATTGCATTTGCATAGGATGCTCAAGGAAAAACATTTAAGTAAATCAATCATATAAAATGCTGCTTAATATTGCATGTGACTTAGTTCGAAGGTTCGTTCCTTCGTGGACAGCCGATAAAATTGAGACTTAGTTCAAAAGTTATAGAAGACCAAAAGAATATTGTAAATTCACAAAAGATATAAATTTGATAGAATTTCATTATTAATAGGTGAATTTGACACCCTTCATAAATTGACCGGAAAGTAAAGAATAATTTTACCTGAGCTTTATAGTTTGAAATAAAGAAGGCCGATACATTAAAATTTCGATAATTTAGATGCTAATCCAACTCAAAATTTTGGTCTTATTAGGGGATGGTTGAGAATAATAATACTGAAAAATTAAGCATGCATCATTTTGTGCCCCTATGGTGCAGCTGTCCCAATTTCAGGGGGAGTTGGTTTGAAAAGCCAGTTCAAGGATGGCTCGGGTCTTTTTGGCCTTTAGTTTGCTTAAATCTTAATCCTCCTCCCTAATTACAATTTTGTGGTTAGCAGTACCACATGTCACTTTGTGAGTCATGTAAACTCATGTCACAATTGTATTTTTTTTCTTCTTCCCCAATATGTCAAAAAGAGTCAAGAATATATTTGCTCCATAGCTAAACCAGTTCAAATTAAAAACAAAAGATGTGAGGGACGTCAAATCGCTGACTAAAAATCAAACTCATATATGATCTTTTGACACGTTGAAAGATCGTGACTTCCGAATCTTGTTTGATAGTTACACCATGAAGCCTTTAATGGAAGACGAAGTAAATTCGGCGATCTATAAAGCAATAGTAGTTAAAATAGATGTTTCCATGGATCTGATCGAATTTCAGTGACTCTTTGGTTGTACATTTCTGTCCTAATAAAAGAAAGAACTTTCTCTAATATTTCAATGGCCGACTAATTAAGCCATTGGAGAAGAAGTTAAGCAAACTAAAAGGTGCAAAGTGGCAAGCTCACAACTAAAACCTTTCCAAGAGGGTAGTTGTTTGTCTCGATGCCAACCAAACCCACAATACCAACTATAAACTTATTAGACAAGTCCATCTGTAAGTTTGGTGAACTTAGTTTAATTACTAATAAACAACAATGACAAGAATCCATGTGTGGCAGGGAAAGGGGAGCACAATAACATAAACAATCACTAAACTTTGGGACCCCTTGCAAAGAGATCACCAAATCTTAATAAGTTGTGACCCATTTGTTACGAACTTGGTGTTTAGTGACGATTTAGTTAGTTGACCACCGTAAGATAAGACAGCAGGTGAAGTTGCTGTCTCGATATCATAATTCCCAACCATCTAACGTAAGGGGCTCCCAAACCAAAACTGAGGAAAACATGTCATGGAATGGAATGTTAGTTGAACGCTGCGGCCCTCTTCTTCTTCTTCTTCTTCTTCTTCTTCTTCTTCTTCTTCACATGCTATGTTGGCTGGTCCTCCTCTTCTTCTGTTTCATTTTTATAGGAATATGGGATATTTTTGTAATTCAGTATTTTACAACTAGGCTTGATGTGCACTTGTTGTTTACCTGCAATTTAATTGGGGGAATGTGCTATCCTCTTGTCTTTTGGATTTCCTAGGTAAACTAGATTGACTTCATTTGACCATGGAGACTAGTGGTTGGAATTAATTACGTCATAATATTGTAGGTATGTTGTGTTCGGGTTATGGGTGATCGGTAGATTCGAGCTATATCGAGTTAAACAGATCAAACTAGCATTTATATCGAAAAGAACTAAATCGACGCATAACGCAATTTTGAAAGTAAGGTGTATTTATCTCGCTTGTAGGTTTCTTTGGTTCTCTAAAATATTGTGTGTGCGTAATAAAAAAAAAAAGAAAATTGTGTGCAGTACTTTATAAAATTATATTTTCACGTTAGTGCACTTGCATTAAATATCATGATTGGGAAGTTTAGAAGAATATATGAAGAGGGGACGGGATACGGTGACAACCCCTTTGGGGGTTGTCAGATTCACAACCAAGGGTATTTTGGGTATGAAAAAAAGGAATATATTAATTACCTTTTTTGTATTAATTATATTGGGAATTAAAAACCCATATTAAATACAATTTTTTTTTCTGAAATTTAAATCCTATACATTAATATCTCTATCTATCTCTCTCTCTTCCTTTCTCCAGCAGCCACTCCGCATCGACCGACAAACTTTTTCTCCGACGAATTCTCTCCGGCAGACTCCCTCCGACAACCTGAAAAAATGTACCAATGCGTTAAAAAGTGTACCAATCTATTAGTCTACTGGTAATTAATATACTAGTGCTAGTGGTACGGTACCAGTATGTTAAAAAATGTACCAGTACTAGTGGTACCAGTAAAAAATGTACCAGTACTAGTGGTACGCTACCAGTACAACGCTACCAGTAGAGAATAACACAACGCTACTAGCACTGGTAGCGCTACCACTAGCATTGGTAGCGGTACCAGTAGCAAATAACACAAAAAAAAAAAAACAGATGATAGTGGTGCCAGATGATAGGGGAGCCACTGGTATTGGTACCAGTGAGTAGTGGTAGCGTACCAATAGCGCTACCAGTGGTATTGGTACCAATAGTGCTACCAGTGGTATTGGTACCGGTAGAGACTATCAGATCTGGAAAAAAAGGGATGAGTCTTGACCTCGCGGTGGCGGCGACATAAAAATGGTGGCGGCAGGGGAGGACAGCGGCGCGGCGCGGGGGGGGGGGGGGGGGGGGGGGGGGGGCTGCTTCTCCTTGATTGTCTTCGTGGTGGTGCTTATGGGAAGCTGCTGCAGCTGCTGTGATGGGGATGAGATCTCATCCATGGCGGCGGAGAGAGGGGGAGGAGAGATGGTGGGTGGAGAGAGGCGGCAGCGGTGGTGGAGGCTGGCGGCAGTGCTGTCTGGAGAGAGGGAGGAGGGAAAGAGAGAGGTGAGGGGGAGAGGAAGGAGTTAGGGTTTTTATTTATATGGGAGGGAGAATGATTGGGTGTGTTAACATTTTTCTTTTCCAAAAATACCCTTCTTTTAATCCTAACCATCAACTTAAAAAAAGAAGAAAGAGACAGGAGAGAGAATGTATCCAACGGTTAGTGAGTGGGTTGTGAATCTGACAACCCCCAAGGGGGTTGTCACCATATCTCATCCCTATGAAGAGTTGCACTTGCATACCTAGAATGCATAATTTTGATGCATTTACGAGATTGGTCTTGTTTTTTTACAAAAATCATAAATCAAAACGTTTAAATGCTTGCCCCAAATGCGACATTGACCAAACAAAAGAAATATGAGAGAGATCACAAATGCATGTAAAAAGCCCATGAATAGGCAGAGTTTGGAAAGATCTGAAACACACCATTCTGATCCAGAAAGGGTCACAAGCCCAGTCCAACTAACTGACAGCAATTCCGATCGCCAGGCGAGCCCATCCAGGCCCAAGACACAGAAGAAGAAGAAGAAGAAGAAGAAGAAGAAGAAGAAGAAGAATGAAGCCAAACAGCCCACATTCACTTTCGATTGAAAAGGGGCAAAAGAGCACCAGAAGTACACACAACAGTGACAAAGCTTGCATCTTTGATACACAAACAGCTACAACACAACAGGGTTAGGTGGCAAAATGCGGCCAAAGGGAACTCAAAGAAGCAAAAGCACATTCTTAGCTACTTTCTCCTATACTATACTTTGCTTAATAGAGCAGCCATTACATATAGATAAAGATGTTGTACAACAGACAGTCCACCATCCCCGACGGCTCGACTACAGCAATTCGCCATAACAACAGTCTTCTAATTCACAGGAAAAAATCCACCAAACAACCAACTGGATCATATCATCCATCAGAGTAGCATTTGGGAGGACGGCATTACAGCGCTGTTCACACATTCTGTGCTTTACCTGGAAACTCTTTTGCTTTGGCTCCTTGATCCTGCAAGTAATGCACAATGCAGAACATTTCTTTATTGTGATTTGAAGCAGCCAATAGCTCAAAGATTTAATCTTTCTGCCTTTCCAACCCCACTTTGAGCTCACGGGTTAAGCAGAACAATAACAGGAAACATGGCTTTTTCCCAGCATTTTGGGTCTCTACTACTTACTTTCCACCACATTCTAGAGTCATTTGATCTGTAGGAAAGAAAACAATGCCAAAGGAAAATGGAAGCAACTACGACTGGAAAAAAGAGCACCAATGTTGGGCGAGTTATAAGTGTGGAAAGGAGTATGGTTTTCACTGTTGCTTATTTGGTCAGAGTAGATGAGCTAGAGCTGCTGTTGTGTGTTAAGGACGAAGGAAGGAATATTAGTAAAGCAAATGAATAAAGTTTCACAAGTGAGAGTGAGAAAGAAGGTAAAGGGAATCTGATGCGAACACAAAGGAAATGGACAATTAAAATGACATCAGGTTTGGATGAAGGATGCTAGTGCCTAGTGGCTTGGTGGCCAACCATTCTCATCACACATTTGGAGATCGACTCTGACCACAGAGAATTTAGTACACAACTCAACCCGATTTATCAAATTTACGAATTTCCAGATCAAATGCTCTTATGATCCGGATTCTAGTCCTCATTCTCATTCGATTTTGGACCAGATCAAAGTATATGACCCCTACTTTGAGATGGTTTCGTTCCAATTTTAGCGGATTGTCCCCGACGGGACCTACTTTGAGATGGTTGGTTCATTGCTTCTAAGCTACTTCTCATTCAGCTTCACTCTTCCCACCCCCAACAACAACAATCCACAATTAGCAAATTAAGACAAAGATAGGACAATCTAAGCAAATCGTATGGTTCATTTCACTGAATTCCCCACCAAAGGCATACGCTAGACACAGAGAGAAAAGAGCCAATGAAGCTTACCAATCCCTTGGTCTCAAAATAATCATCCAGAGCCCACTGGTACTTGGACTGATTCAGTCCAAACCACCGCGCCAAATGTTCATCCAAGCTCGAATTCACTGCATCAGAACAGCAATCGATCACCCATTTCAGCTCACACATTTCCAGCCACTTGTAATTAAGAGTTAAGGAAGCGAAATGAACTAAACACGAAATGGAATTCGGAATCCGAGTTTTCTTTACCGTGTTGAACCTTGGAGACGGCGGAGCGGAAGAAGCCGCCAACCGATTCATCGTCGATTTTTTTGGCGAGGGGCTTGGAAGACTGGATCTGGGGAGCGGGAGGGCAGACGACCTTCTTTGGGGAATCGTGGATGTGAGGCGGCGGGGAAAGGGGAGACGGCGGAGTTGAAGGAGTGGGAGGAGGAGTGATGAAGACGGTGTAAGGGCCGATTTTGCCGATGGTCGGCGGCGGAGTGGACGGGTCGGATTTGATTGGCATTGTCGGAAAGAAGAAGAAGAAGAAGAAGAAGAGGAAGGGATGATGCAGAAGGGGAAGCGGAAGAGTAAAGCAGAAGAAGAGAGCTGAGAAAGTAGACTACTTTCAGACTTTAAGCAAAGAGCAAGAGAGTGAAAGTGAACTGAAAGGGCTTAGCCTGAGAGAGAGAGAGGATTGCATTGGTTGGTGGGCTGGAGCGTGGGAACAGAGACTTGCAGTAGAGTAGATTTCCTTTCCCTTTTTTCTCTTTCTTTTGTTTGGAACAATTGCGTTTTCAGCCCTTGTCTTATATCTTTTGAACAGATATACCACTGTATTATGTGTGGGTTATTCATTTTCCATACGTCAATATACCACTATATTATGTGTGTGGGTAATTCATTTTCCATACGTCAGTCTACGAAGTTTAAAAAAATTGTCGTAAATGAGTAACGATTATCGAAATCTTCATGTAATTACAAGGAACATTTCCATTTTTGCTCTCAGACTCTACAACGTTTCTCGTCTTTTTTAACCATTAGTTCTATGGCGCTAGGGTAAATTGCAAGGTTAGTCACTGAAAGTATTAAAAAATTCATGTTTGTTCACTAAAAGTATTTTATTCCATTCATGGTCATTGAAAGTGGTAAACATTTCATGTTTGGTTACTCTCCGTCAACCTCCGTTAACACCGTTAGTATTTTGCTGACGTGGTTAATAGAAATGTCGATTCACTCTTTTTTAACTCACCACATCAGACCCTCTGCATAAATCAACCTAATCCAACCCCTAACCCAAGCCGACTCGACCCGACCCCAGCCAACACTACCGCCCGCCTGCCATTCCGCCTTCCACCATCGTAGCCTTGAGTCTTGACGCCTTTCTCCTCCACTTTGCTTGCAAACACCGGCGCCGCCTAGAGTGGTCACTCAATCTTCCATGCGATCGACTAGCATCTCTCAATCATTAGAAAGAACCAACCCCATTTCCCAAATCTAACATTCAACACAAACAAAACCCAGAAATGGACGAATATGAACCAAAAAATGGGGTAATGGGATTCAGATGTTACCATCAGAAAGCTAGAGAGAAATCTCTGAATTTGGATCTCTGGTATTCTATTTTCAGAGCCGGGTGCTTGAGAACTCACCATTTTCGAACCCCAATGAACCATCCTCAGTGGAATTTCGCTTCTGCCCCAATGAGCTCCTTCTCTCCTTCGGTTCCTCGACCTTCTCCTCCACCTCCTGCTCAAGAACTGTAGTGCGCGATTCAGCCACTGGCTTCTCCACCATAATGACCTTAAACCCCATGTCTTTCATGACAGTGTTGTCGTACTTGACAACGATTATTTTTCCCCGAATTGGTTGATGGAGGGGAAGGGATTTGGATAATATCTTGACCTTGACCCGCGCAAGGGATTTGGACTGAGATGCTTCGCCGAAGGGGGAGGGAACTGCTCGGGAGATTGTTTTGTGTGATGGAGATACGTGGATTGGAGGATTGAGGGTGTTAGGGATTTGTCGACACAAGGAGGAGGATTGAAGGTTCAATTTTTTTGGGTTTCGTGGGTCGAGACGGAAGGGCCAAGTTATGGGTTGAGTTGGGTTGTCTGATGTGGCGGATTATGCTGATGTGGCGGGTCGAGTTTTATGAGGTGACGAGTTAAAAATGAGTGAATCAGCATTTCTGTTAGCCACGTCATTAAAATACTAACGGTGTTAACGGAGGTTGACGGAGAGTGACCAAAAGTGAAACGTTTAACCACTTTCAATGACCACAAATAGAATAAAATACTTTTAGTGACCAAACGTGAATTTTTTAGCACTTTCAGTGAATAGTGACCAACTTGCAATTTACCCTATGGCGCTATGATGGACTTAGATTGAACTAGATTGAGGAGAAAACTAACGTACTTGATATGTTAATCATAAATGATCACCTGATAAAGAAGAAAAAAGTTGAACACTCCTTGAATAGCATATTTGGACAACAATTTGAACTAAGGGACGAAAAGCAAACTTTGTTGCAAACGACATCAATGTATCCTCACATCGAGTAGCTATAATGGATGATTAAGATTGATCTTCTTCACATCATTCAGTCGAATATACATCCTTCCTATGGCAAATAACATTGACTTGTAAATTATGAGTAAAAAATGAGATCAGCAACCATCATAAGCAAACCATCCGGGTAACATATTATTTACAAAAACCATTCATAATCTATTCTCTGCAAAGATAAGTAACAACAAGAGGTGCAATATCTGATCCAAGAGAATCCAAACTGCAACCTGATACCAATAACATTCGACACCAGAGGTAGCAAAATTAGAGCCTCCAAGTTATTTCTTCGTATAAAGGCATTCACTTTTGCAGTTTTTCTTTGTACCCTTTTGTTTTCTTTTGGTTCAGATGATCAGATCAGAGACCACATCAAAGAACTACTAACTAAAAGTTTACAAAGAAAAAAGAGAACCCAAGAGGCAGAGGTTACATAAACAAAGAAGAAGCAGAAGAATAGGAACAAAAGCAAAAACAGAAACAGAAAAAGAAAAAAAAAGCAAAAAGAAGAGACTTCCTCCATTTCTTCTTCCTACACAAATATTGATACATCTATCACTCCCTACCCCCAACCCCCTCCCCTCTAAACTCCCTAAACCCAGACCTGGAATTCACTTAAATACCGCACAAGCTCTTTCATACAACAGAATGCACGAGGCATTCATTTCCAGACAAACCCTTAGTTTTCCATACACAAAAATCCTTTTGACTACACAGCCACTATCCATCTTTTCCTCTGTCAATCACGAGAGACATCACTGAACTCAGATACCAAAGTCCTCAACTTGGAACCCTATTCTGCAACCCTGAGTATTCAACACGCTATGACCAATACATATTCTTCCTCGATCGATTATTCCTGCATGTACATACCTTGTTCCTGCAGTCTGCATTAAATCACTGAACTTGCTAATGACAGCTCATGCAGCTCACTCAGCATCCATTCCTCCCCGGTCTGACCACCGAGCACAATAGCCCTCGTTCCTCCAACCACACACGTACTATGCCCCCATGCAAACCTTGGTGGCCTTCCTGGCACATTCAGAATCCTCCATGTTGGTTTCTCCTCCGTTGGATCTAGCAGATAAAGCTGGGAAGCTGAATGAAGGCCCGCCACGGAGCCTCCAAAGATAAGGATCCTCCCACCGGGAAGACTGACTGCTACGTGGTCAAGTCTAGGAGGAGGTGCCACCCCTCCCGGGTTCCCTGCGCCAGGCATCCCACTACCTGTCACGCATCTCCAACACGGCTCATCCTCGCTCAAATCCATTGTGAACACATCGCTGGAACGAAACCTGAGGGGCCCACTCTTTGCCAGACCGCCGAACATCAATATCTTCCTTCCTCCGTAGACTGATAGTGTGTGGCCCAATCGAGAAGGTGGGGTCCACGCAGCTGGTATCTCTCTCCAAATCGGCTTCTCCATCGCGAGGTCTAGAAGAAATGTGTCGCTGAGGAGAACTCCTGAGTCAGCGCACCCGCCAGAGACGATCAGCTTTGTGCCATCAAGGGTGCACGAACTGTGCCATGATCGTGGCAGCGGTGGAGCTAGCCCTGAGATCTCCCGCCAAGTTGGTGGCTTGGCGTCCAAATCCAACACAAAGACATCGTTGAGCAAGCCCTGCCCTCCGCAGCCTCCGAAGACTACTAAATTAGATCCGTCGACGCAAGATATCGTGTGGCCCCACCGCCCAGGAGGAGGGGAGCTAACATGGACGTGTTCCCACTCTGGGTTGCTGGCATTGAGATCTAACACGAATGTGTCATTCATAGGCTGCATGTTGACACCTTCCCCACCGAAAAGGACCACCCGGTTCCCCACTGCGCATGCACTGAAATTGCAGCGTGAAGGCTCGACAGAACCACCAACTGTAACCTTTCTCCATGCGGCTGCTTCAAGGGTGGTTAGTTCCCGGGCAAGCCGACCCCACCCGAGTCGTTTAGCACCTGGCACAGCTTCCAGAATTCGAGTTGTCTCGCTACCCCATGCATTCTGACAGACCATTCTCCAGAGATCCTCGTTCTTGGTCAGCTCGTAGAATCGTCGAGAGACTGAACCAACCGACGCAATATCTCTTGGGGTTAACCGGGAGAGAATCTTCAAAGATATGACCTCGTCGCTCAGCTGCAGCATGCCATAGAGACCACTAAGGCAAACTGATCGATCAGTGGGGCGGTACGTGGAGAGACGAGAACCAAGGCGGTCATTTAGTTTGGCCGAGTCCCTGATCGAACCGGGTACTGGACCGAGGTCGATGTTTGCTGCTTCGGTGAAGAACTGAATCGCGATAACGTGAGTGATTATGTCATCCTCACCATATATGGGAGTGAGGCGCAACCTGTTCATTAAGGGGGACCCATCTTTTCTGAAGTTCAACAGCTCGCCTTGGAATTCGATGCATTTGTCAAGGCACCGCCTTATTTCTGAGATCACAGTCGAGTCAACTAATGGGTGCCTCCTTTTGGCGAATGGTCCTCTGCATTGCAAGAAGCGGCTACGTAGAGAAAAATAAGCATATATCAGAATAGTAAGATAGTCAAAAATTGCCAAGAAGCATAACCACGAATGTAAGATGAAAAGAGGTCTCAATCATGTGCTAACATTCTGCTGCCACATAGAACAGAAAGCTAGCACAGATCCTAATGTTTGAAGCACTTTTAAGAATAACCTCGATACACCTACTCTCATATAAAAATGAAGGTTACATATACTATAACTATATATATCCTAGGTACACCATATTTATTTTCTTAATTACACTTAATCCACAATAGAAGCACCATATATACATCTGTTGTTGAATCCGAGTCTCCATTTAGGAGGTTCACCTTTCAGCTGATTAAGTCCCTTGGGATATCTATACTAGGAATGCAATTAATAACAGCTCTAGAGCCATTGTAGTTAGTATGCAGGGAATTCCCTGTCAACTTGGTTCTCCAGCATTTTCCTCTACTAATTCAGGTAGATCTCCGAGATAAGTGAAACAATAACAAAAACAAACACAAACGCACCAAAGCATATGATACAATAAAATTTAATTCTTTTAGCCACAAAGCACCAGAATTGGAAGTATGCCAGACCAGACACAATTACTGAAGAAATGCACCGATACCAAGGCAGAATCACAGGTCTATTGAGCATGCATAGGCCTCCAAATGAATCCGATAGGTCCAAAACATACCAAGTCTTACCATGCACCTTCTAGGATCAAGTGAAGTGTTGTTAGCAGTAACCAGTAAAAGGTAGGAAGAATTTGAATTTAGATTCAGGAGAGCTTTGGTAAGACTTCGGTAGTTTATGTTAGGGGAGGAGAGCTTAAGAATAGAAGAAAAGAAACTAGCTTTCAGGAGGAAGGGGCGTCATTGTTCCTATGTCCATTTCCATGATCATTCCTCTCCATTTATACTTCTACCACCAAAAATGACTTCCCTTTGGAAAGGGTCTCCAAGACGCAGAAGTAACTGCAGCGGGGATTGACCAGCCTATGGATCTAAATGAGCCAGGTCTACCTCTATGCAACGCTTTTTTAAACCATGAATGAGAAATCGTGATTTCCTTCACCTTCATCAGCCTGTTCGTTTCTTCCAGAGATACGCGTTACAGCTTTGGGTACCCTAACCCAACCATAAAATCAGTCCTCGCTCCTGACCCTAAACATGGCATTAGCTACTCGGAGAGACACAGAAAGCTAATATTTCTGAAATTCCAACATGGTAAACTAACATAATATAGAATTATGCAAGTTCATCAGGTTTATCCAAAGGGTCCAAACATATCATCATCATCGAGCACTGAGCATCACTTCATAAATCCAGCAAATATTGCCATGGAATGAGCAAGCAAGACTTCCTTCCTATTCATCCGCAAGTTTAGTTTGCTCTAACCATCCTTCTTTGGCGCTTTAGGTGCCTAACCTCATCATAAAATCAGACCTAACTCCTAATCCTTAACATGACAAAATAGGCATGGAATAGGAAACCATGATTTCCTTCATCTTCATCCGCAAGTTGGTTTCGCTCTAAGCTTTCATTCTTATTGGTTTAGTACCCTAACCCCATCATGATATCCCTCAACATGGCATTAGCTAGCAGCTAATACACAAACTGCCAATATTTTCAGAAATTGCAACATGGAGATATTCAATGAAGTAAACTAATACAGCGCAGACTGATTCATGCTCATCAATTTCCTCCCTAGGGTTCCACACATATCTCCAACACCGAGCAGCCCCTCATATCCAACAGTAAAATCGCCATGGAATGGCTACTCTAATCATTTCCAAATCACCCCAAAATCCGAAGCCCTCCACTATCAATACTACACCGAAATCCAAAGTGTAAATTGTACAACACCCGAAAACAATATCGCAACCCATACTACGAACAGGCCGAAACCGAGGAACTAAACCAAAAAATACAGCTCTGAATTAGCAAAAACAAAGGGGGAGAAAAGGCGTACCAGTTGCGGCCGAGCACTTCCTCGGCTCTATACCCAGTAACCATCTCGAATACGGTATTGACGTAGATGATAGGATGGTCAGGCTCGAGAGCATCCGTGACCACGAACCCACAAGGCGCGGTTTGAAGCAAGCTCTCCACGGGGAAAGGGATTGGACCAACGCCATCGTGGAGGTTGAAGCTGCCTTCTTCCTCCTCGTCGCCGCTCAGATCCGAATTGCTGCTGTCCCACTCCATCAATATCTTCGATACCCAGTTACCTCCGTCCGCTATCTACCCCATGTGCGGGGAGTAACAAGCAAAGTAAATGCAACACCAGAGGAAGGAATCAAAACGAAGCAAAAGGGGGGAGGTGGGGTTGATTGGTCTATTACAGAATTTGGAATCAGCTGAAATGGAAATGGAAGGGACAAGAGAGTTTTGGGGAAGAAGAAGCAGGAGAAGATAGTCGAGAGAGGAAACGGGTGGTGGTGGTGGGCAATTGGTTTGATTCTCGGGAGAATTCTTTTCTTATTGGTGGGCTGGTTCGGTTTGTTGTTTAGGGTCTGCCTTTCCCTTTGGGCTAATCGGTTTTGCGGCTTTTCTTTTCCGTATGCTGTTGTGGTTTTGGATTTCCTTTTAAACACCACGCATTTACATGTGCGGCGCGAGTCACCGGTCACCCCACCGCCCTTTTCTCAGTGTTTTGGTAGGGCAATTTTGTCTGAATTGGCTGAGTTTTAGTCTAAATTCCATTACAGTGAAGACTTCTTTCGATTCCAAAAAAAAAAAAAAAACTACTAGAGCACGACTTGTGAAACGAGCTCGTAGGAAAGCGAGCAATACAAGAGTCGTGCTGCAAGACAAAACAATGGAGTAGAAGGAAGCATAATAGCGAGAAGAGTGTTAATGCTATTGCTTATCAGGAAAAGCATCCTCTAGTATTGGGAATGTATAGATAGCTCATATAAACAGACTTTCACATGTTTGAAGTCAGTACAAACATACAACATCCGAGAAAACATGCTATTGGTATCGTCACCAGCAAGTAAACAGGCGAAGTCCCATGACCTACCAAGGCTACAGCATGTCCCTAACGTGAGCAGCAAGTCTCTGTTCAGACTGATCATCAAACCCTTTATCCACGTTCTTAATCTGGGACACGAATTCCATCGCCTCTTTATACTTCCTCGCTTTACAGAACCCATCCACAGCAATCTTATACGTCAGCTGGTTCGGCCTGCAACCATGCTCAATCATATACCTGACAACGTCTTTAATCTCCTCGAACATCCCTTTCCCTGCATACCCTGTCACAAACGTGTTGTAAGTGAAAATGCATGGCCGGATCCCTCTCGAGTTCATCTCGGAGAAAACTCGAATGGCTTCTTCCATGAGCCCCTTTCGACAGAACCCTTTGATCACCGTGTTGTAGGAGACGAGGTCTGGTTTCCCTAGCCCCTTGAGGATGTCCTCGGCCTTCCAGCAGTCTCCTGATCGAGCGTACATGTCCATCAGGCTGTTGTAGGTCACGAGGTCTGGGTTTAACCCCGCTGAGCGGATGTTCTTGAGCATCTCGTGGGCCCGGTCGGTCATATTGTTCTTGGCAAACATCGAGAGCATGGAGTTGAAGAGAACCAGGTCGGTTTTGTAACCGTGTTTCTGCAAGGCTGCGAATGCACGTTCCATACCGGGTAGCCATCTGCACCTGTGGAATGCGAGAACGAGGGTTCTCAGAAGCATCCAGCTCGGGAAGATTTCGCCTCCATAGATGTCCTTCTCGATCCTCTCTATACCTTCAATGTTCCCTCCCTTTGCATAGGCATTGAGGATCAAGGAGTAAGATGTTTCACTAGGCTTGAATCCTTTGCTCCTCATGTCTTGGAGGATCGATTCTGCTCCCTTCCAATCCCCTTTACGAGCTAAAGCATTCAGGAGAGCATTGTAAGTAGACAGGCTCGGAGCAAAACCCGCTTTGATCATCTGCTCGTGCATCTTCGAAGCGATTATATCCGAACCACACCTACCATACGCACTGATCAGAGTGTTGAAGGTATCTCTATCAGGCTCGAACCCAGAAGCCTTCATCTCCTGGAAAACCCGATTCACGTAGCTTTGCATGCCTTCATCCCCACACATTGCAAGCATTGTATTCCATGTCACACGATTAGGAGCACACCGATTTGATTTCATATCATGAAGCAATGTCAGCATATCTTCAGACCTCGTTTTCTTCTTGCCCAGCATCCCAAGGAGAGCGTTGTAGGTACAGACATTAGGGACACAACCTAACTCCTTCATCCTTGCAAACAACTCCAATGCTTTGTCTACGTCTCCTGTTTTCCCATAAGCATTGAGGACGGTGGTGTAAGTAACAGCATTCGGCATTACTCCTTTTACAATCATCGTATCGATTACACCAGCGCCTTCCTCAAAGAAACCTGCTCTTACATAAGCAGCCACAAGCTCATTGTATGTCACGGAGTCGGGTGGACAGTTGTTCTCCTCCATCTCTTTCAGTACACTCAGAGCTTCCAAGTAAATGCCTGCCTTTGCAAACACTTGGAGAAGTGCATTGTAAGTAACAGTCCCTGGTTTATATCCCTGAGATTTGAGCCCAGCGAAGAAATCCTTTGCTTCCACGAACAGCCCTTCTCTCCCACAGGCGGATATCACTGTACTGCAAGTGAACTCATCAAATTCCATCCCTTTACTTCTCATCTCATCTAAGAGTCCTAGAATCTGATCCCAAGAGCGACCCATTTTGCCATAAACATCGAGCATCACGTTGTAAGTCACCAATGTAGGCGACAACCCAGTCCCCTTCATCCTTTGAAACATCTCAATCGCTTTGTCATACCTCGCAGCACGCGAGTACGCGTGGAGTATTGTGGTACACGCCCGGACATCGAGCTCGTACTCCTTCAGGGGAATTTTATCGAACAGTTGGGATGCAATAGAGTGCTGCGACTCTCTGCCCAAAATTCTCACCATTAGCTCCACAATCTGCCCATCTACCTTCTCATTCTCCCCTTCCCGATTCGAAACCGCCCATTCGAACAGCAAAAGCGCCCTCTCCCAGCTCCCGCAACGATCCAACCCTCTCAACAAGCTAATCAAATCGACCCGACCCAATTCAACTTCGCGAGACGCGAAGAATTCAGTCAACCGTTCCAGAGGCTGGCTCATAATTGAGTCAAGCACGGCCTTACCCTCTTTCGACAAGAAATCGAGCGACCCGTTACCCAACGACGACGACCAGCTGCTCTCGTCGTCATCCGATTGGCAACGAAGCTGCTGCTGCTGCTGCTTCTCGGCGGCGACGGGGAGAACGCGGGAATGGGAGCTCTTGAGCTTGGCATTGGGGGAAGAGGAAGATAGGTGGAGGAGCTGCTGGAGGAGGGAGTCGAAGTGGAGGGTAAGGGGGAAGGAACGGTTGGAGGAAGACGACGGCGGAGGCGGCGGCGGGAGAGTGGGTGAGGTGAATTTCAGAGGTGGGTTCGGCGGCTGCGGCGATGGGCGGGTGACTGGGAGTGGGTAGATGGGTTTGTTGGGGAAGAGAGCTCCTTCCATCTCATGGAATGGAGATTTGGATTGGAGAGTTGGGTTTTTCGGGGTTTTGGATTCTGGTGGCGGAAAGGCGAAAAAGATAGGAAATTGGAGGGAAGGGAAGGAAGGAGAAAGGGGTAAGGTATTGTGGCGCGGGAGGATATGATTGGCCTCAATTTCGTCCTAGTGGAAAAGCCACTAGTGAGTAGTGAATAAGGATCCTAATTCCTAAATTCATAATTCCAACCAAATGGCCAGATAGTCCTCTGATTTTTCTTTTGTCTCAATTAAGGACAGATTGTAATTCTTCCACTAATATTGCTTAATGAAGGATCAAGATGGATTATAGGAAAAATAGCCATGTCCAACACGCAACAGAAGCCAGAGGTCTCTGATATTTTTGCATGAAGTGGTTGTTCTTCTTTCTATTATTGACGAAAATAAGCCATTTAGTTCACAAATTTGCTAAAAAACAAGGGAAACTGGCTCGACTCAGTCTCAGTCTGTGAGTGTGAGCCGCAGGGCCCCAGGATCAATAATGCGCCACGGCCAGTAAGTGAGTGAAATGCTCGAGTTTTCTCCTTCTGCTCTCTGCTTGCCAAACCTCACTAGTTTCCAAACCCAAAGAAGAAAACTTGTCCCACTGTCCCTTTCTCTCTTATTTTGGGTTTAATCGTTAGTTGCCCACTCTTTCTCTTCCCAGCTCGTTGCGGTTTACATTATTTCCCCCATGCGTGTTCTTCTTTCTCACTTCACTGATTGAATCAGAAGAGGCAAAAGTTGAAGTAACAGTCTCCTATGGAGTCTCTCCTCCTCTTTCCATCGTTCTTCCAACCGTCATCGTTTCAGCCATCTGGTATTACCCTTCTCTTCTTCTTTGCTTCCATCGAAGGACCCTCCTGCGATGTTTCCCTTCTTTAATTTTGTTCATCATTTCTGCTTCTTCTATCTTCCTGTAGTGAAAATAGGCTTGCTCTAAGTGTTTCGATTTATGGGGTGTGTGTTAATTGGAGAAAAGCTTCGTTTTTAGCCGTTGTTTTGATCTGTTCATATTGTTTTGCTTGATGTGACTGACCATGCAAATGGAATTTTACTGCAGATGCAAGGAGTTGGAGGAACGACTCTCGTAAACCAGGCTCTTCTAGAGGTACGATCTCTCTGCTTTAGCTGATGCATTTGCTTCATCTAGCTTGAATTGGGAAGTTTTGTCGAACTCGAGTTATTCAAGTCATGGTGTGAATTGGGTACTTAGATCCTGGCCAGAAGGTGAAAAGGATTCTTCTGCATGTTTTGGGTGAATTGGATCCTTGTGCATGTTTTTAATTTGAAGGACTCGTAGCTATTGATTGCTATTAACTTTCTAGAGTCCAAAGGCTGTTACTTTAAGCCAGTTCCATGTACAACAAACTGATGCTTCTCTAGTTCTGCCCGAGATACTTAAAATTTGAACTCAGCATTACCTTGTTACATTAGCTCATATGCTGTCTTCATCACTCAAATGCTCTTTCAATGGGGTTTCTTTCTGAAGGTTCCACCTCCACATCATGGGCCAAACTAGAAGGTTGTAGTTTTAAGAGCTTTCAGCGAGGTCACAGCAGGCATCAAGTGAAATCTATCAAAGAACGATCGTTCAGTCAACATAGAAGCCATATAAAGTTATTATCTACTATCAATGCCACCTCTGGCTCACAGCCACTCGAATCGGATCCAGAAGCTTATGGTGCTCCCAACAGTGCTTCCGACCTAGTTAAGAATGCATTCGATGCATTCTACAGATTCTCACGACCTCACACAGTTGTTGGGACGGTTAAGCTCCTTTACCTTTCTGTGTATATAGGTTTTGTGTCTTATGTTGATTTCTCTATATCGCTAGAAGTGATTGACCACCCCTAGTTTTTTCTTCAACAGGCATTGAGCATTGTATCGGTTTCTTTACTCTCGATTGACAAGCTTGCTGATATTTCTCCACTATTTTTCACTGGGATGCTGGAGGTGATATATGGATTAATTTCTTTGTGAAGTTAAAAAAACAAAAGCAGTTTAAGCTTGTAACCTGACCATTGTTGTTTGTTTCCCTTTTAGGCAGTGGCTGCTGCTCTCATGATGAACATTTATATCGTTGGCCTAAATCAGTTGACTGACATTGACATAGACAAGGTGACAGTTGCAGAACTAATGAATAGATAATGAAGTTAGGAATTTTGGGGAGATTCTGACTATGTTTATCTCTATTATACTTGTCCCATTACAGGTCAACAAGCCATACCTTCCATTGGCATCCGGGGAGTATTCTGTGGGCACCGGTGTATTGATCGTTACATCATTCTCCATCATGGTATTAGTCACAACACCTCTTTCATCGTTAGAGATTCTCATAATGTAAGCTGCAACGTTGGCGTGAAGTGTTAACAAATTTTGCTTTGCTAGAGTTTTTGGCTTGGATGGGTTGTTAAGTCATGGCCATTGTTTTGGGCCCTTTCCATCAGTTTTGTCCTTGGCACAGCCTATTCAATCAATGTAAGTAGCATTGCTCTTCGTTTTCCATCTACACCAAGATGATATATCGACTTCACATGCACACTGCAGCCTCATTTGCTCATAATGCTTTAAATTGTTTTTCTTTCAGCTGCCATTACTGAGATGGAAGAGGTTTGCATTTGTTGCAGCATTGTGCATACTGGCTGTTCGTGCGGTGATTGTTCAAATATGCTTTTATCTGCATATGCAGGTGGAGTTTCCTTAGATACGTACTACAATTCCTACTGGAAATACTTGGAAATTCATGATAGGCCCTGACTTGCTGTAACTCTTACCATTTCAGATGCATGTGTTTGGAAGAAGTGCCATATTTTCAAGGCCATTAATTTTCGCAACTGCATTCATGAGCTTCTTCTCTGTCGTTATAGCATTGTTCAAGGTATAAATCATCCGCTTTTCTTTTCATTCTATTCAACCTGTGATGGAGGGTAAATGTTTAGAACTCCTGGCTTGGGTCTTTGCAGGATATACCAGATATGGAGGGAGATAAGATATTTGGCATCAAATCTTTCACTGTCCAATTGGGCCAAAAACGGGTTGGTGTATTAAATCATGCACGGGAAATCTTGAATCCCTTGCTTTGTGGCTGATGAATGTGTCTTAATCAGGTGTTCTGGACATGCATCGCCCTCCTTGAAATTGCTTATGGCATCGCAATGTTAGTTGGAGCAGCGTCGCCCTTCATGTGGAGCAAAGGCATTACGGTAAAATATGTGAAGCTTTGACTTCACATGGCGTTAAGATTTAGGGTGGACTGATCTCTCCTGCTATTGATCCATAGTAATACAAAATCTCATCTGCATTGCTTTTAGGTGATAGGCCATAGCATCTTAGCCCTATTGCTCTGGAACCGGGCAAAATCTGTCGATCTGACCAGCAAAGCTGCTATAGCTTCCTGCTACATGTTTGTATGGAAGGTTAGACCAATCTCTTTACCTTTTTTCTCCATTAATTCGTGCCTTCTCTTCACTTGATTCTGATACTAAACTATTTCATGTTCGATTTCAATTCCTGTTTGCAGCTGTTTTATGCCGAATATTTGCTTATACCGCTCGTGAGATAATAGTAAACATGGCAAGACGAAATGAACAGTGATCAGGGCGAATGATTGGAACAAGAAGCTGGGATCAAGGAATTTGGCTGCTCTGAAGCTTCTTCTGTGTAGAGCAATTGAGAAGAAGCACTTGTATAACTAACTATCTGGATCGAATAATCGCCATTCCCACGATGATGAGGCTACAATAGGATTTAGAATGATTACTGGGTAACTTGGGCATGTAGATCACCTGTGATTCAAACTTTAAACATACTGGTTTAGCAGTAAAGTTATACATTGAATGTTAGTTCACTGCTATTGCATCTCTTTCTTCTTAACTTACTCTCGCAAGGGTAAAGTGTCTGACTTTATATCAAGTCTAGATGAACTCCAGCTGATTACCCATTATGATTCTTCAGATCATGAAATATTGTTGGAAGAGCAGAAGATACCAGGGAGCCTATGTTTCCAGAAAACACAAAGCCCAGCGATGGCAGAAATAGAGGGATTAGTTATTCTCCGGCGAGTAGTTAATTACTTACCCACTATTCAAAGAACCTGTCTTTGTCTCGGGGAAGGAAGGAAGAACAAGCTTCGATTGATGCTCGGAAGCGAAATCCCCGAGACTGGTCACTCAATTCCTCCGCCGCCCGGCCGCCACCGCCAGAACCGCGTCGGCTGCGGCCACCCAAAACCGCCGTGACAGAGGGAAAATTGTAGAAATGTCAGGAAGGTGAAGATTCTTCCGATCAAAGAAGGGAAACCGCCCCGGTGGGTCAATGAAGATTCAAATCAACGAATTAGTGTTGCTGGGGAAGGAAGGAGAAGGATTTTCCTCTCGATTACTGACCTCCCTGTTTGTAATGAGGGGAACGATCAGATAACCGGAGAATTTATGGCTGGCGAAGGAAGGACCGACCAGGAACTTGGGCGACGGTCTGAGAGGTGGAAGAAAATCCCTTACCCGGCGGCCAACATCACCAACAGCCGACGCCGCTTGCACCAGGAGGAAGAGGAGCATGCCAGAGAGTAATCGGCGGGAGACCGAGCCTCCGATCGGAGGAATCGAGCGCGAAAAATGGGAAATACGGGAGGCCGAAACGTCGAAACGCGAAACGTTTCGGGTTCTCAAAACCAAAATCGAAACGCGATAAATTGACGAGAACTTGAAATTGACGAGATAACGCGAGATAACAAAGTATCGCGATATTTTCACGATTTATTGACCTTTTGCGATATATTGACTTTGTGCTGACCGGTGAACGGAGCCCGCCAAAACCAGCCGGGAAATGACCGGGAAAAACAGGGGAAACTGGCAGAGCTCACTCCTGCTGACTGGGCGAAGGCAAATTAAGAAGAAATGCTAAGGGAAGAAACGTGTAGGGTTGATTAGTTTAGTTTCCGGTGACTATTCCGGCATGGCATCTATGTATCAACGACGGACCTTCACCAGGCTCTGTTTTTTTTTTTCTTCTTTTCTTTCCCAGCGATGCCGGACGATGGACGGCGACGGAGTGGCAATGAATTGGTTTACATGCGGCAGGTTTAGGGTATATATTCATCATCCGATCATAAATATACTGTTGGTCTGTTGGCGAAGCAGGAAGGACGAATTTCCCCTTTTTCTCTCTGTTCTTTGACACTCTGTTTTCACACCTCCGGTCAAAATTTTCTATAGTATAGGCGGCAACGGTGATCATCCGGCAGGAATCAATTAATCATTTTTTGTCCTAAACTTTAGAGCAGGTAGTGTACATAGTACATACCCTTTTGTTTTGTAATCGTAAAGGCGGCAATGGTGATCATATAGATGACGATTTCTCCCTTTGGTTCCTTCGGACAAATTGGAGTTTACAACTAGTGAACGTCAGACATTGATATTGAAAATCTCTTATCCAAGAAAGATATTTTATTTTGATCAAGATAAAATTACAAGACAGAGTTTGAGATGGTAGCAATGTATGTTTCTGATATTACAAGGTTGATCAAAACTTCCAAAATTTTTAACAAGAATTAATGAGAATCTAACCAGCAATGAAATTGCATGGTGTTATCTATGGACCTTTTTTTTTTTTGGGGTGAAAATCTATGGACCAATTTTAGTGGATGGGAAATGGGATAGAGCTCTTTGAACCAAATTGTTTTAATTAATTGGTATGTCATATAGATGATTACTTTGAAGCAAATAATTTAAAGCAACGATATGATGTAGTTTGTCAGATAAAAGATTTATGTATCAAGATAAGTGAGTGAAATAAGTTCTAATTGTGGTCCTAGGTGACTCGTGGTCTTAACGGATGCACATCCTAACGGTAACGGACCAACTTAGCTTTTTACATATAATCAACTCACGGTCTTAACAGATTAAAGGAATTTTTTTCCGATGAAAATGAATTTTCGAACTTTTATTATTAACATGATAAAATACACAATTTTTTGCCATAAATAGGTATGATTTCAAACTGAACTTGGCAAAGCAATGCTAGAGTTAAGAAAAACAAAATAACTTGCATTTGAAGGAAAATCGCACAAAAATTCATTTGTGTAGATTGTTAGTTCTTTTTTTTTTCAACGAATAAGTCAATTTTATTCAGTCGAGACGTAGTCGGAATAATACAATTTCGAGTAACTCACATGTGAAGGATAAATTTACCATAACAATGTATTGGTGTGGAATGGAACTCAAAAGCACACTTAAACAAACAAAAAAATCTTACAAATAATCCATTTGGTCTTGGATAATAAAATCAATTTAACATGGTATGCAACACTGTCCTTTCAACAAACCATTAGTAATTTCCATCACAGGGATGGTTCCAAAACCTACAACCAACAACTTTGGAAAGCATTGATAAAGTTATGGGTACAACACCATTTCAGTCCCAAAGTTAAAATCATTATGAAACCTTAGTACTATAAGGCAAAACCCCATAGAAATTAGCTTGGCAGCTTTCCCCCCTACAATCATTGGACCATACATCCCATGATTCTTATCAATCATCATCACTCAATTACATTGATTAAACAACAAAGAAAGAAGTATTTTACCCATTCAAAATGCCTCCCAAAATCATAGGTTTCCCCATCCAACTGTTGCTTGCTGCAGCTGGACACTTTCTAACACCAATCCAACTTCCCCATCTCCTTCCTCGACAATCCCAATATTCGACGGACTCCTTATAAAACCTTACCATCAACTTCATTCAAGCTTCATCACTAACCCCACTTCACCATCTCTCTCTAAACTGCAAAGAGTCACGCCCTTCATTTCTTCCCTTAATGGCGACAATCTTTTCCGCGACGGGTCCGTCGCTAATACTATTGGTGACGATACTTTCCGTCGTTATAGGCAGCTCTTTCGCTGGTAACTTCAACAACGACGTCGTAGTTGTGTTTGGAGACGCCCGTGCCAGAATCGAAGAAAATGGCAATCTCATGAGCCTTGCTCTGGACAATAGTTCCGGCTCCGGCTTCCAGTCCAAGAACCAATTCATTTACGCCAAAGTGGAGATGAACATTAAACTCGTCGCCGGCAATTCCGCCGGCACCGTCACCTCCTTCTACGTAAGTATATATATATATATATATATATATATATGGACACATGTCACTAATATTCATTCGGAGTAAATGCCTACGGTAATGTTTAGTCACTAGAAAAAAATTAATATTAATTTTGGTCAATCGAATTACTGAAATATGTCATATTTAGTGACTCTCCTGTCAGTTTCCGTCCAACTTTGTTAATGCTGTTGGACGGAGGCTAACGGAGAGCGACTAAATGTGTCATGTTTTAGTAATTCGAGTGACATTCATAATAAAAAAGTAATTCGAGTGACTAAAGTTGGACGAGGGCTAATGGGAGAGTGAATAAATGTCACATGTTTTAGTAATTCGAGTGACCACAATTGATATTAACTTTTTACGGTAACTAAACATAACACGATCTAGTAATCCCAGTAACCAAATGTGACATTTACCCTATTCATTCTATTAAGAAAATGATTATATCTCGAGTATCATTGAAGTAGACTGTGACCATTCATCATTCTCGTTTTTTCGATCGGTGTTATTACTTATTAACAATGTTTTTCAAGATCTTTAATTTCATCATTATTATTTTGTCAATAGTTAAAATCAGAGGGAAATGTGTGGGACGAAATCGACATGGAGTTCCTGGGCAACACGAGTGGCGACCCCTACGTCCTCCACACGAACATCTTCACGAAAGGAACGGGGAACCGAGAGCAACAATTCTACCTGTGGTTCGACCCGACCAACGATTTCCACACCTACTCAATCACGTGGAACCCGGCCCATATCGTCCTGGTAGTGGACAACAAGCCCATCAGGGAGTACCGAAACCTGGACCCCAATAACAACGTCCCTTACCCACGGGACCAGCCCATGAAGCTCTACGGATCCCTCTGGAACGCAGACGATTGGGCCACCCGTGGTGGATCCGTCAAGACCGACTGGTCCAAGGCTCCCTTCACGGCCTCCTTCAAGACCTACACCGCCGACGGCTGCGTTTACGGCAATGGGGCCTCCAGCTGCCCCGACAAGACTGCGCCGTGGTACTCGTCGGAGCGGATCGTCGGAGATGACTTGAAGCAGATGCGGTGGGTTCAGAAGAACTACATGATCTATAATTACTGCGATGACGTTAACAGGTTTCACGGCAGCTTGCCGGCGGAATGTGGCCGGAAGAAGTAGGACAAGTTGAAGGCTAAGGGACATTGTCGTACTAGTGTAGCTCTTTTTTTAACGTTGGGGAACATGTTTGAGTCCGGTTGGGTTTTCGCTTTCTATTTGGGTAGTTCTGCTCCGAGAGATTGAGATGAAAATGTGCGAAAGAATAATTGTCACTCAATACTCTAATAGTGTGATTGGAGATCATAAATCACTTGCAACTCTAGTTTAGGTTGGGTTTGCTCAATCATAGAGTTTCTGTTATTGTCTAATTACTTATTAACGTTATGAAAATGTGATCGAATCATAATATGTTAGCTGAAAACAAGACTGAAGAAGGAATAGGCAGCAAACCACAGCTAATTTTCATAATGCATGTTTGAATAAGATGCCACAAATATTGATCATCTCCTTTCAACAAGCTCAACCCCACAGCCACAAGCAGTTGGCAATGTTGGGGATCTACTAACGAAACAAGCCGACCACTTCTGTTTCTCATCATTTTACTTGGTTAATACTACAGATACAAACGCAACATATACAGTCATTAATATTTGTCTGTCAAAACAAACACTAGTCATCATAGCTAGACCAGTGAAGCCTGCAATCGATTTCAATCCTTCGCTCTGTAAAACAGTCATAAGAGACGACCATGAGGAAGAAGACATTCAGCATTTAGGCACTGGCATCCAGTAGGGGAGAGCTTCAAAGTGGAAGCTCATTTAAGGGCTTTATAGCAGCAACACTACCCAGATCAGGACTCATAAACTTGTCGTATGTGACCTGCAATCGCGCGGTTCTTGCCATCTTTTGAAACCTTAATATCATCTCAGCACATTCCCTATAGAAATTAATTGAGCTAAATTCATTAATCCATCTTCTTGAAGAAACACAAACAAGTCTCATGAACTAAGAAATTACCTGAGCTGGGGAACCCCATAGCGTGCATGTTTGGCAAGTAGAGGAGTCCATGCTGGGTCCATCTTGAGAGTACAACGGGCAACAAAGATGGCTGATGCACTTACCATGGACGGCTTGAACTTTAGAGCTTCATATTCCACTAAACACAACTCGATGAGGTAATGTGCCAGGTTTTGAAGCTGGTAGCAAGCAAGGCAATTTGGATCACTCATTTTGAGCCTCATTTATCAACTAGAGAAATTACTAGGCATAACATGAGACGAGTGTCTGAATATCTGGAGTTGAAACATTTTCTTTTAGGCGAAAAATACCTTAGATTCTGATTGAGCAGCCTTCAGAAATCTCAGCATGAACACATAAGCCGTTGGAACATTGAGACGAAACTTCAGTTTCCGAAGAACTTGCTTCTCCTGAAATGGATAATCAGATGGATAATCAGTAGATAAGTTATGAGAATAAACTATTTTCACAATCTACTGAGATGAATGTTTTAGTTCACAGGAAAGCATTGATGATTGAGTACCATTTCAAGCATTTGCCCATGTGTGTATGCCTCCCCAGAGATACTAACAAGATCCTTGATCTGCATTTGGAAGTGCAAATGGGTGACAAAGTTTACAGGAGATTCTGCACAACTTTATTTTCTTACCCTAGGATGCCAGAAGTCCTCATATTTTGATGCCAGCAATAGAGCAGTAAGACCAACTAGTTGCAGTTCACACTTTTGGATTTGGACTTGTGATAGGTATTGGTCCAACAATGTGGCCATCAGATAAAGGGTTTCTTGCATCAACCGAAATTTGCCGTGTGCCTATATTCCACATGGAAGAAAGCCAAATCAGCGAGGAAGAAAGCAGAAAGCCATAAAAATATTAGGGAAAATGAAATTGATAGAGGAAAAATGAATACTTCAATGAGCCAGTTTATCAAAATCCCTCGCATCTGAGGTGTAATAACAGTCTGTGTTGACATGTAATCTGCCAGAGATATGTTATGGCCCTGAAATGACAATAACAGAAGTATCACACACACAGTCACACATCTTGGTCAGACAAAAATGTAGAGCCTCATTTTGGAACATGGTAAAATATAAAAAATGACACCAGATTTGAACAATCACCTCTAGAAACCAGTAATATTGATAGATGTCGTCGACATATTCAGCAACTTCCAATTCATTGCAAGCATCATCTATGCTTGGCAGACCTTCGTTCTCTTCTAACAGCTGTAGAATAACAATGGCTTAGAGACAGATTAACAGGGACTTAAGGCAGTAGTGGGTAAACGTTTATCTCCAGTACCTTTGATCTTGTCATCAAGAGAGAAGTATAAGATCTTCTACGACGAGACTTTTTATTGGAAGTAGCATTACCATCAACCACAATAGAATTTTTGGCATCAGATGAAGTTTCTGGTAGAGAGACTTCAAAGGAAACCATTTTAGGGATGTTCTCCCTAACAGAAGAGGCCTCGGCTTCATTGTTTCCTGAAGATGAGATTGCTGCAATGGAGGAGGATTTCTTAGCAGTTGGCGCACCGTTGGATCCTGAAACCCTATGGGTGTTGGAACCCTTGATTGCAGGCTTCACTAATGGCTGTATAATGGAGTGTAAGCAATAATCAAATCGTTTTACATAATAGACTGACTAAGTATAGCTGAAATACATCCAATTAACAGTCTTAAACCCTACTGCTTCACAAATACTTCGGACGTGTTTTTCCTGGTTTTAGCTGCAAAAGCAGGAAGCCAAACCTGATGCCATCTAATTTTTTTGAGGGCAGCTTAAGCTACTTAGTGTTTAGAAACAGCAGAGACATATTAAGGTTACATAAGCAGGTGACATACCCCAGCAGATTTCCTAAATGCGATACGGTCATTTCTGTTAGTTTCCTCCCTGGCACAAAAAAAGATTCTTAGCATATGTTTGTCAACTTATTATAACAGACCAAGTAAAAAACATTACAGTTATCTTTTGGACCTGTTTTGACTACAGAAATCGAACAATACTTACAATGATGTTGGACCTTCTCTTGCTCCATTCCTCTGTAAATGGCTCCGACCCATGCTCACTTGGGGTACTACTTTCCTACTGAGTCGGGTCTTAACTGTAATTACCAACAGCCAGAAAATGAAAAACCCCAGCATCATACACATGCAAATAAGGTTTGTTAGTAGAATGCAAAGCAGCCAAACGCCTCAGAAAACATTGGATCTCCATATTGTACCTGCAAAAATGCCGACGCTTTGGGTTTTGACTGACCCCTTGTGATTGTCCTACATCAAGAATAAGATATTAGGTGGCAGAATTGGTATTAGTCAGGGTTTTTTATTTCGAGATGCAGCTATAAATTTAAACAACCTTTGCATCTTTCCTTTGCTCGGCAGTCATCAACAGTGGTAAGCACCTGCTTCACGGTAAAAAGATGATAGATGACGAATCAAAGTATGAATAGACTCTTGTATCAACACATCATCAGTACATGCGCTGGGTTTCTCAAGATTAATAATAAGCCACTGTGCATCAAAACGCTTAACCGTATGAAAGAGAACGATAATGTGCTATCCATACTAATAGAAAAAAGATTCTAATACCTTGTACTATTGCTAACAGATGGCTGGTTTGCAATTCTAGCCTCTTTGCTTGCATCATTTGAAGAGGTTCCCAGTTCAGTAACACCTAACATATCCAGGACCAACTAAGAAATAATTCAATGTTGCAAGCGAAAGTTAAAAAAGAATTTTGTCAACTCACTGCTAGTGAGAGAATTGCGATCACCAACTCTTTGTGTTGCATTATCTCTTGGTTTCACCTAGGAGAGCAAAATCAAATTGTTAGTACTGGTGGTATCTGACTAGCTGCCTGTGAGATTCAACTAAGACAATGAAGTGAGATGATGACATGCAGAAAAGTGAAACACAAAGAAAAAGGAAGTTTCAAGTTAGCTTTCTATTTCATACCAATGAAGATTTCCTTGCTTTGGGAAGCACAATCCTAGAGTTTGATCCCTTTGACGCCCTGAAGAAGTGAACAGAAAATATAGTGCGAGATAGATCGAACTTCATCAGACAAAAGAGAGGTACAGCTTCTTCTCAAATACAAACTTTGCAGGAGTTAATAAAAACAATCAGGAGATGCCATAAGGGAACATCCAATTGCAAATGCAAAATGTCACATTAACAGTGATCGATTAGGGATTTCCTTTAGGAGAAGATTTTACTTACAAAGGCTTAGGTCCAGTGACTGGCCCTGAAGAACTGCTGCCACGAGCATTGCTTATATCTGCTAATGCCCTTCTTCTAACATTCTGATCTTCTGGAGAAGCATGTCAAAATTACTGACAGATAAGCTTTCTGAAAATTCGCATTTACATTGCAGGATCTAAAATATTATCATCCGAGTATATATAAGCTTAAACTGAAGCATTTATCACCTTTATTATCATTCTTGCCTTTGGTGTTCTGCTGGGTCCTTGAATACACCTTCGTATCATATGACCAGTCAGCACAACTGAAAGCGTATTTTCAACAGGGAAACTGTAGCAAATTTAAGAAAAGAATGAACATAGCTACCTTAGAAATAGTTCCAATGCCAGATGGTACAAATGGCCTTCTGGAAGTATTATTTGACAGTACCATAAACCCAGCAGCAACATGGGCTTCTCTGCTATTTTCAGAACTGGAAAATAGAGTTCATTACTATTAGAGGAAAGGGCTTAACAGATGTTGCGCGTTTGGCAAACAAAGACAAGACGATATAACCCATTAGTGAAGATTACTCTATCCACTTACATGCCATCACGCGGAACCTTCTGGCTATCAGGAAGAAGATCGCGGTTCCCCCAATCAACTGGTAATCTCGAAAAGAAAATGAGAGTTAGCAGCAAGTGATGGATGTATTGTAGCAGAAGGAGGCGAGGGATGGGTATTACTACCGGGGCGTTGATTGGGTCTGTGCAGTTGGACTTGTCTCTGAGAATTCATCAGATAATTAAGGTTACTAATAACTAGAATAAGAAATGGAAACAAGAATTAAGACTAAGAGAAATCGAATAAGAGGAGAATACTCACTTTGGCAGTAACCATAGGAGGAGCGGTTCTGTGCTGCTGGATTGCTGCAATTCGATTGTTGGTCTGAACCCTATTTCAGATGTCTGTTTCTTCGGGTTTCCCCCTTTGTCTTCTCCAGCGCTGAAACCCGTAGTATAAATAAGCAAATTAGTGACGAAGATTAGGGTGTTCATGAGGGAAAAGAAGGCAAAGATTGTGAAACACTAGCATCGTTTCTTCACCGCCGGCAGGCACGGTTCCGCCCGACGGCAAATGAAACAGAGAGAAGGAACGATGAAGACGATGGTGACGACGAGATAGAAAGGAAGAAAGGAGAAGGATCTTTACTAGTTTGGCAATGGCACGGCGGCGGAGAAAGACAGTTGCAGGCGTAGATCCAGAGAAGAGAATATCTCAGGCGTCTCGGCGGGAGTAGGAGCAACCGTTTGATTTGAAACTTTTGGAATGAGGAGAGAGAGAGAGAGAGAGAGAGAGAGACCACTTCTGAGTTCTGACTCTAGTCCAGACTCCAAACTCGTCGGCGAGACGAGACGACCTCCGCATTCCCGCAAATTCAAATAGCAGGCTTTGGTGGGCCCATTTCCCTTTTTCCATTCTCATTCCCACATTGGGCCAAGAACCAGTTGTATCAGCTTCTTCCTCAACCCAATGGGCTTCATTTCTTAACATTCTTGTTTGTTTTTCCTATCTCCTTTACTTTGTTCAGCCTTCATTTTTTTTTGGTAGAAAGATGCTTCAGCATCCTAAGTTTGGATTTGCTAACGAATGTGTCAAAAGAAATTTTATTTTTTAGTCTCATTAACACAGTAACAATGCTTTGCCGCAAAAATTCAATTCATGAAAATTCGACAAATTTCACCTTGAAAATACATGAGTTCGTGTGAGGTTCGAGGTCCATTTAACCCGAGTCTAAGGTGTTACAGTGAAACAGTCCAACCAAAGACCTCTTCCCTTGCACAGACAGACAATTTGAATCCAGAAGACTTGCATCGAGAAGATTACACTAAAGGGAAGATTACAGTACATCGTTTCTTGCATTACAACAATCAAACCATTCTCTTTCCACGCTCCACTTCAAACCCAGATAATTTATCTCAATAAGCACCAATTCCACAGAGATGCTCAACACAATGTGTAAACATTCAACTTCCTTGCACCACATTCCGGTGGAAGTTCTAACCAATCACCCTACGACCGGGAAGAAAACGAACAGCCATTTCATCAGAGTTGTCACTTCCAAAAAGGCACGACCATCAGCACACAAAAATGAATGAATGAACAGTGGTGATAGAAATGAGTCAAAGTACTTACTGGACTGGAGCCAACAAGCAAGCAAGCTGCTCTCTACTCCCGATATGGGGTGAGATCAATCTCCATATGTTTCTTCCCTTTGCTTACCCTCTTCAAGTAGACCACCAGCTATTAGTATATGACGTTATGGTAAAAGATGAAAGGAGGCAAAATGCAAATCATCAAGTGTAGGGGAACTCACAGCTATTGCCACAAGCTCCTCCAGCAGTTCCTCCAAGTGCCGCAGGGGCTGCAGTTATCAACAAGTCAAATTCTGCCACGAAACCTACTACCAAAGAGGAGTTCTTTCTGACGTTTCAGAGTAAAAAACAGAGATTTGTGCACATACCCACTGCGTCGGACCATCAACCGGTGCATTCCTTGGATCATCATGCACCTAGTAACCCCACAAGAAAAGAAAAAAGCTCTCAGTAGCTATAAGGTGCTAAAACAGTGCAGGTGCAGGGTATAGTGCAACATGAGCGTCTGAGTATAGATGAAATTATATCTACAGGGTTACCTCCATGAAGATTCCATCCACCCCAACAGCGACTGCTGTCCTAGCTATGCATGGTATAAGTTCACGTAGGCCTCCACTAGCAACTCCTCCACCATCCAACTACATCAACCAAAACTGCTTAACTATGGTGCCAAAACAACATAACATATAAAATACAAAAGAAAACTCTTTCATTTTATTATTGGGGGAAGGAAGCAAAAGATATGCACACAGCATGTACCTCCAAGTCGTTCAATGCAAGAGAAATGAAGAGAGAAGGAGAAAGAGCAAAAAAAAAAAAAAAACAGGAAGGTGCAGCAAAGAGGCTGCCCATAGAACTCAAACATCTTAACGCAGTAAGTTAGGCTTTATCTATTGGAGCCACGTTTAGACTGTAATATGCACCTTTTTACCAGCAGGCTGTTGTAGTGAATGTGTGATATCAGCAACCTGTGTGAAGAGCCATAAACAGTGATCAGTTATCCCAACTTACAGCATATATTTTAAACGGGAAAAGAAGTCCACGCTTGATTGGCTCACAACAGGGCAGTTAGCATCTCTCATCCACTCAAAATTGCGTGGATCAACAATCAAGTCATCTGCATACAAAAAGAATCATTTCAAGTAAGGGGTCTCATTTGTCTGTAAAATCAAGTTCATGGATTCATAAGTTTTAAAGTTTCTATAGCATCACATTGACTCGAGTTTCAGTTAACATATTGCATTGAAGTCCCAGAAAGTGGAGGTCTCCGAGGATATCTAATAGAATCAACATTATACTTCTACAATTTAATCATAATATAATGCCAAGTCCAAAGTCCATTTAAAGGAGATTAATCAGAAAAGCTAGTATAAACGAACTTACTATATCCAAACATGGTTCCTCTCTCGCAAACCATCACATTCGGGTTTCCTGCCAGTCTAACCTTCTCAGCCGAGTTCTCCATGACCTACACATTTTTGGAAAATACGAATAAGCAACATGTTTACAGGGCTAATCTTATCCTTGGTCAGAGAACTTGCGGAGAAGAGAGAAACACTGACACTAGGAGCACAGAACTGGCCTTTCTTTATGTTTATTATTTTCCCTGTCTTTGCAGCTGCAACTAGAAGGTCTGTCTGTCATTTGATACGAAACAGCAAACACAATTGTGTCACAAATTAGAAACTTAACAAGGACCCATATCAAGATCCAGAAATTGTTTATGAAGGAAGCAGCAAGGAAAGTTAACCTGACGACATAGAAATGCAGGAATCTGTATGATATCTGCGACTTTACCAACTTCCTCGCACTGGATAGAATAACAATCCATTAATTCATATTGGATACCAAGTGCGCACTTCACTATTCGTCTGCCCTTGAGAATCAAAATCCATGAAAGCGGTCTTCTTCACATACAGAACGAATCCAACCTACCTGAATGCTTTCATGCACGTCGGTGACGATTGGAATGTCGTAAGCTAATTTGACCTTCTCAAGTATCTGCCATCCATCACAAAGGGGCGTGTAAACAAGCTTGCTCAAGAAAAGAACACATACTGGGAAGATGGTGCAACATATAATTGGCGGGAAATGGAGTGGCATTATTATGAAACCGGAGATAGGGAATACCCACACCTTCAATCCCTCGATCAAACCAGGGCCACGAAACGACTTGGAGGATGTTCTGTTAGCTTTGTCGAAGCTCGACTTGAAGACCAAAGGCAAACCCACTCTACAAGAACAGGGACAACAAAAGAAAAAAGGGCGCTGAATTAATCATTCCAAGAAAATCAAATCAGCCGAGCCCAATTCTACTACAACTGTGCAAAATGTGGCAAAGATGGCGATTGGCGATCCAATTCTCTCAAAACAAAACTAGATCGGATTCAAAGCATCACTCTCTTTACCTGGTGGAGATGGCCTTGATGTGTTTGGCCATGGTGAAAATGTGCTCTTCGGATTCGATGACATTCGGGCCGGCGAGCAAGAAAAACGGATCCGCCGACTGTGGAGAATCCATGATGAATATGATTTTCATTAGAATGAAAACGAGAGGAAGGGAAGAAAGGGCATGCGAGAAGAGGAAATGGAAACCTTAAGCTGGTTGTAGAGTGCTGCCGATGAATCCATGGAGATCGAGAGAAAAGAATCGGGTTCCGGCGAGCAGAGATCCGAGATGCTAGCTGAACATAGAGAAGCGGAATCCAGTGACAGTGAGCAAAGATCAGATGGAGAAGAGGAAAGGAGGAATAAACAAGTTAAGTTAGTCACTCGTGGAGCTCCTCTGGGCTTTTACCCAATAGTTACACGGGCCTTTTGATAGGCTTCCTAAGCGGGCTTTTGGCCTAATAGAAACGGGCGGACTCTACCTTTCCATAGTCCACTAAACGGGACCTTAGCTGAAAGAGACTTACCAGTTGCCACCAAGGTTGTCAAACCGGTTTGTGCCGGTTTAGCAAGTGGAATGGTTCGACCGGTGGTACATATCGGTTTGTATCGGTTCATACCGGTTAATATCACAAATAATTTACAAATACTCATATTTAAACACGATATTTAACGTCAATACCTAAATATTTGTACTTGAATCCAACAAATAACATCAACATTTAACTTTTTAACACATAAAATAAATAATAAATTACTTTTATCAAATAAATTCACTAATATACGATCATTTTACTTAGAGATTCGTATATCGATCATGTCGGTCATACCAATGGTGTCATGACCGGTACAGGTTGAACCAGGTTCAACCAGTGGTACGCCGGCCGGCGTGACAACCATGCTTACCACGAAGGCACGAATTCACTGTGTCATAAATTTTCAACAATATTTACTATTTAGGGCTGCTATACCATGGGATTTTTACAGTGACCTCAATGTATTGTGAAGGACCACAAAAAGCTCCAACAACATTAATGATTTGGATCACAAGAAGACGATACGTTTTTGGGACTTTCTGATCGAGCATATGTACAAGTACAACTTGCATAGCCATCAACTTGGACTCGTGACTGCAAGTATGAATACATAGTGACCTGCTAAACTGGATTGGATAAAAGCTAAAGTTTACATGGCGTGTGCATATGTGCGCTGCATTTCGCCACTTTACGGATTTCTCGATCGATAACTCGAGTTAATAAGAATGAAATAGTTCATAAGTCATAACGAATTTAATCAACGAGAGGTTGGTCTTGTGCCCCGAGCAAAATTTGGGTCACCTTGTCATATCTATCGAACATGACAAATGGCTGGCACCCGTGGAGTGGCAGGAGAGCTATCAATGTCAAGGCCGCGACTCTGACGTTTTAGCCATGCATGCACGGTAGCAGACTTGAAAACCATCATTGATGTAGCTCGGGTAAAAAGAAAATTAATGGAGACAGTTGGCGGACAGGCTATAGCACCAGGCCCGATCTCTCTCAATCAATCAAATGTTAATTAATTAATTGGTCAATTACCATGTGAACGTCAAACTATATCAAGTATAATCCATATATATATACACGGTGGCGTCTTCGGTGGACTCACTTTTTTGGGTGCATTCAGTGCACTCGCTTCATAACCGTTATTTTAAACATGCGATTTATTCTTCAATCATATATAGTAGAGTTTTATCTACTTTTCTCTATTCCAAATTTCCTGCAACGAGAGTGAAAGTAGGAAGGACAGTTTTGTCTTTACAATTAAAGATTTATTCCTTATAAAAAAGGTCAATATCAGGATTTGAACCCAGGTCTCTTCAAATAAAGACAACAATCACAACCAATTAGACTAAACCATTTTTTTTGTATCTTTTTGACACAAAACATACACGAGATGACACTCTGAAAATCATAGGACTTTTTTATCATGATTAGCAAACTCACTAAGTCTACCTGTATTTTTATGGTGATTGATACATCAATTTTCATAGCAGAGTTTTATGTAGTTTCTAATTCGATAATTACTGCTCTCTCCTTAATTGTCACTAAATGTAAATGGGTAATTGGCCAACATGGAAGAAACTAATTCTATTACTACGTGTTGTATCATTGCATTTTCAATTTATTTTTCAATTTGTACTTTTTATATTTGTTTTTATCTCTTTCTAACGACTTCTGAAATTCCGTCCACGGTGCAATAGTTTGCTCCCCTTCACTTCACAGTACAAGGCCGCCTTTGAAAATCAATTTTCCGCTCTCTTGGCACTACGATTTTATTCTTGGGGATTTAAACTGGGCAAGTAAAAGATTTCAATTCCGATATCAATCAATGGCGAATAGAATGGAGTTCAATAAATGGAGGTGCCGAAGGAGGATTAAAAATTAAATTTTTAGTTGAAACATACGCCTTGAGATTGAAGATATAGTGGACAAAAATTTATTGTACAACGGAGAGTGGTGGCTATTGGATCTTTAGGTTTATGGTTTTTAAAGCTATGGTGACCTAATTATATATTAAAACGAAGAATCATCGATTGATTTACTGAAGTAGGTCGGTCGATTCTTTATTCAACCTACTGGAACTGATAGAGAAGGAGTGTCTAATTTTGTTCCTTATTACTTTGATAAAGCCCTAATTTGACGTTTGCTCTCAAGTTGTGATGGTTCCCTCTTAGGTGAGTTGTTAGCATATAATTTACTTGAATCAACAACTCTCTATTTCTTTTTTTATAAGTGGAATATTATTCTTAAAATGAAAGCATTGAACCTTTATGTAGGATTGTGAGGTTTAAGATTTAGTTTCAAACTATCTATGGTTCGTGAGGGAATTTCAGTGAGCTTTTATACGCTATATTTCTTTATTATCAACTAACCAATTTCATTTTACCGGGAACTTAATTATCATCATGAAAATGAGATCAATGATACATTTTTATATTTCTTCAAATTTTCGATCTATATATTCTTTATATATGTATCATCTCGATCGAAGGATTGTCAATAAAATTAAACGGGTTGATAGATTTAAACGTAACATAAAAATATAAATAATCAAATATGAATATTCCGGCCAACGGGCCGGGTTATAAGCTAGTGTCAAAATGATGTCAATCATCACTTATGATGTGATAAACAATAACACACATGAATTTGCACAAAAATCATAAAAGATTTACTTTAATTTGAAGGATTTAGAGTTTAGAGATTTGGGGTTAGGGTTAGGGTTTATAATTTGGGATTTAGGGATAGAACTCAAAATTGGAGGTCTAGAGCTTAGGGTAATCCGCTAATTAGTTGTTATCATATGTTATATCATCATATTACACTAATTCTACAAATTAAAATTCAAAATCCGACACCTTAAGACTAGTTTTTAAGTTGGGTGCATTGAACTCACTCATTTTTGTGAGTGCACCGAAGTAGTCACCATATATATATGGACCGAAAATGCGCAAATATTGATCCGTTGAATGAAACCCTACAGGGTTTTGCCTTAATGATAATGCCTGGCCCTTTCTTTGAAAAAATTATAACGCCATCCACGATGAATGAGAAAAAAATTAGTAAAATTGGTTCGTGATCAATATTTACTATTTAGGCTGCTATACCATGGGATTTTTACAGTGATCGGTTATTACCCAATACCTCTGGGCTTTTACCCAATACTATTTAGGCTGCTATGCATGTAAATCTCAATGTACTAAATGCAAGCGGGTCTGTCTTGTTATTCCAAGCAAGAAATTTTTGAAAATATAAAATGTCTTTATTATTTGTAATAAATGTGATCGGTTATTAGGTATGAGGCAATTAGTGTGCACCTCTACGACCGGGAAAGTATGTATGCAATAAATACACGTACCCCTCACAACTCACATCCATTGTTTTCTCTCTCTTTAATTTGTACTCTTTTATCTTATACACATGGTTGTGGTGGCTCGTCCATCACTCAATCTGCAAGCTAATTCCATCTTCGTCACACGACGTTCTTGAACAAAAGTGTATACTTAGATGTGAAAATTTTTTCACTTTATGAGTAATTTGTAATGCAGACATCTAACTTGAGAATGTTGCGCTCGCGGTCACCTATATATATATTTGATTCATACAAGTTAGTTTTTATTTGGAAGAAGGGAATACATAAATGCAATGGTATATAAGCACGGGAGCTATTGTGATGCGAACTCGTAACGTTTTTTGTTCTTTTTTTTTTCTTTTCTTTCTTCTGAATAGTATGTATTTAATGAAAGTGGGGCTTTACTTGTAAAAAATTTAAAAATTGGACAACTTGGAACTTGGAAGGTAATACTTACATCGCTCCATTGGAGATACACATATATATATATATATATATATAATATAAGGGCCCCAAATGGTAGGCATAATATTAAAGGGAGGAAGTAAATACTTTGGAACTCAATAAATCAGAGTTCCAACAGTAACCCTTTTTGGTATCTCCATCGTGGATCTCTTGCCTACCACATTTCCTTCAACTTTCTCTCTTCAGCCGTGCGCCATTGATTTGATCGATCCCCCACCACACGTTTCAAAGAACTTATAAAGAAAGAGCTCTCGGCGGCCATGGGAAAACCATAGCTAGCTAGCTAGTAAGAAGCAGTACCACGAGAATTAGTTTGGCTAACACACGTCGTGTTAGTAAATCTCAGTCTTCTTTACTTTCTTATATTGTTGGGTTTTTCTTTTTCGTTATAACGGCGACTACTAAACATCTGTCATGAAGATGGTAGTGGTGGAGTGTGGTCTAAGGGTAGCAGCCGTGGCGGCTCTCGTTCTGGCGGCTTGTTTGGTCGGGCTGGATTCTCAGACGAAATACATCTTGTTTCTCGACAAAACGGTCACTTACAAGAACTTGAACTCTCTCATGTACGTATGTTAATTTATATATATTATCCTGCTCGGAGTCGGATAAGTTAAGTCGTATTGTACAGCTGGTACGTTGTAATGAATTAAGCTGTACAGTTTATTTTATTTTGTTGGTGTTGCAGAGCTTTGGTGTACGTGGATATAGCGGCGGCTGCTTATAACTTGACTCGACTCGTGTTAACGCTGTTAATGGCGGGGAGATCATATCGGAGGTCAGCGTCGTCCTCGTCGGAGACTCTGTTGAATGCTCCCATCGTGTCCTGGGGCGGCTACGTATTAGACCAGGTAATTAATTAATTTTGATTCTCCGATCTATGCAGTTTGAAAGTTCGTAATTTTCTCCGCCGGCGGCGAGCCTGCGTCGGCGGGATAGAGTGAGAAAAGTTATGGGCTTGTTGTTTATTTCATAGACTCATATTTGTTGTACTCATTTATCACGCCCGACGCACGTAGCCCAATCCAGTAATATATGTTGGTAGATTCATGACCCAGTACTGGGCTTGATTGGCAAGATCCAGCCCATGTAAATTATTATTAAAAAAAAAAGAAGCAAAAGTGAAATGGTATCTCGACCTAATGATTGGTTCTAACAATTAAATCGGTTGAAGAGTGCAATTTTTCTAACCATTCTGTCCATTAACCCTTGGCCTTAACCAAATTCTTCGGCTGATCTCTATTTCAAATGTCAATAGAAAAAATAGTGCTAGTAAAATGGCATGGAATTAATTATTTGTAACAATTAAATCGTAATACAAAGTCAAGCAGAGAGAATATCGATGACTGAACTATGTGGAAACTATGTTCTAGTGGAAAATAATTCGCAATTCACTATAACACAATAATCGGTTGTAACAACTGAACTATGTGTTTTAGATTTAAATGATAATAAGTTCTGTATGTCATTATTCCTACCATTTTGTTATTACCTATGTGGACAGATTAGTCGTTTAGATCTCCATTCGACAGAAGCTTCCCTTTCACTTGGATGAAATGATCTACTCGAAGAGTACTCAGAATTTCGAGATTTGCATCTAGAATCAATGTGATGACTGTTCTTTCTCTAATACTTGACGGTGTATTTTTTGGGATAGCAGGTGGGGGTGTACGTGACCTTTGTGGTGACATTAGCAGCTCTGCAACACTGTACACTGGTGATAACAGGGGAGAAAGAGCTGCAATGGATGAAATGGTGCAACAAGTTCACCAGATTCTGCCTTCAGATTGGCGGTGGCCTCTTCTGCAACTTCCTAGCTTGCATTCTCATGGCGCTCCTTTCCTTCGTCTCGGGGTTCCACTTGTTCAGACTCTACTCTCCTACCCGCTTCCTCCGACTCAAGAAAATGAGTACTACTCCTCCGCCGCCGCCGCCGCCAACGGCCGCGGCGGCGTTGTGATGATCGAACGCATGCAGGTGTATATAAGTATGTACACATATCTTTCTTTCCCAATCTATCAATGCGTGTGGAGAATTTTTTTATTTTTTATAATTAATGTGAGATAATGTATGAAGTATGTTTAAGTTATGGTGAAATTTGTTGGTTGATTTGTCCCAATGATGTGAAATATTTATGAAATGTGCATTATTGTTGCTATGGGAAAAAAAAAAGGTCAGTTAGTCGTGACGAGCTAATATGATATGGCTACATGACTAATCAAAGATGCTAGGTGTGGTTTGGAGTGTGACATTAGTTGAATTAGATGTCGGTTTAATTTGTTTGCATTATGGACACTTTTCGTCAACGACAGATTCTATTGCTTGAGATTCGGATAGTAAGTCAAAATCAAATCAATATTTCTTCAAAATTCAAGTATTGAGTGAATATCATACTAATATTCGGCCGGATTTCAGGTAATAGTTTTCCTTTATTATTTTATCTAATGTGTAATGTGTTTCTACTTTTTAGTATTCGTTTTTTTTTCCCAAGATATAACTGGAGAGAACATTAGAAAAGCCCCATAAACCAAGTCTAGGCCCGCCCACGCTGCCACCAAGTTTGCCGGGTATACAAAACCAGCCCGACCCGACCCAAAAAAAAATTAAGTGTAAATTCAAATTTGATGTCAAGAAAAACTGCTCTTCCTCTCCATTACATTTGCCTCTTGACTGTTTCTCCTACAAGTTTAATCATTACAAACTGTACAAAACGAATGTCTAAGCTCAATTAATCAGACTTCGAACCGGCCAAAAAGTAAGGAAAAAGGAGAGGAAAAACTCATAATAATCATATATATCTCCCATCTAATTGATAATTAGCTTAATTAATTATTATGGGCATATGATGTAGTCGTCGGTATGAACAGTACTACTCCTCTCTTGGCGATGAAGCTGGTAAGGTCCGAGCTTGTTGTGGCATGGCGACGGACCAGAAGGAGGCACCAACCCCCGCGGCAGCCGGCTCTCCAGCAACAAGTAGCTCACCCTGTTCTCCATCCTCAACCCTCTCGAGCCCTCCACATGATCAGGCGCCAACGTTGCTAGCTGAACCAAGACGAGGAGGAACAAGATCGCAACGACTGATCTCAAGCACTTGGAAAACGACGTAGTCGTCTTCGTTTCAGACGACATGGGCCTCGCGATTTGGTTCGATTTGGTTGGTGGTGATCAGTTATGACGCGTGAATGAAGGAAAAAAAAACCGTGTTGAAGGGGATTCGATGGTTGAATCCCCCGACTCTAGATGTTGAAGTTGGGGGGTGTTTTTTGAGTGAAAGGGAGATGTTGTGATAGTCTCGCGACAATCTCGAATGTTGATGACGGACGTCAAGTGTGTCGAGGAAACACCCACGCGTAGACGTCGTTTACGATAATACGTGAATGTCTGAAGAACCTCGATGATCGACACTGAGAAGATTGGTCTTTGATATCTCGACGAGAAGGAGGGGATTAGTCACTGGTTTTGATAAGCTACCTATCTAGCTAGCTAGCTTGTTTTGTGGTTGGGTTGGAGGGGAAGGAGAGGAGGAGATGGATGGAGGCAAATATTGGGAGGGAGGGTATATAATGGGTGAGATGAAAGTAAGAGATTGCGGTTTTGTTGGATTGCCGGCTGTGTTGGATTACAATTAATCAACTAAAATAGTGGGAATATGAAGGGAGGAGCTTGAGTTTTTTTTTAAAAGACATTATTTATGAAAATGTGGGGACGAAAATATGATTTTCTATTTTACAAATTAAAAAAGGTACGTTACTTTTTATGTGAGTGGTATAAGACATATGTTTATATTTCTTGTTAAGTACTATTTAACGGATTCAAACAAAGAGATTTTCGGCTTAAAGGGTATATAGGAATTTACCAGTGTGAAGAATTCAAAAGGGGGTATTTGGTAGGTGGGATGTTTATATATTGTAGGTGGAAATTAGTGATGGGTTGGAAAACATATAGCATGCCATCTTGGAACAGAATTTTCTTTTATATAAATGGAAGCCAACCTTTTTGGTCCCCTCTTCATTTCATATATTTGTCTTGATCTTGCATCCTAATTAAATCACCAAATTTGATCCATGCATGCAATATGCATGTTAACAAAATATTCATGTACACTTCTCACATGTTTCATCCTTTATATATTATTTCATTTTAAGACATACGACAGGGTCTTAACCATTTTATGAAAGTTTGTAATTAAGATCGTATTGTGAACATGGTATAGTCCTATTTATCGTATATTTATATTATATTTTATGATACCGAAGCTTATTGAGAGGGGTTGTATAATTAGACTCTTGATGACAACAACCACTTATTATTAACTATTGACATGCACAACATATATAGTGGACTTGTGCACACACTTTAAACCTCCTTGGCTCCTTGACTTTCTTTTCAATATCAATAAGGCACTGTGTATGCCATAATTTGACTTTCCTTTGTGAAAGTGCACAAGAGAATTACATAAGCTGTGTTGCTCTACAAAAACCTACCAAATCTGAGTTATTTGTTATATGAAAAGATGGTTACTTTCTCAACCATGGTGCCATTATGTGGAACGGAACGGAATGACAGAACAAGATAGTGAATGTCAAAACTAAATTCCTATATATTCACGCTAAAAAAATTCGTACACAACTATTAAACCAGTTCATACAACGTTGTCATTGTGCACGCTTAATAACTCGAGTTATCGAAGTATACCAACAGAATCCTATTCACAAATCAATCTAATTAAAAATATAAATATCACCTCACATCACACAACCAAATATATACGTAATTGGCTTTTGGTGGGAACATGCAACTAATAAAGGGGAATAATGCAAGCCTAGCTAGTAAATTCAACTCGTGCGTGCCGACTATTACAAAAGTAATGATGGTTATAACTTAGAATGGTTCAAAAAATTGATGCTTAATTTGCAGCCCTTGATATGCCAGCAGCAAAATGGTCAAAATCTTGGTGATGATAATTAAACAACTAATTACTCCACGCGAATGACACTACTTGGCTTCACTTAATTAATTAAATAATAAAATGTGGGGATTGCTATTCGTCGCCCTATAATTCCTTATTTGTCGCCTTAACTTTCATTAAAATGACTTAAACCCCCTTAATTGACCACCACTACTTCGCCCCTGCCCACTGCGCCCAGGGGCGGATACATGAGAGCGGGACAACCCCTAAAATTTGGGAATACGATTATTCAACTCCTGGTAATAGTTTTGTATGGATACAAAAATTATAATTAGTGATTCGAGACACCCCTACAACGATAATCCTATCCTCAGTAGTAGTTTGCGTATGCTTAAAAAAATAAGCGATAATCTGAGTTATTCAAACTTAGGATATACTATATTATTTAAACATTGTCCTCCATTAAGTTGCAACTCATTTGTTGTTCTATTTTAAACACTACATAATAGTAAAAAGTTATTCCTTATCCCCAACTATTTCCAAAACCTAACAATTAAACTAATTACGGGCTACCCTTAATTAGCCCTTAATTTGAATTGATTTTTGGTTACACAACAAGTGTTGAAAGAGTCTCAACTTTGAGTTACATCAATAACAAGGTTAGAAATCCATATACGATCAGTTCGTGAACTATGTCTAGTGGGATATACAAATTTGTTGAGCAATTTACCAAGCCTATTTGTTATTCTTTTTCAGAAAATAAAAACACGTTGTTTCCTTATGTTAAAATTTGTACTAGTTCGATATTTTTTTATTTATGAATTATTTATTTTATTTTAATTTTTTTGAAGAAGACACCCCTGTTAAAAAATTTTAGATCCGCCACTAACTGCGCCGCCACCATTAATCGATTCGCCTCCTGCCACCACCACGTCGTCCTGAACTAATTCATCATCGTACCAGTTAAATTCCATTTCACTTTTCCCTGCAAATTTGTTGCATTTTCATATAATCATTACACTGCATAAATTGGAATGGTAATTGTAGGCTTCTGAAGTTAGCTTCCAATGGTTATGGAAAAATCATGGGCATCTAGGAATTTATAATTCAATCTGTGTGTTTTTGCAGCCCTTCATTGATTGATTCTGCAATGAAATGAACTCTAGGGTGGATGATAAAAAGTCGGAAATTGATTGATCTTTGGTGTCCGCCTTTGTGTTTGCAATCTGTAGGTTCTTTAATGAGTGCTAGAAATGAACGAATGAAATTGCATGTGCTGGAGAAAGAAACAACAGCAGAGAGTCGGCCGGAGGCTGGGGAACAACAAGCTGCTCAAACCTTCTACCTCGTGCTTTTCTTTCTCCTTCCTCAGCAAAAGCAGGTCGGCGAAGTGTGGGGGTGGAAGCGGTGACTGGTTGGAGGAGCAGTAGCGGTGGTCAGACGGTTGGTGGGATGGACAGCAGCAGAGTTATCGATTAGTGATTAAAATTGGGTATAGGGGTATAAATGTGAATTTAGTATGATTTAGGGCGAAATAATTTAAATTTTAGAGCGACAAATAGCGATTCAGTAAAATGTTGGGCGTGGTTAACGTTAAACGCTGTCATTAGTGTTGGGGATGTGACTCGGATCTCACCACGCCGAAGAAATACCCAAGGATGCTCGCGCCGGAGCCAAACGCGAGTGTAAAGGCCGCCTTCGAAGATCGCGCATGGACACTAAACGATGGCGCTTTGGACAAGCTTGGGCCCTCGCCGAGAAGTCGTAGAAGCGGCGCCGCGTCAGCCAAAGGGTAGTCACCATCATAGTCCTAGGTATAGTCATGGCTAAAGGTCTTCTCACCCATAGGGGGATGGCCTATGTTCCTGACATGTCAGCGGTCATGTCACCATACCGTAGTGGTCACGTCATCGTACCGTCATGTAAACTCACCCACCACCATGTAGCCTATAAATACGGCATTTACTCCGGTGGGTGAAGGGATCGGATTTTGGGAGAATCACACTCTATCTCTAGAAAGAACGAACTTCTCTCACTAAAGATACTCTCTCAACCCTATTCTTCCTTCCATTTGTCTCAAAGTCCTTGTTTAACCAAGTCATTCATTCTTCTCGACCCGTTCTCGTGAACCTCACTCCTACACTCAGTTAGGTTCAAACAATTGGCGCCCACCGTGGGGCCGAGAAGAAAAAAAAAAGGCAGAACAAGACTCCAACATACCCGGCGAGGTAACCCCCATCAAGGCGATGACGGCCCCTAGGGTGTTCGCGGAACTCGCGGAAGCCAGCAACCGCGACGCGGTACTCATTGAGGAAGAAGAGCCTGAACTGACGGCCAAGGAGATGAGGCAGCTGGTGACAAAGCAAAACGGCGTCATCGCCGACATGCAAAAGCAGATGAGCCAAGTTATCGCGCTCATGTTGAGCAGAGAAGCAGCGACAGCACCGAATGCGGCGCCTGTCGCGTTACAGCTAACGCAAGGAGGGGCATCAGGCGCAGCCCCACCACCACATCAGACAGCGGTCGAATTGCCCGCACCTGAAGCCCAGCGATGCGAATCGCCCGGAAGGGCGGACCTCAGCTTCTTGGAGCAGCACCTGTCCCCACAGTTCCGCCCCAACCCGCCTAGAAAAACCCTACATCAGTCGTTGTGCGCGGAGATTATGGCGGAACACCTAAGCGGGACGCCACCCACCCTCCCGACTTACAACGGGACAACCGATCCAGAGGATCACGTCAGCACCTTCTGCCTACGGATGCAACTCCAAACCAACTCTAACGCGGCGCTGTGCTGAACATTCCCATCAACATTTTCCGAGATATGCCTCGACTGGTATAACCGCCTCCCCAATGGAATCATCCGTTCGTTCGAAGAATTCATACTCTTGTTCACAACAAAGTTTGCGTCGCAAAAAAGAAGGCCCCTCCACCTCAAGGCGCTAATAGACATCCTCCAAAAGGACGGAGAAAGCTTGCGGGCGTTCTACGCCAGGTGGTCCAGGGTGGCAATGGCCGTAAGAGATCTCACCCCAGAAACCGCCGCCCATCACCTCATGGACGCCACTACTAGAATGGAGCTCAAAAGAGCGCTAGAAAAAAGACCAATCACGCTGTCAACGGAGCTAGAAGTCAAGATCGAGAAAGCCATCACTTTGGAAGAGACCCTGGGCGCGGGTTCCGTCAGGCGCTTTGAGCCCGCCAAAATGCTCAAAGAAGACCAATCGCGTAAGCAGCTTCCTGTGCCGCGAGACCAGCTGATGCAAGCACACAGCGGCGCCAGACGCCCACCACCTCCGCCAGAACAAGTCCATCGGGGGCGGTCGCCAGATAGGCGCCCGCCAAACTACACACCCCTCAACGACTTCGTGAAGAACGTCTACCACGTTCTGCCCGAGAAGGGTTACAAAATCAACTGGCCCGCACCTATGAAGACCCTCCTGCACATGCGGGACCCCAAGAAGCGCTGCGAATTCCACAGAGACACGGGCCACTGGACGGAGAACTGCAGAGAATTAAGCTATGAGATAGAAGGCCTCATACAAAGAGGACTGCTGAATGAGTTCATTCGCGGAGCGGAGGAACAGGTAGAGCGTCCCGTGGAACCCCACCACCACCACAGGCTGACTACGACGACGCCACAGGCTCGTACGTAGTACGAAAAGAAATTGGGGTAGTAACGATAGAAGGGGACCTCCCGAAGAAAAAAATCAAACGCGACCGCGCCATAGAGTGTGCGGCGACGGAGGTCCCACAGAAGTGAAACTTGAGCTTTGACGACGCTGAGCTCCCCGGAGAGGTCCCGTCAGAAGACCCTCTCATCATCACCGCGCTCGTCGCCGCCTGTAAGGTTCGCCGCCTACTGATAGGCGGAGGCAGCGCGGCGGACATTCTTTTCAAGAACACGGTCGACCAGATGGACATTGATCCGCGACTTATCAAGCGCGCTCACGGGAACTTGGTCGGTTTCTCCGGCACGAGGGTCCCAGTTATTGGTGTGGTCACTCTCCCGGTCGTACTTGGGGACCAGGAGCCGCGTGTCTCGAAGCAAGTCGAGTTCACGATAGTCGACTGCAAGTCCCCTCACAATGGCATCTTTGGCCGTCCGTTCTTGGCAAAATTCATGGCTCTCCCGTCAACATGCCACCAGAAACTTAAATTCCCCACTAAGGAGGGGTGCGACGAAGCGCGCGGGACATCTTGGGAGGTACCAAAGCTAGGAGAGGCCCGCCAGACTAACATCGTCGACACAAGGGCAGAAGAACCTCTACCGGAGTCAATGGATTCTGATTTCGAAG